GTTGTACATGGTGTAGAAGGTCGCAACCTCGTAAACGCGCATCGGGGGCATCTCGAGCATGCGAGCGACCTCGTTCATGACGCTGATGCTGGTGAAGCCGTGCTGGCGCTGACCGAGGTCAAGTAGGGGCATAACAGCAGCCTTCTTGTACTGGGGAGGGTAGCGCTTGAGGATCTCATCGGCGAGTCTGAGGTTCTGCTCGGAAAACTTGAACGGGAGGCTCGGGTTGTTGTTGGGCTTGTTGCGGTGCTGTTGGAGAAAGTTATAGTCAGTATACGAGACTTCAATTCCTAAACCTGGAGACGCAATTGGCGCCTGAAGGACAAGAGGGGTCGAAAGGAATACGCACCACCGAAAGGGAGTCGCTGAACCGTTGCGAACCAGCTGAGAAGGCTCTGTATTGGGGTTTGGGGAGCTGATGAACCAACTGGCGGCCGACCCACGGGACTGAGAAGAGTTTAGAGGCCATCGCGGGCGATGAGTGAGGGTCAATTGGGGGTAGATGAGGTTGGAGGTTGGAGGAGAAGTCGAGTTGACGAGGCGTTTTACTCGGGGCGGGCCCTGGCCCAATCCGCATCCAGGGATTACTACCGCCTTACCAATCCGCTATCATACAGTTTCCCTTCAACACAATCAACTCAACATTCATATATTGAGACAGGGATACTCTCAATTGTTTCATTAAAACTTGACATTCCTTGAAGAACATACTGGAAAACCGACAAAGCAAAATAACATGATTATTGTCCCAATTGCATCACTTTATAGTGTCGCATCCCAGCAACCACATCTTCAGTCGACCAGCTAAACGTTCTCCATCTTATAAACCTCATAAGCCACCTGCTCATACGGATGTGCCGAGATCAAGGCATCGACTGCCTTCAGCATAACGTCCCGGCCAAGGCACATAATCTCGACCCTGAACTCCTCGCACCGTTCCAAAGCTCCGACAGCTCCGACCGCTGGGTCAGCGCCCTCATTGGGCAGAAATTGGCCTGTGCCAACAGTCTGGAAACAAACATTGGTATACTTCCCGCCTGGGAATGACCCGGCGCCTGTAGCGAAGATGGCTTCTTTACATTTCTCCGCGTCGGCGGTCGGGACGAAGAAGATGAGCTTGTAGCGGTCTGGAAGGGAGGAAGTGGACATCTTGGGCTTTTGGTAGGTGGAGTTCCGTCTGTGGTTTTGTTCAGAAAGATTGAGTAGCCCTGTGCTTTGCTGGAGGTTCGTTCTTGGGTTGGTTGCGAAGCACGATACTAGACGCGGGGTATATGGTACTTGGGATCGTAGTTGGGACCGGAAAGTAGACCTGGTGAGGCTCCAGGTACCACGAAGGTTGTTTTGGGGCATGGAATACTGTGTCGTGGAGAAGGGCTGACTCTGTCGGACATGAAGTGCACAAGTGCGGAGTCATAGATCCAATTGGGCCTGACTTGCAAGGCATCAGTGACCCCAACTACGCCCCTCGAGGTTCAAATATCTTCCAAGGTACTTTATCGACCGAGAAGTGATGCGCATGAATATTTAACATTATATGCTCCTGGTATATACTTCAGTTGAAAAATAGTATACAAAATGTTGAAACACAGGGTATCAGATGCACCGCTCACGTCCACAACCACAACTCAAACAGAAAACCAATTTATACACCAACAATCGGGATTTATACAGCAATAGTGTGCATCCGTGTATACTCATTGATATGGGCCTCAATACTTGCCAGTATCTCCGCCTTGCGCGAATCCTCAACCCAGCTCTCCTGCACACTGTTCTCCGCAATGATCCTCCACTCCAACACATTCAGGTTGAACGCCTCCTGCACAGCGCAGTAGTTATCAAGAATATAACCACCAAAATAAGCAGGATCATCACTATTGATCGAGAACTTGACTCCAGCCTCCAAGAACCGCCGAATCGGCAACTCCTTCACAGAGGTGACACAGCGCAGTCGCACATTCGACAACGGGCAGACGGTAAGCAAGATACCCTCACGGGCAACACGTCGCATCAACTCCTCGTCTTCAACCAGCCGAATACCATGATCGATACGCTGGGCACCAAGCTCAAGCGCAGTGCTGATATAAGTTGGATCACCTTCCTCGCCAGCATGCGCCGTGAGCGGGATATTCTTCTGCGCGGCTGACGCATAGATCTCACGGAACATGTCTTTCGGCGGGCCGACTTCTGAAGAAGACCATCCAAGTCCATGCACAACACCAGACTCAAAATGTCGGTGAGCCAATAACTCCTCGTAGACTTGCTGGGCCGACGAGACGGGCAGATGCCGCACGAAACACAGGATTAGTCGTGTGCTCAGGCCGAGCTCGGTCTCGGCGCGCTTGCACCCCTTCGCGAAGCCTGAGACGATGGTGTCGTATGATATACCGCGGCTTTCGTGTACTTGCGGGTCGAAGAAGACCTCTGCATGGTGGACGCCGTCTGCGTGCGCCTTTTGGAAGTATGCCCAGGCTACGTCGGCGAAGTCTTGTTCTTTGCGGAGGACGGCCATGCCTTCGAAGAAGAAGTGTAGGAAGTCGTCCAGGTTACTGAAGTGCTCATAGCGTGTCTTGAGTGTCTCGACCGAGGTATAGACTGGGTCTGCTGGCAAGGTGATACTATTGCGCGCCGCGAGCTCGAAGATGAGTTCTGGCTCAAGAGTGCCCTCTAAATGTACATGGTGCTCACACTTAGGGAGGTCCTTGAGGAACTCGTGTGAAGGAGACTGACACATTGTTGGTTGTAGTGAGTAATGTTCTTTGGATGCAAAGATTTTCTAGATGCGGGGACAGATATAAGTGTCGGACGAGTTTCCCGTTTCCCCCGCGGGTGTTTTCGTGACACAGCAGTGTCTTATCATTTTGAATCACAAAATTAGGTCCATGGAGATTTGCCCCGGAGGTCTCCGAATTCCACATTGAAAGATCAACATCTACCAAATCCTAGAAGCTCCAATCATACCTCCTCTACACACTCCGTGCACGTAAAACGTATGATATGCAATATATTGTATGTTAATTTTAATTGAATCTAATATTCACACTTTTCAGCCCTCTATCTAAACCCCGAAAAACCCCCCAAATTTGATATAAAGAGAATATACGTAATCGTAACCCATCTACAGGGCTAAACCCGCATTTCAGTACCAGCAGCCTTTCGTAGCCGGTTCATGACAGCTGCAGCCAGGTCACCCTCGCTATCTGGCACTCCTTCCACGTAGATAACATCGACATCAAGCTCATCTAGCCCGCGTAGGGCGGCAAAGAGGCCATGCGCGATGGAAACTGCATCTGAGCCAAGATAGTAATCATACGCCATCTTTGTGCAGCTACTGGAGAATCCATTCTCCATCACGGGGAGCGGGAAACTGACGACATTGTCAATGGCAGAAGACACAGGGTTCATAGTACTGGCGATGTCATCTTCTGAAGCGAGCCCCAGGCCGAGCTTCCAGTTCCGTGTGCGGATAATACCGATTTTCTGTGCGCCAACGGCTGAGTCTTTCAAGTCTTTTTGGACATGCTTCATCACCCCAGCTGGGTTGGATGCCGACTCGAAGAGAACGACCCGTGCTTTGGGCGAATAGTGGCGGTACTTCATGCCCGGTGCGCGTGGAACCTCTTTCACATCTAGCGTGCCATCTTTGTAGCCGACTACTACATTTTCCCATCCTTCACATTTCCGGATTTCCTCGATGCCGATGCCACCAGGGCGCAGAATCGCTGGTGGGTCGCATAACCCGTCGACGACGGTGCTCTCAACGCCAACGCCGGATGCGCCGCCGTCGAGAATCAGCTCGATGCGGCCTTTCAGATCGTGGTGTACGTGTTGCGCGGTTGTTGGTGAGGGTTTGGTGGATGCGTTTGCAGATGGCGCTGCGAGGGGACGGTCTGTTGCGTGGATGAGTAGACGCGCCAGTGGGGAAGAGGGGATGCGGACGCCGAATGTGGTCAGGCTGGATGTGACTTCCGGGGCCAGGAGGGATCCGGATGGGTTGGGTAGAATGATTGTCAGTGCGCCGGGCCAGAATCTATGGACTAGAGGCTTGTAGATCGAGGGGAGGCCGACTTGCGGCATTTTAGTTGAGCCAGCGCTGCCTTGAGAGGTGGGGTTTAGCAGACGCCCAAGCATGTCGATTGAGTCGACATGAACAATCAGCGGGTTGTCCGAGGGCCGCTGTTTCGCACGGTAGATTCCTTGGACAGCAGAACTGCGAGTGGCATCGGCTCCTAGGCCATATACTGTCTCTGTAGGAAAGGCGATGGGGATGTCACTAGACCGAAGAAGGTTGGCGGCTTCTTCGATGGCCTTGGATTCTGGTGTTTTTTGGCTACGCTCTTTCTCCCACCATTCCGCTAAAGATAAATCGCCGGGCCCTTGGCTGAGCCGTTGAACGGGGGCAACTCGCGTTTGTGTAGACATCGTGGTCAAGAATCTGGCACAACTGCGCTGACAGTGGCCGGCAGAAGCGCGAATAAAAAACAACGTGGTGTTTGAGAAGACCTCAATGACGCACCATACAGGCGCACACACTACCAGATGAGGGGCGAAATGATGCCCGAGGGGTCCGGGTTCTGATTGCGCGGGGCAAACTCTTTTTCTTGAGCGTAGGATCAAATGCCGTCTTTAGGGTACACGATCGACTATCATTATGCACAATGCCGTTCGAAGCGATAAGAGGCCCTATATGGAAGATCGCGAGAAAATCAATTTCGAGATCCCGATGACGTCGGATGACTCATCGTATCAGGAACACCCGTCACATCGACAACTATGTTATTGGCAATAGAATTAGGAGAATAGAAGTTAATAATCATTGATGATATGAGGTTGAAATAAGTGTAGATGAACTACTCAAAGCGGGGTTGTGGCTGAGCAGTTGGCATAAACAGACCAAGCTTGGTATAACTACATCGATTCAATATCTTGCCGGGTATAACCTGGTTGGATTGAATCCAAATCTCTAATCTATGCGATCTTTTAGCTGTATACATGGAACTCAATCATTTCTTCTTGTTCTTGCCACCTCCTCTGCCACCTCCACCTCCACCACCACCCTTTCCACCTTTGCCCTTGCCCTTGTCACCACCTCCAGCACTTCCAGCTCCTGCAGTCATGATGCGTACCTTGCCCACAACCATAGTGTTGATAATCTCTGTATCCTTCCAGCCCTTGATGAGCTCTCCCTCCCGTTCCCGGAGGCGCTCGGCATCAACACGAGAGATACCAAGATCTTCAGCGTGCTCTTTCTTGACCTTCCCGGTGGTGGTCTCAGATACCCACCGACCAATGATCTCCTTGACGGCCTTGCCCTTCTTCACGGAGCCAGGCTGCAGCTTAACTTTGTATTTGTAGCGTGCAAGGGCAGCCCATGGAGCACATACAGGAATAGCAGCAATAATTTCGTCATCTGTAGTTGGTGTACCCACCAAGGCTGGAATCCAAGTGAGATCTGCAGCTTCGGCGGCAGCTGTCTCCTCATTGTAATCATCCGTTCCATTTTCCGTGAATTGGGCCTGGCGTTTGCGCTCAGCTTCGGCGGCACGCTCATGCTGAGCCCGTCGTCGCTGCCTTTGCGCCTCGGCCTCTCGTTCACGCTGTTCCTTTGCTTCAGCTGCCTTAGCTGCCTTAGCGGCTTTGCCCTTATTGGCACCCACCAAGCGAAGAGCAAGTTCTCGCTCATCCTCATCTTGATGGGCATACTTGGCAGCAGCGCGCTTGTCCTTCGCTCGCTTGCCGCGAGTGGGCGCGATGCGTGGTGCAGCTGCTTCTTGCTCGCCGGAGCGGTCAAGCGGCTTGCCTTGTCGCAAGGTACGTCGCTCTCGAGCATTCAGGCTCGTTTCTTCATTTTGCTCGGACACAGAGTCTTGACCTGCAGTGGATGTAGCCTCTTCTCCCTCCAGCTGATCTTCAGCGGCTTCTGGCTCCGGCTCAGACTCAGACTCCGGTTCTTGAATTGGTTGAGAGGCGAGCCCGGAATCACCACGCTGGAGAGGGTTTCTGGTGGCAGCTTTGTCGTCTTCATCCTCCTCCTCGGATCCTGCATCTTCCTTCTCTGTATCTTTCTTCTCTGCGTTTTCCTTGTCTGTGACTTCAGTGACCTCTTCGGTAGCATCCGCCTGCCCTGAAGCTTCTAACTCCATGGCGTCCTTGGGCTTAGAAGCCTCTGTCTCATCTGTAGGAGTTATAGCAGCTTGTGGAACGTCAGGTGTGTCAAATCGCTGCTTATGGTTTCGAACGCTTTCCTGGCTGATTTGGAACATAATACCAAATCCAAGCACTAGTTGCGATGGGGCCAAGAAGTTCTTCTCTCCTTTAATTTGGAAAACACCCGTGGGCAGGATTCCACTACCATTGTCTGCGGTTTTGGATACCTGGTGAGCATGCGCCCACCAAGCAGACATCACGGCCTTAGAATCCCAAGCACTTGAAGTCGCGACGCAGAGGTTACCTGCTTGAGATAATGTGCTAGGAGAGATTGGAGCGTCTGCACTACCAGGTCGGTTCTTCACCACGATTGGCGTAGCACCTTCGAGGTCAGCGTGGACAAAGATATCGCCCTTAGACAAATAACGCCGGTACAGTAATTCGCTTTGCATAGCGTCCCGTGCACTATTAATGTCAGTAGATGTCACAAATAGTGCTGAATGGGGCCACATACCCTATAACCAAGTAACCCTCCGAAGAAATGAAAAAGATAAATTTTTCGAACCAGAATGGCGTGCGAGCCTGTCGAAGTACTTGCTTCTCTTTCTTCAAGCCTTTTTTGAGGTCAATCGTCACCTTTTTCTCGTGACTTTTCAGTGCCTTCGTGGACGACTGGGCTGTTCTTTGCTCCTTCTCTGAGGCTTGCTTCTTCTGGTCATAGTATTGCGATGCGTTCGCCCATGGGCTCAACCCAAGGTCAATATCAATGGTCAGAAGCTTAGACTCTCGTTCTGCACGGCCCTTCTCTTGCTCTGCTTCTTTCTCCGAGTCGGAGTCTGATTCATCGCTGCTAGAAAACTCCTCGTCTTCATCCTCGTCATCGCCGGCTTCTCCGAGAAGTAGTGTGACCGTGTTTTCGTACAGTTTGAGGGGCAGCTTAATGGTCTGCGCCACTGGATTGCCGCGACCCTGTTCCATCTCAATCAGTCGGGCAATCTCACCCCAGTCCATCCCTTGGGCCACCAGTCCATTGACTGCATCCATTGCCTCCTGGACTCGGTAAACATTGTCCTGAATAGCATCCGCTTTACGGATGTGAAGCTCTTGTACGTTTTTGAGCTCATCGATTCGCTTTTTGTGCTCTGATCGCACGGATTCGAGCTTCTTCTTAGCTGCCTCCTCGCGCTCTGTCAATCGCGACTCGAGTCGCTGAGATTCAAGAGATGAGAAGTATTCGTCGACCGTGGCATTGAAGCGCTCGAACTCCAGAATCTTGATTCCTGGTTTATTTTCGAACTGTCGAGGTTTGAAAGGGTGGAAGTCCTCATACAACAGATTCGGGGCTTTTGATGAAGTCTCCCCTTCCGGGATAGGCCGCGTGTCTTCTTTCGCAACAATGTAGCCTGGATGGCTGTCGCCAGAATCAAAAGAGTTCGAAATCCGTTGTGATTCTTCTAACACCTCTTTCACGGCCTGCAACAGATCTTGGCTCCCCAAGACTTGGTCCAATGGCACTGTAGTATCAAATTCTTTGACCGCAAAGACGTGGTCTAGGAGCAACGGAGGATATTCGGGAAAGCCTTGCGACAATGCCTTTCGCAAAACATCTGTTGGCTTTTTCTTGGACTTCTTGGGCGCATTTCCCTCTTGGGCAGAAAATGCCTGTGCCTTTTCTAGTGTCTGCAAAATTCGATCCGCTGTGATGTCCGGAACCCCGTCATAGTTCTGCTTATTAGACACAGTGTACTTGAGTCCGGCCTTGATCTCTTCCTGACCCACACCGGCCGCAACCTGACGGAAGAAAGCAAGAATGTTGTACTCGCGATCTGTCAAGATAATGTTACCACCTGCGAAGAATTCGAGGAAGATGTGGTATGCGCCATCGCTGAATGAGATGTCGATGATACGGTCAGTGCCAATTTGAGAGATGCCTGTAATCCGACGAGACTTCAGGTACTTTCGGAGACGGGTTACGAATGGCGAAGGTGTGGTTGCCGCGGTTCGCGAGTATTGGGTGACATGAGTGCGAAAACCGGAATCAATGATGAGTTGACGTCTATGGTCTGGCTTGGCGAGTTTGAAGAGGAATATACGCTAGAAAAATAGCACATCAGCTCATCATTCCGTGGTAACGATAGAAAAAGAATCGAAGGTACATACCGAAGATAGGTCGTAAATGTTGGACACCCGGAGGTTGACGCACTCCGACGCCAATTCCTGTGTAATGACCTGGGACAGTTAGTACGGTATCATCTTCAAGGTAGCTATAAATATACCTTAACGTCCAAGGACGAGAATCTCTGCTTCATGGCTGTGTTTGTGAGGAGAAAAGGAATTTTTGAGGGTGACGTATGCGGGGCTAGAACTAGCTGTACGAGGAAATCGACCATGCGAGTTAATACTGCGTGGCAGAAAACTAAAAAGCTACCCCACTCACGTTCAGGTAGTATCTAGATGATGAACACTGCGTAGATATATAAACTTGTAGCTGTATGACTTAAACGGGGTTATCTCATGCATAGAATCAAATAATAAAGAATGGTGTATAATAGGGAAACAAAGATATTCGACTTCTTCACATATTGGATAAAGGCGGAACAAAGGGCGGTATAGATAGCCAGCCAATAAGACCCGTGAGTTTACTCTCGGGGTCCTAATTCGGAATAGCGGGAATAGCGGCCATTGCGCATTATTTATATACTTCAGCTTTCTATAAGAAGTATTGACATCCATGGATGGCATGGATGCTATATCAATATCTTGGCTTGACATTTTCTCTCATGCTACATATGTAAAAGACCCAGTTGCGTATTTTGCACCTTTTCTACCACCTATATTCTATATTTTACTGCCGATTCTTATCCCCTGGCGCAATGCCAATAAGAGGCGAAATAGTATGAAGAAGCACATATAAGGAAGTTATATAGGAAGACATCGAGAAATACATAGCAAAGCGGCACAAGCGGCCAGCTGTCCTCGTGGTACATCTTGCGAAAGTTCCTAAGATGTATAAGCCAGGTTTTCTCTAGGCGGGTTCTACAGTAGAAGAGAGGGGATGCACTTCGGAATCTCCCATACATACAATGACAAATGTCATGTGCTCGAGGTAATATGCCAGTTTAGAAATAGTTTCCTTGCCCACGTGTGCAGGAGGGAAAAATACCTTTGAATTGTTCTCTTCCCTAAGCTGTGTGAGCACACATGCTATGATATTACATGACAAAGTTGGGTCATATGAGACATTTATTACGGCGTGGCCCGGAATATCGCCACATATTCTTTTCATAGATGTGGGTGTAAATCATCACCTGGATGGAACAAGCTGACAAGCTCCCAAAGCCGACCTTTCTAGTCGGAAGGTTGACATAGACACGCCACCTACCTCCTCAAACATTCATTCCACTGCCAACTTACGGAGAGGATGACACCAGGTGCGATCTGTGTGAGCTAAACATCTCTTGGGAGATTGGTCTCGAGCAGAACCCACCTATTTGCCAAGGAAGTTTGGGAAATTCCTCGGTTTGCAGCTGATCTTCTTGTGGCGATACGACACCTCTTCAAAAAAGTCATGACCAATCTGGCGAGCTCTATATTAGGAAACTTGCCAAAAGTACGTAGTCGATTCTCTATGTGAATGCTCCCGTGTTATTGTCCAACTTCGTAAGCATCACTGGGCATTTGTTTTTCAGTTTCTTGCTCCTGGGCTATCAAGCTGAATGGAAGCTCTTCGGACTTGCCTATAGATCAATCAAATGGCCACTTGCACTGTTTCCCATTACTCTGAAAACAAGAACTATTTAATAATGATCAGGCAAAATAGCATGCTGCCCTGGTGCGAGTGTCAAAGCTAGTTGTAATGGAGCCGATCATGAGCCATTTCGAGAAAGTAGGCAAGATGCATGCGTGCACATGGAAATACATTGGGGCTGTGCACTCAGTGGTATTTCCCATTGATAATGCCACTGATAATCTAGCGAATGTTTCCGTCGTTTCAAATCTATCACTCCTGTCAGCAGGGAGTCATCTCACAAGTCAAGGTCAGGTATGTTTTGTCTCAATATTGTTTAATGAAGCCAAAATATTATTCTAGAATAATTAAGTACCAGATATGCATCGTATTCAATCGATTATCTAGCTTTTTAGTCTTGATATCTCCAAAACCTTGGATGATCTCACATTCCAAATCCCATTCCACATATCGCCCAGACACCGGGTTTGTTGATGCTAAGATACCGATATGATACGGAATGCATTGTCTCTCCTGAAATTACGCATATAGATTGGCTATTGATAAAACGAGAAAGGACGTCCTGTGTTCATCGTCTCCTCCAGTTATATATTCCAAGCCCTCTATCATTAAACAGCCCTATTACACTGCTACTATATACACATTCGACTCATCAATCTAAAATGAAGCTCACTATCTTCTTTCCGCTAGCTGCTTTCCTGTCATGGACTGTCGCTGAGTCTCTGACGGATCCCAGTCCCTGCCTTGTATGCTGTCACCATCTGGGCGTATGATTTCGACCCAGAAGACTAACCGTCTTTTCTTTTGAACAGAATCGATGTCTCAGCGATGCCGCCGACGTAGCAGGCTGCATTTCCAAGTTGGACTTCGAGTGCACTTGCCCAAGCCTAGCGTTCAAGGAGACGCTTGGTACCTGTTTGGAGATTTCCTGCAGCCCGGAAGACTTGACAGGTATGTACTCCTCACCTATGCCGCTTTTGTTGCTATTTAATTTTGAATCGGTCTCAAATGAGACTCGATCTGTTTGAGGACTGTGGCTAATTTTTTTTCTTTAGTTGCCGGACAATTGCACAAGGAACGTTGTGGGTCGGCTCCTGAGTAAGGAGGTTATATGTACTTTGATGTCCATATGACCTTTTCTTTTCTTTTCGAGAGTGGACATAGGGGATTAAATGAATGAACAGGGCTCGATCTAGCAATTCCTAGAAGCAAACTTGAATTTGATCTAGTGCTAGTAGTAGTAGTAGATGTAGAACGCGTGATGATATATATATTGACTATGTACCCAAGAAACATATCCATCTGTTTTTAGTTTTGCACTCGACATGTCCAACTTCTTCAATAATTTACATGCATGTAATTATTGACAAGCTGAGAGACAAAACAATACAACCAAAAAAACTATGATGGATGGATGATAATGTAGTCTTGGTGACGTGACCCATATTTTAGCCCTATTTCATCTGTGCTTTGATCATTGAACAAAGCCCACCACGTGTTTGGGTCTAGACTTTTGCTAGATCTTGTTGATATCCACTGAATCACTGCACCTTGACATGGTCCATGCATGGTTGGAAAAGCTTAGATATCGCCTGCTGGGAACGAAAAGATTACGTAGTTTACAGTACTGCCCACCCTCACCTGGGCAGGTAGATGGACGGTTCTACGAGTGCAATATAGCCGAGCGAATGAAAAGACCCTGGGAAGAACTCCATCATTGCTATTGCACGAGATTGATATCAAGATAGGGACAAGGTAAAGACAATAAAAGAACATTCAAGTATTTTGTTCTGAACTTCATATTCTGATCAACCCATCAACATTTATGCGACGTTCTCGTAGGCAACGGGGAAGCGCTTCATGTTCTCCTCGACGGTACCGTGACCACGGAGGAACTGAACGTAGGCACCGTCCTGGCGGAGCTTGCCCTCCTGGCGGAGCTGGAGGTACTCCTCGCGGCGAACGGGGGTGAAACCCCAGTTCTTGGAGACAATGATCTTTTGGCGACCGGGGAACTTGTACTGAGAGCGGCGGAGGGCCTCAAGAGCAGTAGCACGGTGGGCGTCACGGGTGCGGACGGACAGAATGATCTGGCCAATGTTCACACGGGCGACGAGACCCTGGGGCTTACCGAAGGCACCACGCATACCGGTCTGCAGACGATCGGCACCAGCGCAAGACAACATCTTGTTGATACGGACGACGTGGAAGGGGTGCACACGGACGCGCAGGTGGAAACCTTCCTTACCGGCGATCTTCACAAGGTACCTATTGGAAGTTATATGAGATTGTGTTCATGGATATCAGGCGAGAGATGTGGTAGCGGAGATAGTAACGTACTTGTTGGCGCAAATACGGGCGGCCTCGAGAGCCTCGGAGGAAAGCTGCTCGTACTCGTTGGAAACCAAGTGGATGCAGGTGGGGAAGTCATCCACGTTGGCCTTCTTACGACCAAGATCGAAGATACGAATCTTAGGGTCGGGAACACCACGGTTGAACCGAGACTTGGGGTAAGGCTGGATGTTGAAGACTGATGTCAGCGAAAACCGCCCATCTCAAAAAAGAAAAAAAAGCCAAAAAAAGATCCAAAATGCACAAGCCCAGTGCCACGAGAATCACTTCTCATAGCAAAGGTGATATTCCCGTCGTGGCGAGGTGATCGTTCTCGATGTATTGATGCACACTCCCCACCACCAAGATAATCCGCACAAATCTTCAAAAGCTCGTGAAATCGGCACGCACCTTGTTCTTGCAGTAGCGGTAGCATCTCGCGGGACGACGGGCCATTTTGAGTGCTGGAAGGGTGGTGATGGCACTTCCTGCGAACTGGGTATAGGTTGTCGGTGGTTGTCGAGGGTTCGGGAAGGAAGAGAGAAAAGAGGGTCGATTTCGCTGTGGTCACGGGTCTTGATTTCCAATCAACTCTGTGGCAAAAGGGTTTAACCCTATTAATGCCTGAGCGCTCAGGCCTCCAGCCAGATTCCTTCTCACTTCATGATTGGTCAATAGCTTTCTCCACTAATCCATTTTTGGCCCACCTCTATCATGCTGATCCCTCGCTTTGATGCACTTGAAACGATTCCAGTACATTTGTATATATTCTCCTGTGTTTCAGTTACTATTTCCTTTTCCGTATACGGAGCACTCCGAGTCATGCCCTAGCATGCTTGGTAATCCAAAACATCGATCTAATACAAAGGTACATACAAAGCACGTCATCTGTACCCTGTACAACGTATAGGATACGATACGAAGAAGATGGAGAGACTGCCCTGAAGGGAACACTATGTATCCGCCAACTGCTGAGCGCAATAAACCTAAAGAAGCTTAATATGTGTCATAAGCTTGGAATCGGATCAAGATGGACATCAATTCATCAACCAACGCAGTGACAAACGTTACCCATTTCAGCATTTGGCTTTTGACAAGGAGTTATACACGACAAACCCGCCATGAACTTGAAGTTCTAAGCCGTTACGAAGTGTTATTTCGTAACATGGTGAGGAGGTATGTATTAATTGCAATTTTCTGGGAGTTGTATGTTTCAATATGCGTTATTTCAATTCCAATGGCCCTAGAAAGAGCCGCCTTGAGAACATCATGATACATAACTTTCCTTAGAAATCTTCCACAAGAGTATGACGAGGATGTGCAGGTTTTGCATGACTATCTAGATAAGTGGAACAAATTTCCTATCGATCTTAGCCCTCGTCGAGGATAACTAAAGGCTGAACTCCGGATACCCCGAACTCCGGGGTCTATTCCGAAACCTGGAATGTTGATCATCATTCAATTTCCATCGAGACTGTTTCTATTCATTTTACTATTTCCATGAATCATGATCAATGTCTCCTGGGCGGAAAGTATCTCTCAAATCCTGGGCTGGGCCTATTCCATCCTGTGGTCGCTGTCATTCTACCCGCAAGTCCTGCACAACCATCGTCGGCGTTCAACAGACGGCTTCTCTATCGATTTCGCTCTGCTTAATGTGCTTGGATTGTCTGCATACACTGTTTTTAACGGGTGCTTCCTCTTTTCAACGGTAGTGCGCGGCCAGTATGCCCAACGACATCCGCAGAGCCCTAAACCAACTGTCCAATGGAATGATTTTGTTTACGCCCTCCATGGAGCGCTGATCTGTTGTTGGATTGGCAGTCACTTCCTCTACACGCGGTTCTGGAACTTTAAATCCGAGCCGCAGCGGGTGAGCACCGCCACTCTTGTCGTCTTCTGTGGCTGCCTGGGGGTGGTACCCCCAGCCGTTCTGTGGATTCTGGTATCGGCGTCGTGGGAATGGATTGATGTGGTAAGAAAGCGACCAGGCCTCTGAGCCCTAATTAGACCGCATACGCTGACTGAAATATACACGTTAGGTTTATGTGGTCGGCATGATCAAGGTGTTCCTGACAGCCGTCAAATACACCCCTCAGGCGGTGATGAATTATCGGCAGCAGTCAACGGCGGGGTTTTCCATCAGGGCGATCCTGCTAGATCTATCCGGTGCAATACTATCGCTGATACAGCTGGTGCTGGACGCCTCCTCGCAGGGGGACTGGTCAGGCGCTGTCGGCAACATTGCCAAATTTCTGCTGGGAAACATCACCGTTCTATTCGATCTCATCTTTATATTTCAGCACTTTGTTCTGTATCGGGAGAGATCAGCCGAGAATAAGCCAGGGGTATCGGAGAACGATCCTCTCCTTGATAGAAGGAGGAATGAGGCATAGACATTTAGATTCATATTATCGGAACTTTCATATAGATATGCAACATAGCTGAACTTGGGAATGATACGCAGAGGACCCTTTTGGTCCGAGGCATTTAGTTTTCCATGGTGGATGATATTACGCGCCTAGAGTTCCGCTCTGGGGTCTTTTCTCTCGAGATTCGGGCGCTGATTCTAGTTGTAAATATCCAATCGGCGGAAGAACAGGGTTCATAGGATTTGCTTCCGGCATTGAGCCTCCAGTGCAAGAGGCGACTGTCTTTCTGAACATCCTCATGACCGGCGACGAATCAAGGTTGCAGGCATTGTCACGGTAACTCGACTCTCGCCCCCACCTCGTGATCCCTGCGAACCAAGTAACGAAGGCCGGGATGGTTGCATCGGATAATCCTTGGAAAGACATAGCCAAGATGATCTGATAAGATATAATGCAAGTACGGATCCGATGGCGATTCTTGACTCAAGGTTCAGTGTGTATATAAACTATATTCACAAGAGAATCGCCCTACCATCAACACAGCATTTGATCAAAAGACGCCCTGAAATCTGGGTTATCAAGAAGTTCCATGCCTTCTAGGTCGACAAAAAAGGGGGTATCGAGGTCGATCTCCAAAGTGTTATCTATATCACCACAAGACATGGATACCTCAGATTGTGGCTCCAAAATCTCATCGATGATACGAGAGAAAACAGATGCAGCTCGCTTGAAGAAGGAGAAGCTGGCCTGGCCTGGACGGGTCGTAGACTCCAGGTGCGAGATGAACACACTCAGGTTGCGGATGAGAGAGGACCGAGACCCTGAATACAGCATCGGTTGACCTGTCTTGGCCTGTTGTTGCAATGCTCGAATTAGCACGCTGGCACCTGACAGCCCATAAAGAAGAATCTAGTGGAATTTAGTACGCTGATTGATACAAGCAAATATACATAGGTGTTCGAAGTATTGCTCACAATCCATGTAAAGTCACGCTGGATGGCAAATAATTGTTCCCATTGTCGGCCCAAGGTCAAGACGGTGGAGAGGATCGTTGCGCTAACGTCCAGCTGCGCCGTATTTGTGTCCCCCGAGTCCTTGTCTATAAGACTTTGGACCAAAAACTCGTTGTAAAGGTAAGCGAGGTAGGAAATGAGTAGCGTTAATTTCACATTGGGAGGGAGGTCAGTTCCCCAGCAGTCAGGCGTGTAATGGAGATGCGCCGGCAGCGAGACCCAGGCCTGACTGCAGCGACGAGATACATCCCTGGATAGCAGCAGTTAGAGTCAGTATGGTGGGACAGAACTGTTTTAGGTCGGATATAGAAGTGAACTTGCATTAGTTGATTGGTCCTCTCCGCACTCGGTTTCTGAAAGGAAAGCTCCAGGATTTCTTCTCGAAATGTGCTGATAATAAATCTTAATCGTATCCAGGTTGCTCTTTGGTAGATTTTTTCGATATTCCACCCGTCGGCATCCAGAAATGTTTGAGCAGTCTCCAGAAGTTCGGGGTCTCCTGCTAGAACATGATCTCCTATATCTAGAGGAAGACAGCAATCCGAGTGACGCCAAGAGATTCGTGGTGGCCGTCCGAGAAAGGTTGCAATGTTTTTGTCGATTTGATAGGCAGCCGCGAACAGTCTCCGTCGAGATTCTATAATAAACCGTGGTAGTGGAGTCGAGCTAGCGTTGTCTCTATGAACTCCTAGCTCAAAGATATTCGTCGAGAGCTCCCCCAGGCGCTGCCAGGTGACAGAACCTATAATAAGTTTTGTCAGTGGTGACCGCTATGCGAGCAGGATTGAGAACGAGGACGCACTCGAATCTCCCAACACTAAACTTGACAAGATGAGATTCTCATGGACCAGCCATAGGGTAAGTTCATTCAGAGTTGTCAAGTCCTTGCATATATGCAGAGTAATATCGCAAGCAGCAAGCATTTTCCGAGATAATTGAGATAGAGACTCGGCATTGGAGACTCTGCTACCAGATAGTCCAAAGTAGCTGGCCCGGCCGGCTAGAGCACAGATGATTCCGATAATCTCCATCCGGAGAGATGATCCCGTGAAGCACTTGTGAAAAGTAGCCCCAGTGATATTTGGGGGTATCCTGAACGTACTAGACGTGTTCTGAATGATACATGTACTGAGCGCCGTGAGCTCTTGGTCGGTCGCGGTCTCGGAGAGACTTTCACGGAAGGCGATCTCGATCTCCGTGATGGCGCTGAGTACCACCGGGGATGCAATGACGACAGTTTGTGTGATAGCATAATACTCTTGAATTAGATGTTTGATGGTAGAGAAGTCTTTAAGGCTGCGAAACACTTCTATAGCCCTCTTTACCCACCAAGATGTTGGAGAGATGGCAAAACCCTCACTTCCATTTTGGGTCAGTTGGTCGCTATCGGAAATCAAGTCGCTCTCATCTTCTAGCCCTCCAACAAAATTGGTGGGGCCTAAGTAACCCACTGGCGGCGATGGCTTTGTCCGAGGAGTTGAATGTATGGTATAGGGACTTTCTGCCTCTAATTGCAACCCTTCGGAGCAAGAGAGAGAGGTTCCCAAGGTATTTGATGAGGGTGAGCACGTCCTTCCCCTTTGGCATTAGTCGGTGATACCGACATAGTCCGGGCAAGTATACTTACAGATCAACATGACTATATTTGTTCCCTCGTCTCCTATTAGCACTAGTTAAAGGTGCAGGATGGTACACACATCGATGTGCAATACCCCGTCTTTGGCAGCGAGAGCATACAGGCAGTACATGATCGCACCGCACTTTGTCTTTGCGACAAGGCTCACAGGATGCAAGTGTGCCGTTCCGACGCCGAGAAGTCCTAGTATGGCATTAGCACGGCCTTTTAGCACGAGACGAGACCATTACATAATGCAAGTTCTTTTTCTCAATTTTTGTGTGGACTTAATTCGTAGAAGTCAATATGTTATTTTGTTTTGCCTCGGGGCACAGGTAAGGTCAGAAAATGAGCATAGCATCATCAGGGTCTCGGAGTATCGGAGTTCCACCGCAATTTCGGAATTCGCTACTCCATAAATCCATTCCTATTGTATCACCTGACAGATTTAGTATTAGCTACCAATGGAATCAATTAAAGAGACATATATTAGAGAAAGGTTTCTTAGGAACGGGCATGTCATAGTGCGGTTACTGTCGGCGTGTATGAAAGAGCGCAGGACACGATGAGAACAGACTAGCGTGAATGATTAGGTTGCTATAACTATACTAACTTTAGAATCTTAGAAGAGCTTATTGTGTACTCCGTATATCTATCTGGAGGTATTTTTTATGTCTATTTGTTCAAAACATATAATAACTGTACACGGTGCCTCGTACTGATGTGGTATTTTATAAGCATATTTAATCACTCCACTCCAGGGGGTGGGAGGTCTGAGGGTCACGTTCAGTTGCTTTGTATGAACTATCTGGGGTAGGGAAATTGCTCTAAGGAAGGAGTACTAACACCCTTGAATTAGGTCTATAGATCTTAATGTATAAAGAGTCAGCCAGATCTCTCTACTCCGTATGGAGTACCCGAAGCTTGATCCATCATTGTCATTCTTGCTCCCCTTGTAGTCCAGTCAAAAGGTTCCGGAGCATGATCAACTCACCTGCATTTGATTGTTGGTGGCGCAGATTGTACCCAACTTGATTTGTTGTCCATTTTGAGTATCAGCCCATGTTGTTGGGCTATCGAGCGATAACAAAGAAAGTGCCTCATGTGGTTGCCTGAGAGATGATATCCTGGGGTCTTGGCGAGCATTGCATGCATTACAAGAGTAGTCTAGCTCGACTTGTTAGTAGCGACAATGACTAGCTTGGCCTTGTACGATTCTCATGATAGGACCCCTATTGCTAGACTTCATCATTAGGGGGTGAGAGTCTCTGTACTCCATGACCTGATATCACCTGATGGATTAGTAGGCAGAATGCTGTGATTGGTGTTAGAGAGGTAATGTTGGGGGCCTTGACCATATAGGCCCAAATTAGGCCCAAATTGAGAAGTGCAAGGAGTAACTACACAATGTACGTTGTATGCCCGGAATATGCAAGCGGAGAGTGGAGATGGGAATATATTATTCCGAGATTGCATCTAAGTCCTGATACCATCTCCTATTCCAAAACGGCTAAATGTGCCTGTATTAATTCTTTCATGCTCATGCCATAATATCTAGTTGAATAAAACGAACTTCTAATCCAGCAAATCCCATTCTCTTTTCCTTTTTTTAGAAAGTCCTCTCGTATTGATCCAGCCCCCAAAACCGTTGCGTATTTTTAGATACAGTAAGGGATCCGCATTCCCTAGATAACTTTGAAGGTCTGCAACCATCTTTCTCTTTCTCATTCCAATTCATCCGGCCATTGTTTCCGATGAATTTACTTCGATCAACCATGTGGCATGCAATCAATCTGTGACAGCTTTGAACCGCATTCCTGGCAATCTTCCCAGACAAGCGCTCTCCACAAGGTGTCCACTAAGTTTTGACCGCTCCTAATTACACTTGCAACTCCGAAATCTTCTTTTCTCTCCCCCAATTGAAGTATAATATTGGGTTATATACGTTTTATTTTTTTTCTTATACATTCATCAGCGGACTTGGGCCCTTTTCACCATGTCAGCAACGCCTCGAAAGCCTGGAACTCCCGGCAGTTCCAGCAAATCACCAACCGCAGATCCGCACTCCAACAACGGGTCCACCACACGAGGACATGCACGCTCGCCCAGTGCAGCCAACGGTCTCAACCGTTCTCCCTCCTTAAGAGGTTCAACTCCCGTCTCCGCGCGCGCAGCTGCAAGAAAACCAGGTCGTTCCAATCTCAGCATGTCAAACGTTCCACGAGTTTCCAACGACCCGTCCGAAGAAGAGGCGCGGGCTCAAAATGCCGCTCTCATCGAGGAACTACGGGAACAACTTCAAAAGGCCGAAAATGCCTCGGAGCAATACCAAAAACAGCTCGGCGTACTGCAAATGCGCCTCGATGAAGCGATCAGTGAACAAACCAAGTTGGAGGACCAGGCTCATGAGCGAGACAGTCGGATCGAGGCCCTCAACAGTGACATTCGGGACCAAGGGCGCCAAATCCGGGATATGGAACAAAACCACGAGTCGGAACGGAACGCTATGCTCCAAGAGAAAGAACAACAGACAAGTCGAGAGGAAGAAATGCAGGCGACTATTCAACGTTTGAAGGATGCGATGGCACAGAAGGATCGCATGAACGCAGAAGGAGATCGCCAAGTGTCCCGATCTTGTAAGACCCTTACGCTCCTTCAAATGCCGATGATTTAATTTAGAGACTAACACTCGTTATAGCGAGCTTCCGTAATAGGTCTTCCCCGGACTTGGATGGTCAATTTGCGCCCTCCTCGCACCTCGAGCGGAGCCCGTCCCGCAACAACTCTACACTTCTCCTGCAGAAAGACAAGCTTATCGAGTCATTACGCCTCGAACTGGCCGAATCACAGATCAAACTCGTCGAGATGGAGAACGCCGGTGGTGGCCGTCAGCGAGAAATAGAGAAAGAGTTGCTCGAGGCACGCGTGGCCAACGCTCGCTTGATGGAAGATAATGAAAGCTATCAACTTCTTCTCAGTGAGAAGACTCTTACCGGGGACTTTGCCAAGGGCGAGTTCATGCGAGATGCCAACCCTTCAAAGGAGTCCGCAGGTGGAATGGGTTCCTTAGCAGATGAGCTTGAATCCGTGGATGAGGCCCCTGAAACTGAAGGCGCTCAGCAGCAGGATGGAGAGGTGAAGGCCCTCAAAGACCAGAACAAAGCCCTCACGCTCTATATCGAGCGCATCATTAGCCGACTGCTTATGCATGATGGATTTGAGCATATTCTGGACCGGAACGAGGATGACGAAACATCTACCACGAAGACTGGGGGCAGTGAAAAGGAGCTCCCCCCAACTCCTCCGGAGAAGGATGACGGCTCTTCACAAAGTCTCCTACAACGAGCCAAGTCAGTTGTCGGTGGTCCAACCTCCCGCCCTTCCACCCAACCTCGGTCTCGCCCAAACAGCATGATGCCTCCACCACAACCCTCACAGAATAACCCCAACGAGAACCCCAACACTGCCCCAAGCATTCCTTTCCGTACGCAATCCGTGAGAGCTAGCCATCGCCGCACCCGGTCGGAACAAGTCGACCCCAATGCTGCTAGTGTCGTTAGTCACATGTACCGGGGCGGACGCAACTCGGGCGGACCTATCAGCCCGACTGGAATGGGCCCTGGATCCCGCCAAAGCATGTTCTCTGGAGCAGCAAGCTATATATCTAGTATGAGCCGCGCACCTTCCCTGTCCAGCCAGCCGGAGCGAACCGGTCGCAGCAGCTCTCCTAGTGTCACAAGTGATCCTCACGGAGATACAGCCTCCACCGGGGCTACCTCCAGCCCTCCCCGATCCAGTGGCGGCATGAACAACTACACTGGAGCTGTGATGCAGCAGGACAAGTTACGTCCTCTACGCCTTGTCAGCGAAACCGCTAGAATCAAGGAGGAGGAAGAAGCGGCACGCAAGAAGGCAAACCGCGCGAGCTGGATTCCGTGGTTGAATCGCTCCAACACTGATGAACCGGCGCCCCAGTAGGCCTTGTTCTCTGGGCAGTATGATTTGATGTGATCTCAACCTGGTCTTGGACCATTTTTTTTTAACATACCCATACCCCCCTATGATGCACATAACGCAATTTTATGTCTTGAAATCCTCCTGGATTCCAAGGACCCCGATTTCTCATGTTTTCTTTGACGCGATCTGACCATGATGTTTCCCCATGCGATGTGGTTCCGAAAGGACCATAAAACATCATGGTTTATCTGTTTTATCTTGATATATATTATTCCCCATGTCTCGTTCACGATGATGTCTTTTCACTCATTTTATGTCATATCCCCAATCTCAAGATGTAGTTATATCTTATTCTAGTGTTTTAGTATTACAACTGAGGACACGGGCCAACGAATGGTTATATCTTCATTTATATCAACTTGCCACACACCAATAACATAGCAAAGAACTAGAGCTCAAGTAATCCGAAGCATACTGAGAATTAGTAACAACTTAGAGGAATAAGTATGGATCTATTCCTCATCACTTTTGAAGTACGCTGTCCCCAGTTCGTATAGTAGAGCTTAAGACGGAACAACATTAGTCCGTCTCCGCCTCCGGCCAGATTGGCGGTTGAGAGCATCAACAATCATAAAGACAGTATTACACCAATTGCTCCCCGACGCAACAATATTCACCATGCCAGGCTCACTCTCCCTCTTCTCCGTCAATGCGGTCCTCGTCATGTCCGCCGACGATGGCTCCCGCATCTTCGCAAAGTACTTCTCGGCACCACACCCCCCCGCCGGCGCTGCACCGAACTCAACTGACTACCCCGGTGCCAACCCCTACCCGACCGTGAAGGAGCAGCGTGCCTTCGAGAAGGGCCTCCTCGAGAAGACCAACAAGTCCACAAGCGACGTGATCCTTTACGATGGCCGTATTGTAGTCTTCAAGATGGAGAGCGACGTCATGCTGTACGTTGTCGGAAGCGCCGACGAGAACGAAGTCCTGCTGTACAATGTTGTGCTGTCACTACGGGATGCTCTTGGAATCTTATTCAAGTATGTTTTTTGATCGGAATTCGGTCGACTGGCGCTAACATGATCGTTATTAGGGGCGCAACCGATAAGCGCACTATCGTCGAGAACTACGACCTCGTCGCCCTGGCCATTGACGAGACTATTGACGACGGAATCATCCTCGAGACTGACCCGGTTATGATTGCTTCGCGTGTCAGCCGCGCACCGGCGGCAGATGCACCCAACATGAAGAATATCGATCTCACGGAACAGGGTCTAATGAATGCCTGGGAGTTCGGCAAGCGGCGTCTTGCAGAGGGATTGCGACAGATGTAAATGGGACATCGAATTTTGTCTTGTATTTGAGGGCTACGATGTGTTTTCGTCCTCGTTGGAGCATTTCTTGACTGTTTTTCTTCCTGGCTGGTCCTGGCGCGTTATGGCTTTTCTTTTTTTTTTTTGTCTGCCTGACTTGGTTGTTTCCAGGCATCGGTGACATAGACATATTTCTTTTCATTCTAGCATCTTACAAAAGGTCTTGGCTACATCATTGTGTTATGTTCGATATTGACAATGTTGGGCTGGGACATCGCATAATTCATGATCCTATGTTTCGAGAGACTAATATGTGCAATGGAAAATCAATAGCCTCGTGAGAATTTCGTGTGTATTGCGCCTGTTGTCTATATAAAGGACTGGCGTGCATCCTCTCTATACAAGTTTCAAAGGTTACATAGCTCCATATTAATGTATCTCAGCACATAAGTTGCCCAGTTGGCTATGTGCTTCCTCAATCCAGTCAACCAAGTAGACCAATGGATCCGTCCTTAGCAGGGTCAACATCAGACCGCCCTGTCGAATTTCCGAAAAGCCGGGGATCTAGCAACGAAACAGTTTCCTTATCGAGCTTTTCCAAAGCAAGATCACCGGGAGTTCGGCCTTCCTCATCACAAGCATGTGGATCCGCATTTCCATAATCAAGTAGCGCCTTGGCAGTAGAGTAGTGACCATTCATACAAGCCAGATGCAAAGCAGTGAGTCCCGTTATATCACGGGTGTCAGGAGTGGCGTTGACGACTGTAAGCAGAAAGATCACGGTCGACGTGTGTCCGTTCATCGCAGCTCGATGCAAATGAGTCCAACGCAGGGAATCCCTAGAGTTGACATCGAGATTATAGGAATTGAATGCCTCTCGTTCTACCGACCCAGGCTCGTTTTGAGCGGATAGATATAGTTGCTGGGGGTGGGAGCCCTCGAACATCAGCATGTCATTCATTTTCGCACGCTCTAGGAGAACTTGAATCATTGCACCGTGTCCTTCGCCTGCGGCACTATGTAGTGCATCCAGTGCACTATCTCGTTCCATTGCTGTCATGTTTCCGGAATCAAGCAAGGTCTTGATCAAAAACGCGTATTGTTTCTTTTTCGCGGACCACGATAATAATTTGTCGATATCTTCGTCTTTTATGTTGAGGTTCAGGGGTAGCCTTCGATCCAGGACTCTGAGCAGTAACTTGTGCATGGCTTCGGAGAGGTCGAAGGCGTGGACGGCATGGTACAGCCAGAATGATATCGCGTACTTGTGGAAGTAGAATTGCTCCTCTGTGGGATGTTTCTGGAGTTTTGTCTCGGAGATGACTTTTCCAATATCAAAACTTGCCCTTTTCCGGGATTTGAGGAGTTTTATCGCCATATTCCGGACACCACTTGATGATTTGAGTGTTGAGAAAATCACCTCGGAGGGTACTGACCCAGTTCGTAACTGAGGTATTACGGTCCGTGAAACTTGTGTTTCGAACACGCTGTAGTTGAGGTAGGTGAGAATTATGCTTGCCATCATTTGATGAGCTTCATCAACATTGACTAGGGTTTCGGTCGAATCTTTGAATTCACCAAGCAGGAACTGTTTCACACTGTGGTGAACGAGATGTATAGTAAGCTCCTCCTCATCAATAGTAACAAGACTGCCACAAGAAGCCAAAGTGTTGTGCATATTGTTGATAAGCCTGTCCGAATTCCAGTTCAAATCTCCTGGAACAACACATAGAGCCTCGCGCAGTTGCTGGAGAGTAAGTGGAGTTTGGGCCACAGTCAGAATGGCTAGTATCTCTTTTTGACGTGTATTTTGGGACTTTGACCGTAAAGTGCGAGAGAATGTCTCTGAGAGATCTTTCGGTAGGCCCGCAAGAGCTTCGCGAATCTCCTCGTCACTTTCCATGGCGCATAGCGAATCAATTTGGAGAGCCACCCAAAGGAACATCCCTTGTGATCCTTTCAAGAGGGCATCTTGGATTTCCAGGATCAGAAGAGGACTGCCAATCGTGAGCTTTCCAGATTCGATTCGACTTTCCAATTCGGTCTCAATAAAATCCTCGATGTCCGGTGTATTGCTCGGAATTGGTGTAATAACCGGGGCAGCAAGTTGCGTGAAGTTAATTTGTAGCGGGTTCTCATTTGGGCCTTCACGAAGAGAAATGCAAAGTAGCATTACAAACGTATCACTTTGAAGGTCTGATAGTTGCTGGAGCACAATATCCCTTTGCGGCGCGTCGAGCTCGTCCAGCCCATCGACAACAAGGAAGAACCTTGTTGTTTTACGAAGAGGAAGAAGACAAGTTGAAAGAAGTCCCATCAGCCTTTCCATCGGTTCATACTCATGCGTTCCATTCAAATATTCTGCGGCAGCTGTAAAGTCCGATATAGAGTATAGCAACTGTCGAGCCAACGAGCCAATCACTTCCCGCGCTTTGAGACTCTCAGAGACGTCATGTCGGCAAAAGAAGTATGCCACATGGGTGTTTTCATTCTCGATATGGAGATCGTCCACAATATTGGCGAGTAGCACGGACTTCCCGGAGCCCAACTTCCCAGTGTAGATGAGAGTGGAAGAAAGTGGCATACTTTTCCAATTTTGATATTTGCGGTTCTCTCGAAATAGGTTGGTGTTACCCGACTTTCGAGCCTGCTTCCACGACACTGTGCAATCGTACTGGGAGCAGAAATCGAGTACCCGCTGTTTTGTTTGAATCGCTTGCTGATACGCAGTTGATTTCTGGAATATCGTTGAGACTGTTCTGAATCGCGAGTTGTTTTCGGCTTCGTCTTCAATTCCCTTGGCCATCAAGAAGCCAACTTCAGCTTTGATGGTCTTCCCCCAGGACTCGAGCTCGGATTGATATGTTTTCAGATCCGACTCACTAAATGCGGAGGCCAATTTCCCGAAAAGTGACTTGCGTGCAAAAGTAGTCATTTCGTGGCAAAGACGCACGATCAAAATAAAGTATTCACAGAGACAAGATTGCAAATCTTTTGACCGGGGATAGAGCAAGGCCATCTTTTCATAGCGAGGTGCAAGACGCCCAGCGGTCATGAATATGTACGACAATTGCTCAAGATAGGAAGAAAAATCGAGAACAAATAGAAGCGACATGCGCACTATTGACCAAACACCACATGCAAGCAGATTCTGAGATCCACCGACTATGACATCCCCCAAAGCAGCAAATTGCTGAGTAGCTTGTAGGACGTTCGTAAGTCGCGGTCCCAAGCACCGCCGTCGTTTCCCCGAGATACGATCAATCTCCGCGGTAAGTTGCATGACATCTTGAATACCAGGTGGAGACTCGATTGACTTGGTTCTATATGTACGGAAACTTGCTTTTTGTTCATTGGATAGTTCGGCCTCGAACTGTGAAACAGCTTGTGCGAGACGAACGTCTGGTTTCAAGCGAGGGGCAGAGCTCAGCGATTGTGACATGTCTGACATGCTCCCCGCGTTATTTCACTGATTCATAGAGAGTACTAAAGCAGATGAGTGTAATTCCAATTTAGTCCGGTGCTGACATTGAAACTAGCAAACAGTTTATAAGACGGTCAAGGCGGGGGAACTAGTCGATACGCTAACGCAGTAGGTGTGGGATAATGCCTCTAGAGACCATTCCCTTTCTGTCTCACCTCTTGCCGCTTTTTGATCACTGAATAAAACTGAATATATCTTGTTCTTATATTGAGGATTTATATAGTTTGCCGAGAGAGAGGTAGTATCGTCTTGCCAGAAATACGAACATTTCGATAGAAGTAAACAAAGTGCATTGTCTTCCCTTCCTGACTATTAAATCCAAAGAACCCAGCCCCGTCTTCCTCCCCCACCGCAGTTATCACAAGTACTATATACATGTCCCAGAATCAGTTCCGTCCCTGTTGAACCCCAAAAATCTTACAAGCTCCAACTTAGTCCACAACGTTGATGTATCTGTAGGGCTTGGAGGTGTAGCTGCCAACCTTCCAGCCAACCTCGCGCTTATGTGCGACACAGCCGTAGGTACCGCGGCACTCAAGAGTGTTGTACATCTTCTTTCCATCGTCGGCCCACGAGTTGAACAGAGTGACGTGGCCAGCAGCACCGCCAGTACCCTCTCCTAGGGTACCAACAAAGTCACCGGGCTGGAGATCATCCCAAGAGATAGCCTTGGCAATTTCAGGGAGACTGACAGTGTTGAAGCCTGGAGCAGACGCATGGAGAGCCATGCTAACGAAACCGGAGCAGTCTGTGCGGTACTTGCGGCCTTGAGGGTCTGGGTACACGTCGTTCATGGAGTACGGGACGTGGCGTGAGACCCAGTACTGACCGCGGGAGAGGATTTCCTTGCGGCTGATCTTGCCCTTGTAAGCTGAGCCGCCATCACCAGAGCCGCCACCACACTCCTCACCGACCATGCTGTCGGAACCGGTCTTCACGTAGTAGTCGGCAACATAGCAGCCGTCCTGTGTCTTGTCCCAGATATTGTTCCCGTTGACGTCGTCGCCAAAGGTCTGGCAGGAGATATCGACATCTTCACCCTTTGGGTATGACGTGACAACCTCATCGCTGGTTGAGGGACCGGTGCGACAATTGACTTGATCTCCAGTGATGGGGTAGGCATGAGCCACAGAGAAAACCGCGGCCATGGCGAGCGCCAAGTTCTTGAGCTGCATATTGGCGAGTAAGAGAAAATAAACAAGGGTTGTTGTGTTTCTGAAGACTGCGCTTTGCTTTGATTGTTCGATGTGACTTTGAATTGGCACGATTGATGTAGTTAATTAGAATGTTGTACATCAGGACGGATGCAGGTACTTATACCCTTTGACTGGGGCGTCGGACTCCGATACATTGGTGTGTCGATCTTTACCAGATGTTGATCGCCAAAATAACAGGACCATTGCCCAGGAGAATTAACTAAAATTAGTGAGAGGAAGTTTCTTTACGAAAGGTGTGGAGGTCTTTTCGGCTAAACAATGCGATGATAGACGACGATGAACCAGGACTAAAATTAGGTTTCGTAGGATTTCAATGCTCATCCGCAAAAGAACTCGTAATTAGGCCTTGGTTAGACCCATTTTCTCATGATAATACGAGGAAGACGAAGAGGATCAATTCTCCCCTGGGGCCAAACCGATCGTCTGCATAGAATATCTGGAGAAAATACGATATGAGATCCCAAAGCCCCCATATATGCCAAAAATAGTCTCGTTTCTTCACCTTGGCCTCGGCTTATACGAGCCGCCCGTGCATGAGCGATCGGCATAGTCTAAACGAAAGGGGAAATTCAGTCTACAGAAAACACGAGATTGCTTGGCAGGGCCACTTTAATATCGAGAGATGCACAATATACAAACGTGCCGAGTAGTAGCGTTACATAGTGTACTTGCAACGGTAAAATTAGAAAGGTCGATAACCGACTTTTGAATGATGATGGGACTTTCAAACTATCACTCTAACCCCGGAAGAGGTTATCCTATGGATCTAACTATAGCACTGGAGGTACAAGCTAATAATACTTTTGAAAAGGTTTCATGATGAAATTAAAATGTTTACTACTTCAATTTGCCAAGAGAGGAAAATCTATGCAATAACAATGTGTAGTCATTCGGAATCGTTAACCTGGCCCACTGGGATATCACGCTCGGTTGGTTTAAGAGCCGAATAGCACCATGCGTTCGAAGATTATTCTGAGACATAGTGAGTTAAAGCTATCGTCGACAGCGAGGAAATGAGCAAGAGGGGTCCATGCGTGGACGAAACTATTTTTGGATGGCGTACAAACTGACGCAATGAACTTCGTGTTTGGAGAAAATAAAAAGGAATCGATTAAAATAGATTTACATAGAGTTCGAATAAAAGGCATCGCTGGGAGTATGTAAGAGAGGCATATGGATGCGGGACGTAGGATACGACGCAGGGCATCTTTCTATAGTGTACCTTATACAGGCCTGTCCCGTATTTGGCTGAAGACCCGATAGAATGTGATATTGGGACCGAGCAATGCGCTTTCTCCACATAGTAAGTGGGATCTTCTTCTGTAGCCCTTGCAAACCATGTTGAAATCGAACGTGTCGTCTACTGGCGGTGGTTATATGGCGGTATTTAAACGCTAGTGCACCGCTATAACACTGAGAAGGGAGGGGATATATATCCTGAAAGAAGAGCTCTAAAAGTGATATCGAAGACCACCTAAAACACCACCTAAAAGACCACCTAGAAAACCCGCTGAAAAGGCTACGACAGTAGTCCTCGGGGGAACTAGGATTGTGGGAGGGCCATAGTTGATTTATTGAGACGTATAAGCGCGAAACCAAAAAAAAAACACGACAAGAAGAAAAGAGAGTTGGAAATGATATGTAGAGTCGAAAGTGAAGACAAACCTTGCGCCTAGCCACATGCTCTATTAATAACCTTGCAAAGTACACAATCAATGAAGGAATTTATAACATTGCAACCCAAACACAACAAGAACAACGTATCTATTCTCTTCCAATGAGACCTTCATCTTCTACATCAGCACATTAGCACATCCAACCCCCATCCACATTATAAACAGCTCCAGTCACGAAACTGGCTTCGTCACTAAGAAGAAATGCAACCACAGTTGCGATCTCTACCGGTTGTGCCTGCCGTTTCTGTGCCGTCTTCTGCAAGCCGCGCTTCACATACTCGAATATACTGATTCTCCTTTGCTGCCGTCTGCGTTAATCCAATAACAGCTGCTTTGCTGGCGCAGTAGGCCGAGACACCCGGGGCACCCATTTGACCGAACACACTTGCAGCGGAGACCTATCCGGAAAGTGATTTAGCATCGTCTCTCTAGAGTTCGACACTGGGATGGGACTCACAATGCTACCACCTGATTTCATCGCTTTCAACTGAGCTCTGAGGCAGAAAAATACCCCCCGCGTATTGACGGAAAATGTGAAATCCCAATTCTCATCGGTCTCTTCTGTGATCGCAGCAGCAGGAGTGATCACTCCGGCCATATTTACAGCACCGTCCAGCTTTCCTAATTTGTCAACAGTGGACTGGATCCATCCGTCCACTGATTTACTGCTGCGCACATCGATAACCGTGGACATGTGTTTATTGCTGTCTGGAAGGGACTGGATAGCCTCGCCTAGGGCTATTTCGTTTATATCAGCGAGCGAGATTATTGCACCTCGACATGCAAGGAGCTTTGCTGTGGCCAGCCCCATCCCGGAGGCTGCGCCGGTGATAGCGATCTGGCAGAGACATTGTTAAATCTGAATACATTCGATATATCACTGATCCATACCACTTTATCTTCAAAAGATGTCATTGTCATTGTTTTCCATTGGACGTTGTACCTTCATAAAATTGCAGTCAAGGGATCAATTGGAACTACATACTATTAAAGACACATTTATGTGACGTGTCTATTCTGATCTACAAAGTAAATGTTTAACATGTACATGTACAACATAAGATAGTCCAATCTAATAGGAAAGTCACCGCGCGCCGTCCAAATAGGCAGGTTTCCGCTATCGGCGATCCACTTCCCCCGCAGACTTCCTGTACAATATTTTCTTTCATCACCAAAAGATGACGGATTCGATTCGAGATATACATGAGTCCATTACTCATACGCGGTCATTCACAGGATGTGCAACAGTAAGTTCGACAGCGTTATTGAGTCATAATAATGGCTGCACCTCTCTAACTTGGAATATAGTGTCGAAGGCGACATGTCAAATGTGACGAGGGACGTCCAGAATGTTCGATGTGTCAATACTTTGGCTTGGCTTGCGGAGGATACAAGAATGACATTTTCTTTGACTTTGAGACCCCATCTCCCAACGATGGTACTCGGTTTCGTCGACCATTATTCTCGCTGAAAGAAAGAGAACGCATGAGTGAATGCCTTCGCTCGAGTGCTCCTCCGAAAACAACTCTCCGGATTATATCCGACATCGATGAAGAATGCGAAAGGGCGAATATCTCAGATGACATTGAAATCCACCGAGGCCCGTTCGGGGCGTTTAGATTGAACCAAGATCAAGACACTCTGTCCTGCGAAGCACCTATAAACGACCATGAACAGACACAGTCCAGTTCACCGGAAGAAGTGATTCCGGAGAGGGATCTTTATTCAGCCTCCGATATTATTCTGTCGCCTTGGTCACAAGCCTTGATGCAGTTGACTTTTGATCAACTAGAGGATGTTGCTAGTTCACCTTCCCCGGGACTTTTAGATGCCATGGATCAAGATTGCGTGGAAGATGATTCAGCACCCCATGGATACCAATCCACCTCATGCGTTACAGATCAGTTCTACAACCATCCTATACCACCCGCCTCTTTCCCTTCCTCTATGGGCACCACCAAAGCAGTGCCACAAGATGCCGTCTTCCTTCTCAAGCACTATGTCTCGGCTGTAATTAGCCTTATGACCCCCCTCCGGCACTCCAAGACTCCCTGGCACATTCTGTTTATACCTCACACCAAGAGTTGCCTTGCCGGCTTGGCCTTAGGCGATGATATGAGTGATGCTAGTCTGTGTGCATTCTACGGAACATTAGCTATAAGTGCATTCAGTCTTGGCGGGGTCTCTCGATCCGAAACATGGAGCCAGAAAGCCATAATTTACAAGGAGAAAGCCCAGACCCACGCAAGAATGATGCTGATGACCGCCTACCATGTCCCAAAAGTTACAAAATACAAGTCAATCCTGATGGCATTGCTCACAATGGTCCAAGTATCAATGTTCTCGGGGAACAGAGAGCAATCGGAATATTATTTTCTGGAAGCAGAGAAGTTCATTCGGTTAAGAGGACTTCCGCGGAGAAAGTCTCGAAAAGTCCGATTGCTACATCACTGCTATGTATTTGAGCGTATCATCCATGAGAGTGTCTTTATATGTGGAGCGAACTCAAGACAGCGTCATCGCGTTCACACAGCCATTGAAACTAGTGGGCTAGGAATGTATAGCCTTGACAGCCTATCATTTCGCCTATCAGGCTGGGAGAATTTAGATCAAGAAATGATGAGAGTGCGCGGGCAGGAGGAAGGAGAGAATGATCTGCACCTTGAAAGGCCTGGCTTTTGGTCTAACTCTCTTTACCCGGAGATATTTGGTGTCCCTGAACCATGGATTATTCTTCTATCTCAGGTTATCCGGCTTGGAAAAGAAAAAGACGCAGCAGAAGGAAATGATGCATCAAACTGCCTCAGCCTCAAGGAGTTCATCCGCCGGGCGAGGACCCTTGAGGACTACATTAATAATCTGCCACGACCCAGCTTGGAGAACACATATTCCCATCTTGACCATGACATTATAGAAAATATGTTGAATGCCATGCAGAATGCACTGACTATATACTTCTACCGTCGAATCCGCGACGTGAATGCTTCCTTGCTACAGCAAAAGGTCGTGGGAGTGTTGGACAATCTATTGCGCTGCGAAGACACAGATTCTACTGTCGTACACGGTTCAGCAGGATTTATCTGGCCTGCATTCATTGCGGCTTGCGAGGCTGAGGATCCATTGGTTCAGTTATCATTCTCCGACTGGTTTGTGAATTCGGCACGGCGTAGTGGTCTGTCTTGCTTTACTGAGACATTGGCCAATGTTCAGAGAATTTGGCAGGAGAAGAGTTGTGCTAATGGAAGGAGTGTCACTTGGTTGGATCTAATGAAGAGCACCATGCCGTTATAGTAGATATTTAGATTTGTGATATGATTCCCCAAAGAAGGAAAGAAGTCCATAAATTTATTTATTGATGAACACTTGTCATTACTGTGGACTTAAATGCACTTATTGTTGTAATGTAACTAATCTTATGTCGAAAATTCTACTCTTTTATCTATTCTGGTTGTAGATGTAATGTTAGCACTTCCATGCACTCCTGTGGAATGCTCTCTTAACCCTAAAGTGACAATCAGCTGGAACAATCCCGCACTTGGGATATGCATTATCATCAGTACTTGTTAGTACACTGCATGATTCATAAAGATAGGAAGGACGAGGTGCGTTGTCATACGCTGCAAGGCTATCGCCAGAGGCGAGTTAGGCAAGTCTCCCCGACAACCCCACATTCGAAAAAGTAGGAAGTATATCTCTTACTCGGAGATACAGAGCTGCAATTATCTGCTGTTTGAATCTGTCACCAGAAAAACTATATAACGTTGGTTGCCTTGCTCCTTTCACCTACAATCACCCTCCTGCGTACCAACAAACCAACGAACTACTCTAAAGACCCCACAAGCCACCCCAAATGGACGTATCTGGGATCGCCCTTATTACAGGAGCCGCCTCAGGAATTGGCCGCGCCTGCGCAAAGACATTCGCCAGAGATGGTGCTTCAGGAATCGCCCTGCTCGACCTCAACCCCGAAGCCCTAGAAGCCGTCAAAGCTGAGATCGAAGTGCAACAACGCAGACAAGGATCCAAGTCGTGTCGAGTCATAGTATATTCAATCAACATAACAGACGAGAACCGCGTCAACCAAGTCGTCGAAGAAGTCGCGACGACATTCGGCCGACTCGACTACATCGTCAACGCAGCCGGAATCGCAATGAAGCACGCAGGCGGAGCTGCATTCTGCGAAACATCAGATTGGGAACGCATCTTAAACGTAAATCTCACGGGAACATTCTTTGTTCTGCGCGCTGCTGCCAGGATCATGTTGAAGCAGGAACCCATCCGATCTTCGATTGATGGACGGCCACTACAGCGTGGCTCAATTGTCAACTTCTCGTCTATTCAAGGCGTTGCTGGAATTGCGTTGTCCACTGCATACACTGCGACCAAACATGCGGTTATTGGGTTGACGAGAACTGCCTCTGAGGATTATGCTAAAGATGGTCTACGCATTAATGCTATCTGTCCTGGATATACGGAGACCCCGTTGACGACCAAGTCGCCCCAGATCCTGGCAGCTATGCAGGAGAAGGTTGCTAATGCCGTTCCGATGGAGCGTATGGGCCGACCGGAGGAGATTGCCGATGGTGTTGTTTATTTGAGTGGTGGACGGGCTTCTTTTGTTACTGGAACGGCTTTATTTGTGGATGGCGGGTACACTCAGCGATGAGGTAGCATTTATTTATAGATATGAGTAACCTCTACAACCAGAAAATCCCTCTTTATTTCACTTTCTCAAAAAAATAAAAATGCGTGAATCGAGGTACAAGGTAACATCTTCCCCTGATCGGTTCCGGCGAGAGTGACATCACCACCTACGATGTAGCATCGATCTCTGTTTTTTTCTTCGCTTTTAAATAGTTTTAGAACGTGAATCCAGCCAATAGCGTCTTAGTAAATCTAAGCAATTGATGTACTCTATTCTGTCGAGTGCTTTATAAGACTGGGGTTTCCTCTTACCCGGGCCGCCAGCTGCCAAAAAATGACCAAGTCCGGGAGACTGGTCATCTCGTATATTCGCAACGCTCTTCCCTCATTTTCATCTTGTCGCTTTGGCCTTTCAAATAAATTTCAAGTTGGATCGACAAGATTAATTCAGCACAAACGGCATTTCACCTACCAGACGAGCGTCGCCGGACATACATTCCGCAAAGAACGCATACCTACCTGTTACAACTCCAAGTCATATCAAAAGGCAAACATGAGCGGCCGTGTCCCAATAGAGCCTCAGCGTGTGGATGCACCGCTCACACAATCAGCTACCTTCCTCGTTGTCTCCGTTACCAACAAGCCCGACGCTATTGAAACCGTGCGCTCTGTATTGGCAGGCATAGACGATCTAGCGAAGAATGTATCAATCCGTGACCTCAGTGCCCAATTTGCCTGCACAGTCGGCATTGGAAGTGACATCTGGGATCGTTTGACGGGTCTTCCCCGACCCTCAGAACTTCACCCTTTCCGCGAGATCAAAGGCGAGAAGCACACCGCGATCTCAACCCCGGGTGATCTACTTTTCCACATTCGCTCCGAGCGCAGAGATATCTGCTTTGAATTTGAGCGTCAGTTGATGGACCAACTCGGTGACTCAGTTACTGTCATCGATGAGACTGTTGGTTTTCGTTACTTCGATGTGCGGGATCTTCTTGGATTTGTGGACGGCACGGCTAATCCTGTTGGATTGGCGGTTCCAGCTTCGGTCCTAGTTACAGAGGAAGATCCTTCTGGCTTGGGCGGTAGCTATATCGTTGTGCAGAAGTACACTCATGATCTGCCTGGGTGGAAAGATCTCTCAACGGAACAGCAGGAGAGGATCATTGGTCGTACCAAGATAGATAATGTTGAGCTAGATGATGCTGAGTCTGGACAGCGTTCCCACAAGACACTTAACACGATTGAAGATGAGAATGGGAATGAGCATGAAATTCTTCGCGACAACATGCCATTTGGATCCCCTGGTTCCGCAGAGTTTGGAACTTACTATATTGGCTATACTCGTCGTCTTTGGGTTATTGAAAAAATGCTGGAGCGTATGTTTGTTGGGGATCCGCCTGGGCTACATGACCGCATCCTTGATTTCTCGAAGCCGCTCACTGGGACGACATTCTTTGCTCCGCCTGCTAGTGTGTTGGCAGGCTTGGGGGATGATTAAGGTCGATAGTTTGCGATTTTGGTCTATATCTCGCATAGTGCATGTACCGAATGTGGAACAATCCATTGTAATATTAATAAATCATAAATATTTATCGATATCAAAGCTTGGAACTTGAGAGCTGAGCGAATGCCAAACCTTTCCAACCACCTGCCCTGGACTCGGCGCATCTCCGGCGATACTCCACCGCACTGCCAGCGTAACGCGCGACACTTCGAACAGTCTTGCCCTTCACATTCGTATTGACCCCTGTCATCCAGCTATCGATTTCATTTGACAAAGCACCTTTACTGCTTTCAACAACATGTTCCGTCCATGCATCAACAGCCTCTCCTGTGGGCTCTACATAAGAGTAGTTATTGTCCTTGCAGTGCTGCAAGAGATCAGAAATAACCTCCACGGCATGCTCGATGGTTCGGGGAGCATTGCCGAATGGTTGGTGGGGACCCAGGACCATGAACATGTTGGGCATAGAGCAAGCCGTCATACCCAAGTATGTACGGGGCCGGTGATCAACCCAAATTGCTTGATCACCTTCCTTGGTGTTGCTAGAGCCGAGAAGAGGTCGACTGTCCTTCCCTGTCCAATCGATGGAACTGAAGGCGCCGGTAATGGCATCAAATCCCGTTGCATAGATCAAAACATCCAGCTTATGCTCTTGTCCATCGGATGTGATGATACCATTCTTTGTGACTCTCTCAATCGGCGTTTTCTTAAGGTCAACAAGGTGGACATTGGGCTGGTTAAATGCTTCAAAGTATCCACTCTCAAGAGGAACTCGCCGTGTGCCGAAGCCGTGGTCTTTGGGAATCAGGCTGTCAGCAATATCCGGGTCATTTATTCTAGCCCGAATCTTGCTGGCCATGAAGTCGGAATATAGTTTGTTTGCTTCACGGTTATTGTATGTGTCACTGAATGTGCCGAGCCATTTGGCAAAACCGGGCATTGCATAGATACGCTCCCAAAGCTCCAAGCGCTCTTCGGCAGATACTTCTAGGGATTTGCGTGGATCGGCCTGGTGCATGAAGCAGCTGGGTGTCTCGGCGCAGAGTTGAAAAAGGGCATCGTAGTCCTTGCGGTGCTGTTCCATTTGCTCGGGGGTAATCGGCTCGTTTCGTAGAGGCGCGGACCAATTTGCCGTGCGTTGAAAAACATTCAACGACTTGATGCTCGGCTCTTTTGATACCGCTGTAATTGTTTGAATTCCCGTTGCGCCGGTGCCGATGACACCTACTCGCTTATTGGTCAAATCACGACTCATGTCGAAATCCTTAGGCCAGTGCGAGGTGTGAAAGGCTTTTCCTTGGAACAGTTCGATATCTGGAATGGCAGGAAGTGTTGGAGTTGATAGGAAACCCATGCAGCTAACGAAGAAACGGGTCCGGTGATGGGTGCCGGCTTCGTCGCGAAACAGCCAAGTATTGTTTTTATCCTGCCAAACAGCCGTTTTAACGCGAGTATTGAGCTGGATATTTTTGTAGAGGTTGTGCTTGTCACAGACATGTTCAATATACCGGAGGACGTCTGATTGGGTAGAGAAGGATTCTTTCCAGGTCCATTCGTTCAAAAGGTCTCTGTCCCACGAGTACGCATACGATAGAGATTCGGTATCGACTCGTGCTCCTGGGTAGCGGTTGTGGTACCAAGTTCCTCCGACATTATCGGCTGCCTCGAGAACTCCAACGCGCCATGACTGAAAGCGCTTTCGGAAGTTGTTAAGTGCACAGATACCCGACAGACCGGCGCCAATGATGAGCACATCGTACTGCTGTTCTTTGATTTCGATGGATCCCATAGTGAAAAGTTGTCAATGGCCAACTTGCGATCACAAATCTCAGTCGTCTCTTGTTCGTCGTGGTCTTCGACGGTTCTTGTGTTGATCTTTATAGGATTGACGCTGTGAGAGCACAGCTCCCAGTGGAACTGCCAAATGTGGGACAACATTCCGAGTGCACAAAGTTCCTAGGCGCCCTTCGCGGTGACTTTCCTCTTCGAATGTGCCAATGCACTTTCTCACTCCAGCAGGTTACGTCTTATCAGGACAATAGCCCGGCGCCCACTAGTCCCAAAAAGGCACTGACCTTATCCTTATCTTCCCCGCATCTGATCTGTCACGTGCCGCGGACGCTTTCCTCTGTAATTCTCACGCTAACTTAGGCCACTAGTTACCTAGGTACTCCTAAGTGAGTACATAAGATGCATTTTACCGCTCGCTGAAGGATCATAGCAACGATCAGAACATCTGATTGTTACTGTAGTGGTAGATATACTAGGCTTTACTAACCGCTCGGGACCACACCTCTTTCATGCTTGTCACTTTCCACACGGGAGTTACCCAATAATCAAGGCACTTATGCGGCCTAGTGGCGTATTTTTAGTAGTATTGTCAGCGGTCTTCTCAGATATCAATTTGTTTAGCTATGCCAGTTTTACAGGTCGACGGCAAAAAAAGGCGGAAAAAAAGCTTAATTCGTGCAAACGACTTTTCTAGGAATAACGATTGATTCAAGAAGGGATTGAAGTAATCGACAGCTTCGGCCTGTCAAGCCAAGATTTATCCAAAGACGAATATCAAATTTTTGCCTATGCGTATTCGTATAGGGATCTCTAACCCAAACCCACCATTGAGAGAATAAACTCGTCTGATTGGTCATTATTTTAGGTGCGGCAACTCAAATTAACATTGCTGGAGGATCAATGGTCCCCCCAAACCAAAGAACACAAATACGGTATTCTCTGTACATAAATTATGATACTATTACACGTACGGAATTCAAAACTAGAAGCTCGTTAAGTTGAATATATGCAATGACTACATAGTTAGTAACGAGTAGTTCTAGATATGCAATATTGAATATCTCTTTAGTCATGACATTTGAAAGCTTATATCACTGGTCTAATCATTGTGAGGAACATTTGAAGACGCATCCCTAGAATATACAGTTTTTATAATACATACCGGTGGAGTCAAATCAAGGTTTACGCTTTATCAGCTCCCTTCAGATTTCTATGAGATCATTAGGGCTTGCGCCTACTTTCCTAACTTTACCACTACCTACCTCTCTGTTAGAGAGCCTTAGAATGCACAATTTCAAACCGAATAAGGTGAGTGAAGTCGACCTTATCTCGAGATGTTTTGCACACTTTTTCCAACCTAGAACTTGTGGTCCAACTTTCTAAGCCGACTCTTGCTAATTTCGCATTTGGTTTTCTAGGTATACCATTCGTTAGTCTTTTCCACATCTTCCTTCCATAACCAGTGTGCCTCAGCAATTCCTGCATACAGTTCGATCTTGGTTCTCCTCAAATCATCAACTAAGTTCAAGTGTTCATGAAACGCGATCGACGATATGAGTCAACTTCGTCTGCGCGTTGAGGGTCAAACATTCCGTGACCCCCTGAATCGAGAAGTCATTTTGCGGGGAATAAATGTGGCAGGCGACGCTAAATATCCTAAAACTCCGGATCTCAGATCCCACAACCTCCAGGGGTTCTTCGACGCGGATGTATCGTTCGTGGGAAGGCCGTTCTCCCTGGAAGATGCGGACACGCATTTCAAACGTCTGCGAAAATGGGGATACAACACGATCAGATATATCTTTACTTGGGAGGCAATTGAACACACTGGCCCTAAGATCTATGACGAGGAATGGATTGACTTCACCATTGGAATTCTTCGTGTCGCCAAGAAATACAAGTTCTATGTTTTCATGGATCCGCATCAGGACGTTGTGAGTCTGATTTTCAGTCACTCTATCCGTGAGGACTAAGCTTACTATTCGAAGTGGTCCCGATTATCAGGAGGGTCCGGAGCACCTACATGGACGCTCTATGCTGCAGGACTAAATCCCAAGAATTTCAAAAATACACAAGCTGCCCTCGTCCACAACACATGGGATAACCCCTCAGAATTCCCGAAGATGCTTTGGTGTACGAACTACACTAGGTTAGCCTGCCAGACGATGTTTACTCTGTTCTGGGCAGGTCGAGATTTCGCACCGAAAGCGATCATTGATGGTGTGAATATCCAGGATTATTTACAAAGCCACTTTATTGCGGCATGCGAATACCTTGCACAGAGAATTCAAAGCGCTGGTGGCCTCGAAGGAGAGGTTGTCATTGGGTGGGAAAGTATAAACGAACCCAATAAAGGACTGATCGGGATTCAAGATATTTCGTCAATCCCACCAGAGCAGCATCTGCAACTCGGAACGTCTCCAACAGTCTTTCAGGGTATGATAATTGGCTCCGGTCGGCCCTGTGAGGTTAAAACCTGGTCTTTCGGGGGGTTTGGCCCATACCAGACAGGGAGGGAGGTTATCAACACAAAGGGCGAACTAGCTTGGCTTTCCACTGAATATGACGACTCTCAATATGGCTGGAACCGCGATCCAGGTTGGAGGCTCGGTGAATGCCTCTGGGCGCAACATGGAGTTTGGGATTCGTCCAAAAGCAACCCCAGCCTGCTACAAAAAGACTACTTTTCAAGGAATCTACGGACGGGCGAGATACTTGACTACGAAGGCTTTACAAACTCTTACTTTCTAAATCACTATCGAGCTTATAAGCAAGCGATTCGCAGAGTGTGTGGGAGCACTATTATGTTTTGCCAGCCACCTGTCATGGAACTACCACCAAGCCTCAAGGACACCGCAGATGATGATCCAAACATGGTTCATGCGGTTCACTTTTATGATGGTTTGACTCTTATAACAAAGCACTGGTTAGTACTGAGACCTTACCTTACGTTCGTGATATTGACCCTAGTAGGAATCGACTTTACAATATGGACGTTGTCGGCTTGCTCCGTGGCAAGTACCTTGCGCCAGCCTTCGCAATGAAAATCGGCGAGAGATCGATTCGAAAGAGCCTACGTCATCAACTGAAGTTTCTGCGCGAAGAAAGTCTTGAACATATGGGTGATCATCCCCTAATATTTACCGAGATTGGCATCCCATATGATATGAATGACAAACATGCATACAAGACTGGAGACTACCGTAACCAGATCAGAGCAATGGATGCCAATCATTTTGCTTTAGAAGGAAGCAAGTCCAATGGGTTTGCATTGTGGGTTTATATGGCAGAGGTATGTATACAGGATTAATTTAGATAGCGATAACCATCACTAACTCTACTTAGAATGACCATCAATGGGGCGATCAATGGAATGGGGAGGATCTCTCCATATTCTCACCCAAGGATTTGAAATTTCCTATCAAATCCATTATCGATGTAAAAAGGCCTGGTTCAACTGACCATCTTCTCGGCGTGGAAGAGAGGGAATTAGGCACGTTGAAGAATTTGACACCACGATGCTCCCTCAGCGATTTCTCCCAGGTAGATCTGCAGCCGCAACAGGGCTACAGGGCGGCGGAAGCATATCTCCGCCCTACTCCGATCTACACGAATGGGCGATTACACAGTTACACTTTTGATTTGAAGAAGTGTACATTCACAATGCGATTCATTGCAAATCAAACAGCGCCTCACGCCCCGAGTGAAATATACCTCCCTGAGTTTCATTTTCCAATGGGCGAGACATCGGTTATGGTGAGTGGAGGGAAGTGGGAGATCTGCCTACTTGAATTCCATACGGCCAAGGTTCAATATCTGAGATGGTGGCATGAGGAAGGGAAAGCGGAGATCAAGATCCGGAGAATAAAATGCACACGAGGGGAATATGTCAGCCTGGAAAAGCTACACAGGACTCGATGCATGATGATGTGAAGTCAAGTTCCTACTGTATCCTAATCCCTTATCTTTTTCTTTCCTTCATGTATTCTCGTTGCCAATTTCAATACTACATATATAGACAATCCATTTTACATTTGATCTCGGGGAAGCGGAATACAAAGAGCAGCAGTATACTCCGGGCTATTGAAGCTAGGATATTCAAATTTATATATACTGGCCAAGGTGGGTTTGAAAGTGTTTTGATGAATAGCATCATCGCTACATTGCTAGTTGGAAAGCAATAAGAAGACAACAAATATTACTCTGACCTGAATAAGGGCTTGAACCACCACATTCCCCTTTTGTCTAAAATAAACAAGATACTTACTCAACAGTATTTTCTGGTGTTTAGAAGTTCAAACGTGTAACGGTACAGCAGTACCGTCAGGATACGTAAGTTACCGAAAACATAGAAACCTTCTGCTCCACTATTTTGCGGGCATCCACTTTGCTGAACCAAGGATCGCTGCGTACTCTAAATAGAGACATCCGTACGAGTACGAGAGAGCTTCAAAGTTTTTTTCGTGAATATCTAAGTTTTCGATTAGCTGTGTTTCTGCCTATTCTTTTATTGGCACCCTATACATATTTTCCAAGTACAATTTAGTAGGTGACTACTTTATGTGGTCTACGGAGTACTATACGGGGGAATAATGATTCTAGAAGACCGACAAAACATTGTCTTGGTCCATAAATTCACAATGATTCAACTCTGCATCGCAAGATAGACCGACTACGAGTAGTAACTTGCATCTTTGAAGATCCTAGACATTCAGAAAAGAGTGACTGATACAACAGCGTAGTCCATAGACTCACACTCATTAATAGAGCTCCGGATAAGCCGCTTTGATTATATCGGCACCCTAAAACAGTTAGAACCAAGTTTCACAAGTTTAGCTTATCGACATACCTTTTCTCCAATCATGTAGACTGCATTCTGTATCTGGCAGTCCGGAATGACTGGAATGATGGACGCATCAACAATGCGAAGTCTCTTAGCACCATGAACTCTCAGTTTAGAGTCCACCACACCTTGATCAATGTCATGAGACAGTCTGGCAGTACCACAGGGATCTGAAAAATCAGTCATCAAATTGGCACCAAAATATCGCATTAAACTCACGATATCCAGTCTGCGCCCGATCCATAACAAGGCGATCCATCTCTTCATCTGACTCGCGGGGCACGGGCCACGGAAAATCCTCAGCAATGATCTCTTTCATTCCATCACCGTTTAGAAGGATATCGTCGATAAAACGAACACCCTCTCTCAAAGCGATGATATCCAGCTCGTCGGTAAAGTAGTTGAGATTGATGTCGGGTTGTTCACGTGGATCTATCGAATTGAGTCTCACATACCCGCCCTGTGACTGTGGATGGAGAAGGTCGACAACAACCGTTAGCCAGTCTCCCTGGGGTGGGATATCGAAGTGCCACTGGAAAGCATCGCAAAACATGGGCTGGCTGAATTAGCACTCAAGACCCTTTTCAGCTGTTGATTGTCAACATACAATAAAGTCAATCTCAAAATGGGGTTGACCTGCAGGTCCTAAAGGATCTTTTCCTCCATTATTTGTCCTGGCGTTGCGATACATCGGATGTTTCTCCAGTTGCTCGTCAATGCGTGGGAAGGCTACCATCTCAAGAAGGCCGCTAGCCAGTGGGCCCGTTTTATCCTTCTCGTATTGCTTCAAGGCAGCATTGCGGGCAGGCCCCTCTTGAAGAAGAATGTGGTCCAAACCCAAGCCATCCTTCAGTTTGAAAACGTGTGGAAGAATTGGATGATCGAGAAGATGCTCGCCTACATGCTCGGACGTTATCACAGGGTGAATTCCATGACGAGCCAGTTCACGTCTGGGACCGATACCGGAAAGAAGCAATAGCTTGGGCGTTTCGAAAACTCCAGCTGCAATGATGATCTCTTTCTTTGCTTTCAATGTGGTTTCGTTGTGATCAGTTCCGACAAATGTCACGCTAACTGCAGTATCGCCTTCAAAGTTGATCTTTGTCGCGACGGTGGAATGCAATATCTCAACATTTTCTTTCCCAGTGAGGTATACTGCGCTGCTTGACCGGACTCCATCGTAGACTGTACTGACACAGTGAGTCAAACCCTCCAATCTGCCATTGTAGATGTCTTCTTTTAGTTCATGACCCTTGCTAGTCCATGCCTGCGTTAGAGCATCTCGGAAAGCGCGAGTTTCTGAGAGCAGATTGGGGTGGGAAATATGGAGTGGACCCTCGCGTCCGATCTTGGAAAAGAGGGGATCGTACACTCTCTCATCATCGTGATATGAGGCTGGCTGAAGATGAGCTTATTAGCAAGTGATACTCCATTCAACCAATCAGATATATACTATACCTTTTGAAAATAGTGCTCGCACTTCTCCCATGTCCACTCATCCCCGCCGTACTCCCGCCACGCATCAAGTGTTTCTCTACTACCATGAATCCAGGTGAGATAGTTCAAGCTGCTACTACCACCAAGCACCTTTCCATGGGTATTTGGTTTCTCAACACGCTCGTAGTCAGACCTGTCGACGAAGGTTGTCTGATAGGACCAGTCATATTTACTGTTTCGGAGTTCGAATGCGCGAGCGGGCGTTGTTATCTCTGGGATATCGTTTGGATTACTATTACTGTGTCAGTTTAGCTACTGGCAGGTTGGTAGAATACTAACCCAATTCCAGCTTCAATCACAAGTATTTTCACGTCGGAATTCTCTGCTAGTCTACCTGCAACGACATTTCCAGCGGTTCCACCACCCACAACAATGAAGTCATATTTATTCGGAGTTGATGCAGCCATTGCGAAATGGCAAAGTGAGTAAGTTCACAGCATATAACCACATCGCTGTCATCCACGCCATTTTATAGCTAGCGTTGGCTCAAACTTGGAACCCAAGTGTAGGATAGAAGGTCGTTCAACATCATGCCGTGTCTCTTTCACGGGGGATCGGAACACCGTTTTTGCCCAATTATCGTAAGTTTTCTATCCTGTTCAATATGATGGGATCACACGATGGTTCTATGTGGAACTTGAGCTTTGGGAAATTACCGTGACTAGAGGGCACGGACATCGCGTTCCATATTGGAAACGGAGCATAATATGGCACTAGCCCTTACATAGGGGTTGGATTTGTGCAACTCGCAGGAATCTAGAACGCTAACCAAATGGATCAAGGTGGTGCATTTATGAAGTTGGCCATACACCAAGTCTAAAATGGAAAAAGAAAAGGATCGACCCCTGACTGGCCACCTGTAAGATATTCTGCGGGCCAAGGAGAAGTTCCATCGTCCAACATGTTAATTACAGCCATTTCGGCCGGATCCCACGACCCGACAGCGCCGAAAGATGACAACTGTGGGAAGTTGCTGGAATTTATTGATTGGGCATCGGGGGCGGAATAGAAGGGCTGTATCATGGTAGATCGGTCATCAATCCGGGATGAGTGTAGTTGGTGTGATTGCTCTAGTCCAGGGATGCGTTGCGGATTTATGATATCCGAGTTCTGATAAGATTGTCCAACAGTTGTTCTGGACTGTGATATGGCAGGCGACGCGGTATTCGTAGTTGAAGGTGAATTTGAGGTCGACCCCCGTCTATCTTTGCCATGTAAGGCTGTTCGCGCCATACGATAAATCGCGAGCGGATTCAACACAGTTTCAGGCGTTTCTTCAACGGAGGATCCTGAAAGGGAGGGACTATGGGAAAGGTCAGCAAGTCACTACCAGAATACTTCAGTTCCGAGCCTCACATTTCCTCTGTTTCTTCTGAGTCACGTTCTTGTGTAGAATGATGTGCAAATTCAGGGTGAAGACCTGCTGAAACCATCATTTTAACAACAGAAAGGTACTAGATAGAAATGGTTAGTGGCTGCTTTCCGCACAGTATATGTACGGGAGAACGCGAGACGTACGCAATGCTCCGCTGTTGCAACGAGAGATCTCATCTGCTTGAGTGTTTCAAGATTTTTGTTCACTAGAATCGTCGTTTCGTTTGAGTCGGACGCACTTAAAGAAGGCGATGAGTCTGTGACATGACTTAAATAATACAACATGACCTTGGTGCTGTCATGTGCAATGATGCAAAGCCAAGTATCAGCCAGAGCTTTGATTCCATGTTTCAATGCTTCGACAATTATCTTGGAGACTTCCCGAGCGCTGTCGAAGCAGACCCTGCGACAATAATCCAAGAACTCTTTCTTGTCCGATGGAAAGTCGACATGTCGTCTTATACGGAAAAGGGCGGGCATGCCAATGCGATAGAGATCAACTAACGTTTGGTGATAAGTACACCAAAGCAGTGTCAACGCACCTAGCTGCGATGATTCCTTGCGGGCCCAAATCGTACTTGTGTGCCATTTCAGACTGTTTGGGAGATACTGCCGCCAGTTTTCACATTCAGTCGATAACTCTTGAAATTCAGAATCGGGTTCCCAGGGAGGTTTGGACGTATCAAGCTGTTTGACATATCTAGTAAATGACCTAAAGTAAGCAAACGATACATGATCGAGTTGGAGGCAACATGGCCCTACCGAAGAATTCGTTTCCGGATGCTCACAAGGCGAATAAAATAAGCCTCTATGCCCATATTTTGAGCGGGTTGAAAATGAGTCTGCTCTTTTGGAATAAAGCTAAGAACCTTGCCCTCATCTAGGACTTCAGTAATGCAGGGGGTCCCCAGAGAGAAGTTGTGACTATGACAAGGAAGCTGAATCTTGAGATCTTTGTCTTCAAGGAGAGTGAGCTGGTTGACACCACTGCCCACCCAACTGTCCATGACATAACAGCTCCACATCAGACGTCGCTTTGATTCATTTACAATAGGACATGTAGAATCCGACTGCGTACAAAGAACATCAGCAGAGCTTTCAAGATTAAGTTGCAATGCTTGTGAAATCCTTGCAGTGATACCACTCAGGATGAATGCACTTGCATAGCTTCCGATTCGAAGATCATGATCATACAAAAGTATTGCAGTCTGGTTGAGCGACAATCAGTCAGTAGAGCCAGTGGTTGCATGTATGGGCATCACAGGTCTTACCATCAATTTTTCGAGGGAAAGATCATCCAAGTCCGCAAATATTCGCGCTTTGGCAATTTTCGCCCACTGATTACCAGCTGTGAGTATTGATTCCGGGGGAAATTGGGAGGGATGGTCAAGCGCCAGGAACCTATTGCTCGTAAGATAACAATTCAATAAATGAGCATGGAAACGGCGCTTAGACTTACTTTGCCCCCAGCGCGCAAATAATATGAAGAAGAGATTCATTATTGCAACAGGACTCTAGGTCTTCGTCCAATCGTTGCATGAACGAGGGCTTATGCACAAAGCCAAAGCAACGTAAAGGGTGAACATGAGCAAAGTATTCTTCAACTAGAACAAGAATTCGCTCTTTATCGGGTAGTTGTGTGGTGTGAAGCCTAGCTTAGTTAATGTCACAGTTCAATGAGCAGAATGAAAGAATATACCATGGGATGGCGCTAGGAGTGCTTTCAGCAGGTGGTTGAAAAGTATATTGAATTGATTGAGGGACATTTGGTGTAATCACAGAGCCTGAAGATGGGGTATGGACGCTCAGGTTTGGTTCAGAAGTCAACTTGCTTTGAATCTGTTGCCCGCGGCCGGTGCTATAGGTGCATTCAATGTCTCTTCGATAGCACCGGGTACATTTTTCTCCCCCGGAACACCGGGACTTTGCATTTCGACAAGCATGACATGATTTAGACACTCGGTGTCGTATTGTACCCGCTTGTGTTAATGTTGCGTCGCGGTTACCACTCTTCTGCACTCTCGCAGGAAACCCAACCTGACCTGGATTGCCAGGACATTCCAATTCGAGACGTTCACAGTTTGAGCATATTGGCCAGCGCTCATCGCATTTTACCTTGCGTGCGCGACACAGAAAGCATCCTAGAATTCTTAGCCCTTGCATATACTTGGATTTCTTGGCATGGAATAGTGGGTCTAACCTGATCGAGATCTCCTTGAGGATTCTTTATCTCCACTCCACGATAACATGACTGCCGACTCCCGAGGTATGAAATGCTAGAAAAGGGACAGGAAGAGAGAACCGGATCTCGCGTGGATATCCCCGATGGCGGGGGATTGCGGCAAAACCCCCGATTGAGCTTAGGGCTAGTAGCTTCCTCGTAACTTCATGATTCTCGCGATCCTCAGAATATTGCCGAGGATATATAACCAATGAACCAGCTGCGTTAATAATGAGAATTCCAAATAAATGGTATACTTCTTAGCTCCACACGCCACTATTTCACCATTCTATATCCATTTGACGTTTGACCAGAATTCTTCGGCTGTCGCCAAAACATGGCGGATATCGGCTCTAGAACCAATCACAATGAGCTACAAACGAAGCTCTCGAACTCATCTCAACAAAGTGGAGCTACATAAAATCCGGGGCCCCGGGCATGGAGTATTGCTGAGTTCTATGATCTTTTTTCTTTGTCAAACTATATATCAATCTTGTCAAGATGGGCAAAATACCGGAGTTGAATAATGTCTACCTTATCAGTGGACTGGCCACCATCGGTGGTCTAATCCAAGGCTTCGATGTTTCCAGCATGTCTGCTATTATTGGCACCGATAATTACAAGACCTACTTCAATAAACCGAATTCGGTTGCTCAGGGTGGGATCACGGCTAGTATGGCTGGTGGTTCGCTGCTTGGTTCTCTATTTTCCTCCTGGACAAGTGACCGATATGGCCGTCGTGATTCGATGTTTATTGCGTGCGTCTTGTGGTTGATTGGCTCCATTTTGATGAGTGCAGTGCAAAATGTTGCCATGTTGATTATCTCGCGTATCATAAATGGCTTCGCGGTGGGAATACTTACTAGTCAAGGGTAAGATATACGCTTTCAAGACCATAGCGCCGCCGCTAACACTGTCTCTAGTCCAATTTTGATTGCTGAAATCAGTTTACCACAACAGCGTGGTAGACTGCTCAGCTTGCAACAGTGGATGATTACTTGGGGCGTATGTGATCAATTCTTTGCTCTGTCGGATTATAGCTGGCTAACGTTGGTTTCAGATCCTTATTATGTATTTTATATCATACGGCACATCATTCATGAGCAGCCTGGCGTCATTTCGTCTCCCCTGGGGTCTCCAAATGATCCCAGGTATTATCCTCATGGCCTGTTTGCCTATGATGCCTAGATCTCCCCGCTGGCTGGCTACACAAGACCGGTGGGAGGAGGCTGTGGATGTTCTTGCACGACTGCACGCTAAGGGCAATACCCTTGATCCGATTGTTGTTGCACAAGCTACCGAAATTCGCGAAAAGCTTGAGTAAGATTCCTTGACTTGATCAATCAATTTGCTGTTACTGACTAATCTCAAGACTCGAGCGGCAATACAAGAGCACTGCCTGGTCTGAAGTATTCAATTCACGAAACATCATTCGTGTGCATTGCGGTATTTTCACACATGTTTGGTCCCAACTCAGCGGAACAAATGCTATGATGTACTACATTGTGTATATTTTTCAGGTAAGACTTACGTGAGAATCCATTCGAAGTGGCATCTAGCGCTGACATGATACGCACAGATGGCTGGCCTGACGGGCAACAATGCCCTCCTATCCGCCACAATCCAATACATCATCAACGTGGTCATGACACTCCCTGCACTGCTCTTTATGGATCGTCTCCCACGCCGCCGCCTATTCATTGCAGGTGCTCTTGGCATGGCCATTCTTCAGTTCGTCCAGGGAGCCCTCATGAAATCATACGGGGAGGCTGTTCCTGGAGGCCTTAAGGGCTCCCCCACGGTTACGTGGAGGGTGACTGATGGAAGAGCATCGAAAGCAACTATTGCCTGTTCTTACTTGTTCATTGCTATATATGCGCCTAGTTGGGGGTGAGTACCTTGTTCCTTGATTAGTTGAAAGATTGATAGCTAACATCTTCTCTCTCGCCAGACCTCTAGGATGGTACATTTGATTGATATTCCTTTTTCATACCAAGAGCTAACTTCGTCCATAGGGCCTATCCCCCCGAGATCATCCCTCTCTATATCCGTAGCAAATCGGTTTCTCTGGCGACATTCTTCAACTGGGCTTGCAATTTTGCTTTGACTTTCTTTTCTCCTCCTGGGTTCCAACATATCCAATACAAGGTGCGTTTAGAATTTGCTAAATATGTAAAATATATGACTGACAGTCGCAGATGTACTTCCTGTTCGGAACCTTCTGTTTCGTTGCCGCGATCCACGTCTTCCTTCTCTTCCCAGAGACATGCGGCAAGTCCCTGGAAGAGATCGATGCAAGCTTCAATAATGAAAGCATCTGGGCTTTCAAGGCTAAGTCTGTACCAAGCCGACTTGCTGCTGATATTGAACAGGCGAAGGAGGATTTGGAGGCTGGCAATGTGCCCAAGGCCATTTTTGAGCCAAAGAAGTAAACAATAGCCCGAAGAAGTAGATCTTTGCTTTATAAAGTAGCTAGGAGCTGGATATATGGATACCTATATCAATAATAATTGTGTTGCATCCACCTATGTTCATGGCACCAAGTTGCCTTAGGGCAGTGCTGTCTACTCCGTACATCTTCCCACTTTGTCACTCTCCACTATATCCAAGTCTTTGGGACATCCATATTCGTACACTCACGAAATAAACTCGCATTATGGCGCAACCACATAGTGGACCTGAATGGGGGCCATGACTCGACTTCTACGCGAGATCCGGCCGATATCCGCGCAATAGCTCCCCTCTAGCAACCCGACATCCGGTCTATCGCAAGCTAAGCTAAATATGAATATCGCGGGGATCCCAGTGGTATGTTATAGAAGGAAAAAAAATACTTTGCACATCGGAATCCCAAAAGAGACCTGATTGAGATCTCATCGCAACCATGGCTAAACGCAATATCCTGCTCATGATTGCCGACGATCTAGGCAAACAATTGGGCTGCTACGGAAATACAAAGATCCAAACCTCAAATCTGGACCAGCTAGCCTCCGAGGGGACAAAATTCGATCAGGCTTTTACCTCGACTGCTTCTTGTAGTGCTAGTCGCTCCGTCATCTATACCGGCCTACACACTCACCAGAATGGACAGTACGGGCTACACAATAACCGCCACCACTTTACGACTTTCGACCATGTCGAGACTGCACCTGCTCTCTTCTCTAAGCATGGTTACACCACTGGCTTGATTGGCAAGGTCCACGTTGGACCGTCCGGCGTTTACCCTTGGGATATGCGGGCAGAGAGTGACAGTCGCGATGTGGCATCCGTTGCTGATCAAGCTTCAGCATTCTTTGAAAAGTCAAGTGCAGAGGAGAAACCGTTCTTCTTGACAATCGGCTTCATCGATCCTCACCGGGACTGGACTCGCTCCGGGTTCGGAAATGACGGCGAGTACGACGCCCGCGTGAAGAAGATCGATTACTCGCCTGAAGACGTCGAAGTTCCCCCGTTCGTGAACGACCTACCTGGAGTCCGCTACGAATTCGCAGAATATTATAAGTCCATCTCTCGGCTCGACCAAGGCGTGGGCATGGTTCTTGACGGATTGAAAAAGTCCGGTTTGGCAGATGATACGTTGGTTATCTTCCTGAGCGACAATGGGCCTCCATTCATTAATTCCAAGACAACACTGTACGATGCCGGTGTCAGTCTTCCCTTGATTATGAAATGTCCTGGATCACCTGCCGGAATCACAAACCCGAATATGGTCTCGTACATCGATATTCTGCCCACTCTTCTCGATTACGCGAAACATCCTAATCCCGAGCATCCAGAGCGCATCGGACGTTCGATACTTCCTGTCCTCGCTGAAACATCCTCTCTTGAGGACTGGGGCCAGGTCTTTGGTTCACACACATTCCACGAGGTCACTAATTACTGGCCGACGCGTATGATGCGCACCCGTCGATACAAGTATCACCGCAACATTGCTTGGAGACTCGATTTCCCATTTGCTGCTGATATCTATGGGTCTTTGACATGGGAGGAAATTCGAAATGCCGATACGAGCCCTAAGATGATTGGGTCTAGACCTTTGAAGGATTATTTCTTCCGTCCGGCTGAGGAACTGTACGATATCCAGGCTGATCCTAATGAGATTCGTAACCTTGCGAAAGATCCTGAGTATCAGTCTGTTCTTGAGGAGATGAGGGTTGCACTGGAGAAATGGCAACGAAGGACAGAAGATGCTTGGTTGTACCGGGATGGAGTTTCCTTGCTCTTTGTTAGACATCATCTTGAGGCTGGGTTTGAGGTGCCGGATCGTTTCGACTTTGATGTTGATGCGCCAGAAAGTAAAGGAAAGCCTATCTTTGATGGAGATTTGCCTTGGGGTGTAGCGGCAAACTGATTTGTTCTGTTAGATCAAGATTCAATTTGTGAAATACGTACAATGGTCTCTAGGCCAGTCTTCCAGACCTCATAAAGGGGATGATATATGGAAATGGGCCAATTACACACGAGGTAAAATTGTCTGTTCCATATTCGATACCTGAGTGGAGGCTTGTACCTATGAAAGCCTTAAAGATTGTCCGAGTTTGAATGAACTGTATGCTATGGTGAGGAGATCGAATAAAACACTGTAGGTGTTCAACTATGCGGGCAGGATGGTGCCTGGTTTTGAACCCTCCACGAGTGCAGAAAATGGGGTAATTATGGAGATTCAGGTAGTTTCTCGCACTGACTGTTCAAAATATTTATGTAACCACCTTGACCGTTGAACCGAAATGTATTGGTTGATGACAATATGGTATATGCCTTATGTTCGAGTTTTAATATATGAAGAGAAGAGACTGAGAATAACAAATCCCCAACACCATAATCCACAGGTGTAAACAAAAGCCAATGAAACTAGAGATTGCTCGTTCGTTAAAGGATCATGAGAAAGTATATGCCAGTATATCGCCAGAAATACCCTGAATTGGCATTGACACCCATCGACTCCAACAGATGCATCATGCGTTTTGCAAATATGCAAGTGTTCACACCCCACCCCAGTTTCCGAGCCCAGCTCCAACACCAATGGCGCTATTGCTTTCGCTGCCACCGATATCCCAGTAGTTCCGGCTAGAACTTGTCATCGTCCGCCGACTGGAAATAGCCGAGAGCTTGGCGCTCTGGCTTGCGCAGCTGGAGCTAGGCCGACGGAGATGGGGTCGTAGGAGTGGGGACGAAATACCCGCTGGGTTTGATACACCGGAGAACTGTGATGCGCGACGGGTTTGGGTTTGTGATCGGGAGTGTGCTCGCGCCACTAGAGGGTGATGTTGCCGGATGATGGCTGCTCGGCGGGATGCATCTTGGGGGCGGCGGGGTGGAGTTGGTGTGTGCGTTTCGTTGGGCATGTAACCTCGGCGGCTAAAGCGGCTACGGAGGTACCGGAAGACCATCATTACATCAAGTCCGCTTTCCCAGTACTCAGCTTCTTGTTGAAGTTTTGTTGATTCGGGGAGTTGGTCAGGGCGCTTGGGATCCTCATCTTCAATACCCCACTGTGCTTCGTGCTCTCGATTTGAGTCTCGAAGTGTGGGTATGAAGTGCGGGGACTGTATGGACTCATCCATTGTATCAGCGATAGTTGATGGGGTGGATTCGGCGGGTTTCTGAGAGATCCCGCTTTCCGTTAGGCGGTTGAGAGACATCCCCGCATATTCGGCGGATATATCTTTAGTCATTTGATAATATGTTGTAAATGCCCCTGGGTGTTCACAGAGTTGATGGACAAGGATCCCTAGCTCATGCGCGATCGTCTTAAGCACCTTTGCCTGCCACAGTGGTGAATCGCCATATTCTGGCTCTGGTTCGCGGGCCAGCACCGTTTCCATGTCTAGTTGATCTTCCTGGGTATTAGGTTGCGCGTCCAGCGGCAACGACTCACCAAAGATCACGGAGAGCAAGGAATCATCAATCCCGATCAGGTCACGGATCACCGTTCGTGTGATACGGCGCCAGAAAGACTCTTCGTCCTCCGAGGCATCTCTCGAAAGCGACAAATCCCGTTGTAACACTTCAGATACGCGGGATCGGGGCATATGATCAACAGAACGTCGAAGACTCGATCGGCTGGTCAGACTAGTCCGTCTCTGTCTGGTTTCCCGTTCGATCTCCTGCAACAGAGCCCGGCTCTGGTCCATGCGCCATTCCTCAATCCGCTGCCATCTTTCCCGCTCGACATTTGCCTCACCTTCCTCGACAGTATCCAAATGCCTCTGGACGCTTGAGTTCCGGCGATGTTGGAGATGACCATACGATGGCCGCTGGGGGTTATATTGCTCATGCCGCCACAGCTGATCCTGGACTGCCTGACTCGAGGCCTGGAAACTGCCTAACCCGTCATGGGCCGGAAGCATCGCCGGCGGGCCCTGATCAACCCGGCTTGGGGAAGCGGGGACCAAGTCGGGTGCTCGAAAGGCATGCAGTCCATCATCTAGGCTGTCCAGTTCAGTTCCATCTTCGTCGAGTGGGTCCTCGAGGGCATCATCCGCGTCGGGTTCATCCTCGACGCTAAATGCAGACTGGGTGGCTGCGAATGAGCCGAAATCACTCAGTCGAGAAGCTCCAACAGTACGCGTACGATCGGTGGAAGTCGTGTGTGTACGAGCGGTCGGGGAAAATAGGACCCATTGTGCGGTGTCGTCATCGCGCTGTTCGGCCGAGGGGATGTCGAGGGTAGGTGGTTGAGGGGTTGAATAGGAAGTTCTGCGGCGAGGAACGTGTGTTGGCACCTGGAAGGCCATCTTGCCCAGGTGCTGTAGCTAAAGCAGATAGGGAGATAGTGACACAGATAAGAGGATTTGGTGGGTCCAGAAATCAAAGGGGAATGCGGGCCATCAAGTGGGGGATAGAGACATTAGAGCAAGGAGATCGGAAGAGGTATAATAGAGTAGAAAGATTCCAAGTTCAAGAAAGAAACAGAAAGAGTCCACGAGTCCCCAGGTGAGGTGGACAGATTAGCTGATAAGCGGGAATATGGCTATGCCCAAAACAGATTCCACGATCCCTCGCCAAGGTGGAATGATCTCCCAATGATGCAACCAAATAATGAGACCACTTTTCAAGTGATTTACTCCGTATTTTGGACTATTAGGCTATTAGGCTACTGTCTTATGAGGCAAATTTTGAAACAGAAATCTTAAAATGCCCACAGTCACAGGGATCGACACTGTGACGTGTGGACTTCACATCAGTCACATTTTATATTAAGGATCGAAAAAGAGCCACACCGTACACCGTACTTTGATATCGCCAAGCAGATCACTTTCGAATATGTGCCTGATTGCATTAATATATGTACTCCGTCTAGCTTTTTACCGGATAATGGGTACTCGAGATCTTTTCCCTGTTTTAGTGGTCACTCCTTGCCGCTTTTTGATCACAGAGTTAATCTGAGCACGTTAGTCATTACATAATCATTGTGATCATCCACCCCCCTGGAATGGCCTCCCCCAGAGGGGACCGCTTACTATTACTACTATATGCTTCACTCCGCAAAGACTATCAAGATAGCGAAATCTATCGGGATCACTGGTAAACGACATATATTCCAGCACTTAGCTCGGAACTTCAGCTAGTACCAGGGTGGGTATCGAGACAGCTTTTAAAAGCCTCTCCATTAATGGTCTTGCTTGCAACGACGTCTCCTTATAGAAACCTATACACAGCGGTATAGACGCCAGGGGTGAAAACCCCGTTTCTCGAGATTATCCATGCTTTGATGTCTCATTTTGGCCTGGTTCTTGACCGCTCCGTATACTAGTTTATTAAAGGTTACAAGCTTATATATCAGAAAGTCGTTTGCACAAATGCTTTTTCCGCCTTTCTTTTACCGTCGACCTATAAAACTGGGATATATAACCAGGATGATATCTCAGGAGACCACTAAAGAGATCGCCGAAAAGATCACTAAAAAGATATCACAAGGCCGCTTATACGGCCGACTATCTTGTAATAGTATTTCAAGTGTCTTAATTATCCTGCTGGTATTATTTCAGAAAATGAGGCGGGAATCGATATTGCCTAGAGAAGGCGATGCATCTTGCAGGTGAGAATGGAAACAGTAACGAGAAGCGTGTGGACAAGATCATTCAAGGGCGTGCAACCCAAGTTTGCTAAAAAGCCAAGAAGACATAAATAGAAAGCATTTGCATTATTATATACCAATGCTAGAACACGGTGTGGTTTGTATGAGAGTACTGTTGTGATACGCTTCCGGATATCTGCCTGGAGAGACAGATAGAGAAATGAAAAATGCTGATATGACTACATAGTATCATTGCTCATGGGGTATATATTAGTCTACTATAATATAGAATATCGAGCGGACAATCAATCCTTCCCAGCCAAAGCCTCACCAACCCAGTCCATCTGCACAGCACTGACGCCACGTGCATAACTGCGGTTCGTGAACACGAATTCATTGTACATGATTGCCTCGAGCTTCTTGCCGTAGAGCACACTCGATGGGTGAATGGCGACAGTTTGGTTGCCGACGATTGTACGATAGCTCCCATCGGGCACGAGGCGGGCCGTATTAGTTGCGAATCCAGCTAGGAAACTCTGGAGAATGAGGATGGGGGAGGGGTCGTGTAATGAGGTATTGTTCAAAGCTTCGTTAGTGAGAAGCTTGGCTTGTCGACATTGAGTGCGGAGTTGTTTGCGGACGTCCTGGTGTGTTTATGTTAGTTTTGTGCAATTGGTCTCCGGAAATCATGTATTACTCACCATGACTGATTGCATCGCTCGGTGCGATACGAGGTGTCGCTCTGCCCATACCTTGCGGTCGGAGTGTTCAGCGGCATACACCCGTACTGTCATCAGCATTGTGAGGTGGTCGCCCTCGCGGCGGTATAAATCGCGACGGGCTGCCTCTGCCGCTTCCTTCTTCTCTTCTGAGGTGGTGTTTAGGAAAATGTTCTCCACACTGAGACAAGAGATTATATCAATCACATCTAACAAGCATTCATGTCCGTTCTCAGCAGCTGCCAACAGAACACGTCCTAGAGTTGGAGTCAAGGGCAGCTTGGCAATATGTAGGCCGACGGCGCTGATTTTTCCATCATCCTCAAGGGCATTAATGTTCAATAGCTGTAGAAGAGCTTTCTCAAGTGCTTCACGTGGTGGCCGGGTCAGGAATGGGAATCCAACAATATCATCAACGCCACGCGCCTTCATGTTCAGCAGCGCTTGGCTTAAATCACAGCGCAGAATTTCGGGCGTGTTTGTCTCATCCAAGGCCAGATAGTCCTTTTCTGTGTATAGCCGGAAACATTGGCCAGGAGCCTCACGACCAGCTCGACCCTTTCGCTGGATCGCAGCTGACTTGGAGATAGGCTTTACCAGGAGAGAGTCAAGACCAAGGCGAGTGCGGAACTGCTTGACCTTTGCCTTGCCACAGTCAATCACGTGCCGTACTCCAGACACGGTGACGGAAGTCTCAGCAATATTAGTTGATAGCACAACCTTGCGCGTTCGTGGTGGGGCAGGGGCGAAGACTCGTTGCTGAGCAGCCTGTGGCAGCGCAGCGAACAGCGGTAGGACCAGAATTTTAGGAAGCGATGGGTCCATGCTCATGGCATACTCATTCACCAGATGCTCCAAGGCCTCGACGGTTTCCTGACCAGTCAGGAAAACAAGGATATCACCGGGCATTGGTTCCTTCTGATGGATTTGGAAGATTGTTTTGAGCGCTGCGTCGACGAAGTCATGTACCGGGGCGGGCGAGTAGATAGTTTTAACCGCGAATTGCCGTCCCTTAATGTGGCAGACAGAGATATCCTTCGGAGTCGAAGTATCCATTTTATCGGCCTCAGCATCGGCTCCTTCGATAGCTTTCTGTTCTTGCTCCGGACGTTTGAGTCCGGCTTTGAAGAAGTCCGTTAGACTCTCCATATCAGCTGTAGCACTCATGACAACCACCTTGAGTGGCACACCACCCCGGCCCTCCTTCTTGCCCGATACAAGATTACGCAGGAATCCCAGTGTCAGATCCACATTGATGCCCCGTTCGTGGACCTCATCAACAACAATAGCGCTGTACTTAGTCAAATTCGGGTCGTGCAACATCTCCTGGAGCAGCATTCCCTCAGTCAGGAACTTGACTCGCGTACTAGGTGATGTAGACGTATCAAACCGCACCGAGTAGCCGACTTTGCTAGCAGGCGAGTGCGATCCAAGCGGCGTACCCATCTCCTCAGCTACACGGCGGGCCAGCGAAATGGCAGCGACTCGACGCGGCTGAGTGATAGCGATGCATCCTCCGACCAATTTCTTTTCCGTTTTTCCATCCCGTGTGATTTGCGTAGGTACGGGCCGACACCAGAATTCGTCTACCAGAAACTGCGGGATCTGCGTACTCTTTCCGCTACCGGTTTCACCGACCAAAAGCATGACATCTTGTTCTCGTAGCAGTTCGCGGATCAGATCGGCGTTTTCGAATACGGGGAGCTTTCGCCGCGTTTCGAGGAGAGCTTTGGCCTTTTCTCGTAAGGGTGTGAAGTTGGTTTTGGTATCGGCGAAGGGTCTCGACTTCGATTTTGGGTAGGGCTTTGATGCTAGAGAGCCATTCGTTTGAGGTGCTGTCTCTAGCTTCTTTTTAGGCACAGCGACTGCTCTATCTGCCTGCTTAGCGGGTGCAGGGATTTCCCTCGGCTCATCCAGATCGGCGGGTTTGGAGGTTTCGGGATCTTCGAGCTTGCGCTTCTTGTTTCTTTTCTTCTTGCGCTCGGGCTCTGCTGTGGATTCGGATAAGAGCTTTGGCTTCACAATCTTCTCATCGTCCGAGTCGGCGAACACGGTACGGACCTTTTCCGGCATTTTGAGAGGTACGCGAAAGAATGTTGACCAAGGACGACGCTCAACTCTGAAAATTTTGCGTTATCGATAAGCTGATAAGAACATCCTTATCAACATCAACAACAGACCTCCAGAGGTCCCGAGGTCGGGAGGATGAGAACGTGTCAGTTATGCCTAAGATACATTCTGTGTCTTTTCTTGGAGAGAATTAAGACACGGGTTATCCATAGCCGATTTTACATATCCCCTCTAGGCAATTAATGAGTGACATTATATGGCCATTCCATTATTCAACTTGTATTACTCCGTACATATTTCCGGCTTAGTTTCCATCTGCTTTGTAGACTCTTTTATGTTCCTTCAAATCGACCTTTGGACAATCCTTCGAACAGTACTGTTCTATGACAACAAGAGAAATTGCTCAAGCCCAAATCATTGGCTTGCTTGTTCTTCCCACAGAGTTGGCAGCCGTTCATATCTTCACCATTCACACTGCTATCCTATGCAAGCGAAGATAGATTGACAGGCTTTTCAACAAGTGCTGATGGAAATGGTGGAGAAATGGCCATTTGGACAGAGTGTTCAGCAAGCTCTTTCCAGCCAGGAAAATTGGGCATGAAATCAGTTGGTAGTATGCCCTCTCCGCACGAGCAAAGAACCTTTTCACCGAAGTCAGTTGAGAGTGGGATCTTTTCCGTAGCAATGTACTCGCAACTGGGCTTGTGTTGCCATGATCGGCATCGCTCAGTCCAGGCAGGGAGAGCTTCCGTCCAAAGATAAAGCTCGTCTTTGGAGGTGCGGATGGATTTAGGCGAATGGCTGCTGTTCATCATTGCTGTGAGCGCAGGGACAATTTTTGGCATGAGATGAGTGCGAAGAGGGAGAACTGCAGCATCAAGAACAACAGTACGATTGGAGAGTTCGAGTAACATCGTGGACACGAAAACAAGCATATGCACGCCCTTTTCTTCGTGGCAGTCAATAGCGAAGACAGTCGACCGGGGGCCTAATATTCCACTAAAGTGTATGAAGATGTGGAATAGGCCGTTCTTAAAGGCCATTCTGGCCCGAACTTTCGGGGAAGCCGGCAAGGAAGGTTTGAACCTCAGGGCACTCTCATGTGCGGACCACATCGTTGGGAGATGGACCGGTAACCAGCTTAGGCGCTTAGAGGAAGGATTGGAAAGGTCTATCGTAGGAAACGATGAGAGATTGAGGTGCGACATATTCCATAGAGCGGGTGATCCCGAATCCAAGAACACTGGATACATGAAGGACGGCAGGGTTGACCAGTCAGTGGACTTAGCAACATCTGCGATGAGCTCAAGGTAGGATGACTTGCGAGCAATTCTCACTCTCGCGGTAGAGTCCAAGACAGGAGTAGGGAAGTTAGCTTTGAAGCTTGGTCCCTTTTCAAGAGATAAAGCATAATTGAACGGCGAACGCGAAGATTGCTTGATCGTGCTGCCATCCATGAGTAGATCTTTCCATTGCTCAGATAGAATTTGGATATGACTCGTGAATGATGAAATTTGTCCGTTTTGCTCGTTCACGGTGGCGGTGATGGTTGTTTCTGAGTTCCCTTCGGGATCGAGCTCATCCTTGATGTCCACTAAATTAAAGCCACAGATTGACATAACATCACTCTGATGTGGGTGGTGCTTGGTAACATAGACAAATTCAGCATCCTCTTGTTTCGCAGTGAAGATACTCAGATAGCGTCCTAAGCTATTCGCAAATACGCGAATTGTTGTGGGGGAATACGCGATAGCCAACGATACAGTAGTGGCATGCGGTTCTTGGAGTAAAATCAAGCTTGGCACATAGAAAGAAAGAAGCATTGGGGATTTTCCCTTCCATCCCAGTTCGTCTTGATCAATTTCCACCTCGAATGAGTTGCTGTACCTGGATCCTTTGGTTCGAACGTTACCAAATCCAATCTGAGTTTCCGCGAACATGTTTTGCCACTGGTTGGCTGTTTGAGGAGGAGATTGCAAGATAGCATGGAGTGGAGGCGTCAAACCAGCCTTGGTGGCTTCAGTAATGAAAAGCTCTAGTTTGTTTCGAGGAATCCGAAGGGTGACACTCACTACAGGCGGCATGTTCTGCCAGCCCTGTAAGGTGCCTGTGTGTGGAATAGAAATCAAGCTGGTTGGTGAATGTTCTAAAATATCGAAAGAGTAAAGACCCTTCAGATGGAACCAGAGATTCAGCTCTTGCATGTAGTCATTGGACAATGCAAGACTGGTATCTTGATATATGAGCCCAAGCAATTCTATCATCGTAGTGTTCCAGTCCGTCCTGGTCCGTGTTTTGACAAGGCAAAGAAAAGCGACAAAGCTTGCCCGGTTGTAAGCTGGCAGAGATGACATTTGTGCGCTTTCAATTCCGGCAAACACGTTAGAAATATCTTCATCGGCGAACATTTTCAAGAAAACATGATAGAGAACCCGTGCTAGCCCGGTGGAGTCAAAGTGAATGAGGTCCAATGCTTTAACAGGCGCGTCATCTGGTTTCAGTGGTCTCTTCCACCCAATTCTCACGAACACCTGTTTAGCCTTCGATGAGGGCGCCGACAAGTCTTGACATAATGCTTCATCCGACGCAGAGGTTAATGCAGTGTTACTTGCCACTTCCATGGGAACCAAGCCGAGAAGAGAAGTAACTGTCGTCATTTCTCCACACAGGAGAGTTTCAAGAAGGGACATCTGAGTCTCCTGGGTCCGCACGAGCTTATCTGAGTAAAGGGTGGCCGAGAAGGTATTACGCAGAAGCGGCGAAGTGGCAGTGAACACATTCAAGGCACCCAGATGATCGATAAGATTAGAGGTATCAATGATATCAAACACGAGGGGCGCCGAGCCGTCCGAATAGTGTTCATCATCCAAGATCAGTGGGTCGAAATGGTATCGATCACGGTACCAATGTGAAGGCTTTGAGGGACCGGCGGTACGCATCTGCTGGAGAGCGTATGCAAAAGCCACCGCATCTCCTACAAAGAACCGCAGCGTAATCAAGTCCGCCATGAAATGTACTCTGAACGACATCATCCAGGCACCGAACTCTGTCTTGGCGGCGTTGACAATTTCGTGCAACCCAGGCTTCTCGGAAGAAGAGCGCGAGTAGGGCGACCTTGGGTCAATCGGGGCATAGCATGAGCCGATGTGGAAGCTAAGAAGCGGGTCGGTGCCATAATGCAAAAGCATGTTTCCATACTTGTGCGCAAACATGGGATTGGAATAGACGGCAAGGGACCGGGCTCTTCGATCAGTCTCGATAATACCGAAAGTCCAATAGTTCCTGTACAGTTTTCTGACATCACGGATAGCATCCAGGCATGCAGGCGCAGCAGCTCGGATTCCTGTTATCACGTTGATGTCACCAACAACCGACTTTTGAAACCTTTGGGCACTTCGCAATCCATTATCTAGCTTCTTCCTGAAGCGTCGAAGATCATCTCCTTCTCTCCTTTCGCCATAGAAACGCCACATGTCACGGATCCGTTCCATCGAGACACGATCGCATGTCCTAATCAGTCGGCCATACTGACTCTGCTGCCATGCTTGTGGCGACGTTGACAGGGACAAAAGCTTGGTTGCCTGTATTTGTAATAACTTAAGAGAACGTTTATCGATTCGACCATGATAGAATAGATTCCAAATCAATTGTTCGTTGATGCCATCGATATCATCCAGAACCAGCGATAGCAATAGGATGTTTCGAGCTGTGGGAGATCTCTCCTATTAGCCATCACGACATGAAATATGGATGAGTGATTATACCAATCACAGCTGGGTCTACATCGCAGCAGGTGACGTCTAAAGGACGAGGGTTGAAAGTCTGTTGCTCCATATGTATCGTGAAAAGAATATGACGAACATCCCCGCATCCGAGAAGCAGAATAATGGCATTTTCTTCCGGTGGAAGACCTTGAGTCAAGGAGACAGCAGGTGTGTTGCCGATGGGATAGAAGAACTGAAGCAAGTTGGCGATCTCCGGGCCCAGCATTTTGATTCAAGAATGGTGTAAACAATCGAGAGGACCGAAGCATCAAATAACAAAGATATGAATAATCTGATGAAGTGAGGTGAAGATGTGAAGAGATGAAAAATTGAAGTTGGAGTTGTTGACAAACGAAATGGGTTGACCAACAAACAAAACTTGATGGTTTTGGAAATAAGACAGCGATCTACTACTGGATTGCACAAAGGCCCATCTATCTATGATCTAGACTATACTGCTGCCTGGCAGATAGTCTAATTGTTATCACCTTCAATGAACTTTACTCTCAAGTCGAGCTCATAATGCTTTGATATATTTCAGGATATATACCCACAGGTCTCCAGTACTATATAGGATATCTATGGCAGTCTACATACATGGAAACAAGGATTGACCGATTATAATCAGTAGTGCCTCCCAATATATATCTTTGAATGACCATTAATGTTGACTTCTCGAGTTACGTTCCATGCTTTCTCTCAGTATGTTATTTTGTTAATCTGCACGAAAAGTAAAGACATATCCATGGATTAGCACCTCTAAATACTATTCCATGTGACTTAGGACAACCTGCACAAAGAATCGAGATCTCAGTGCCGTGAGGGCTCATACTGAACCTGGGTACACCCCAATCTGAAGTTGCTACAGCGCACTGGAATCCAAGAGGGATCTAAAAGCTCCCTGCTTCTGCCTCAAATCATTGAATGACCCAGCTTCGACAATTCCCCCTTTGTCCATCACAATGATTGAGTCACTATTGGAGATAGTTTCCAGCCGGTGGCCGACTACGATGATCGTAGAGTCCCGAAATTCCTCATCAATCACTTCCTGAACAAATTTGCTAGTCTCTGTGTCAACCTTGCTAGTGGATTCCTCGAAGAGAAGAATTTTCCCACGAGGAGAGCGCAGCAAAAGAGCGCGGGCGAGAGAAATGAGCTGCATCTGACTTTCTGACAATGGCCAGGCCTTCATCGGCATGTCAAGGTAAAAGGTTCGCGATAGTCCAAAGTCTATAGCTCTCGACTCCAAGCTCGACCACAAATGGACTTTTTTCAGAGTTTCAACGATCTTCTTGTCCGTAGTAATTCCTAGAACATCCAGGTTTTCGCGAACAGTATCGTTTAGAATAATGAATGAATCCTGCGGGATTGTGATTATTCGAGATCTTATCAAATCTCGTGATATCGAACTCAAATCCAACCCGTCAATTATAATTGTTCCCTCGGACAGGTCGATCATCCGCAAGAAGCTGAGGAGCAAGGATGATTTGCCACTGCCAGTTGGTCCACAGACGGCAATTTTGTGGACAGGTGCCATCTTGAAAGAGACGTCAACTGTAGTGTTAACCGATGCAGCTGGTTGCTTCCCCTGGCTGACAACAACATTGACCAGGTCCATTTCACCGCTAGATGGCCACAATTTAGGTATGGGATATTGTTGGCTGGGTTGGGTTTCGGGAGCTACCGTCGTTGCAAAGCTTCTGATGCGGGAAACCATGTTCAACGATGTATCAAAATTTGCCCATGACTGGACTGTAGTCATCAATGTCATATTGAGCATGAGTATCACGTTCATACTGATGCCAACATCACCGGCTGTCATGGTAGTACCCGTAAATGTGACTATGAAGGCAACATGAACTAGCACCACGCCGGCGACGATCAAATCCAACACTAGTCCGAACGATTGCTCAAGTACATGCAGTGTATATGACGATGACTGGGAAGCATCCAACGCCCTACTATTTTCGAGTGAGTAGGCCTTTTCCCAGCCGAAAGCCCTGATTGTAACCATTCCCTGAGCAGTTTCAACAAAGCTGTCGTTAGGGAGGGACCTTGTTTCCATACAAAGCTTCTTAATCTGGCGACTGGTGACAAGGTACATGCCTTGTATGACGTAGACAATTATCGCAAACACGGGGAGCACGATGAGATTATATTTCTGCGAAGCGGAGAGCAAAGTGATCTGGGCCAGGAGTTTGAACGTTTGACTACCCAGTGCGACAATTTCACGGGGGATTTTTCGATCGATTTGCATCATATCCTCACTGAATCTCGACAGTGTGGTCTCGATATCGGTAGATGTGATGAATGACAAGGGGGCCTTTATGACTGTTGTAAGCAGTTGATCGTGGAGAGCGCGACCAAATGTGGGCACAACAAGAAATTTAATAGTGCCAATTCCCGTCAGTGACACCCAGTGCCCAATCGTCAGTGCGAAGTAAACACCAATGTAGAAAGTTATCCGCTTGCCGCCTGCCTCATCCTCTGTCCACATTCGGAACCAGGTCTGAATAAACACGACGAAAGCTGCGGAGGAGAGGAAGATGAATATAGCTACCAAGAATCGGTAGACCCCAATTGTAGCGACATATTGTTTGTAAATGGTGCTGTTTACGGGTCTCAGTAATACGTCCATTGACTCTTCGGGCATTGAGTAATCCGGGCGGGGGACATTCATCTGTTGAATTTCTTTCTTGGGCTTATCCTGAGGTAACTCGATGTCTGGTTGAGGATCCAATTCGTTGTAACATGACTGAACTTTGGGGTCATCCCAAACCCCTTGCTCACAAATAGTCCCATCAGGGTTGAGAATGACTATCAAATCGGAATTTCCGAGAAGATCCTCTAGATTAGACGTGTTAGGCGATACCAAAAGTCCAAGTCAGTACCGAGTTCACTTACTTGAATCAGTGATCATAACAACAGTCTTATTAAGTTCACGGAGTAGGCCAGTCGGACCCAACAGTCGTTGCATCACACGAGATGCAGTCTCCTCATCAACGGAACTTAATGCATCGTCCAGAATGATAATATCTAGCCCCGAATATACTGCTCGCGCCAGCGCCTTTTCTGATCAGTTATACGAATGCGTATCGGATTATAATACTTACCAATCGTTCCTTCTGTCCCGCAGAAAGCGACATACCCCCGCCCGATACCACGGTATTATCCCCATTTGGGAGGCCAAAAAGATCAACCTCTAAGTCACAGGCATGAAGGACCCTCTGGTACCACTTTTCATCAGTCACTCTGCATCCTGGCGGTCCTGCTATTATATCTCTGATCGTACCATCTCTCAACCATGGGGATTGAGCACAGAAAGCGATGTTGTTAGGGGACGTTGATACAGATCCGCTCTGAAGCCTCACGTCTCCCAAGATTGTTTTAGCAAGAGTTGTCTTTCCCGATCCGGTCGCGCCGACAACAAGCACAAGCCAACCGGGTCGTATTTCCAGATTGATGTTGTTCAGCACGGGCAGATCAGATGTCTCATATCTGACTGTCGCAAACTTCATGAGTATGGCGTAATCATCGTCGTGGCGGAACTGGTCACCCCATATATAGGCGAGGAAGTGTTTAACCTGCCCTTCGAGAAGTTTGCAATTGTCTTGGTGGTCGGGTTGAAGGAGGAACTTTTGTAGCCTGTCGAATCCTGCCATAGCTTCGACAAGCTCCGGAAGAAGGAACATAATTGAAGTTGCTGGTAGGGTGACCATTTGGATCAGAGCAAAGGATGTGAAAAGTAGATCTGCATCAAGAGCAACATTCCCAGACGTTCTGGCGAAAACGATGTAGAGCGCGAGCGTGATAGCGGGACTAACAACGTTTGAAAAGCTTCCTAAACATTCAATTTTGTTAGCCGCCAAGCCGAGATCATGGAAGAAAATCATGTCTTACCACTGGCTGCCATTATGACATCGAGCTGAGACGTGACTAGACCCGCTCTCAGCTCATTATCCCGTGCAGCTCGGACCTTTGACTCCATTACGTGCGAATAACCCATCATCTTAATCGGTTTTAGATTCTCTAGTAGTGCTTTCGTGAGACCGACTCGGAACCGTGTTGCATCATTCCATGCCCTACGTTTCTTAACGAAATGTTTGGTGGCATATCTTCCACATTGGGAGGTTACTAGAGTACCGAATCAGAAAGTCAATACCAGCCAGGGCCAGGAGGAAGTTGTCACTTACACAACACCAACATTAAGGGGATTATGCTGGCCCAACCCAGTCTAGATGCGAGCAAATATAGGCCAAGGGACAATGAAATGAAAGACGACCATATAACATGAGCCCAGCCGAAGGCCATTTGAAGTTCTTCCACATCATTGGTCATTAGCCCAAGAGCAGAATGGCCATCGTCATTGCATTGCAAGGTCTTCTCGTGAAGAATCCCGATCAGCGAGCCCTTGACCGCAATCATCGCCCGTCTCTTGGCTGCCTCTCGACGTCCATTAAACAGCTGCACTCTTTGTAAGTTATCATACTTGGTAAATTGAAGATGGATTACTGACAGCTGATCCAACATAAATGAGCATCGTTACCGAAAGCAATTTGAAGCCTCGAATTCGCGCTGTGTCCCCAGTCGGTGGATCGCTAACGTAGCCGATCAAATGTGACATTAGCACAGGCTGTGCGTAGCGAGGACATATAGCACCCATCATATACGGTATAACACACATGTTCTCACGCAGTGTGCATCTTAATGTTGCTAGTGCCAACGCATATCTTCCCTCCGGTCTCGCTGTCAGATTTTATATTAAAAAGTGTGCTAGCAGCCGCGTTTTGAATACCGCATCACTTACAGCGGTTTTCCCAATGACGTTTGATCTTCTCTTTTAGGATAGTGGACGACAATGTCTTGGGGAGTGGTAGAAGGTCATCAGATGTTAGGGGTGCAGAATTCGTCCACCAGTAGAAAGTCTCATTGAAAATGCTTTCTGTTTCCTCAAGTGATAGGTCCAGACAGTCTTGACGGATAATGGATCTTTTACTTCTCAATTCCAAGATCAGGAGCACTGCTTTCACCATCACAAGGCTGATACTGAAGCCAGAAGGTTGACATCGGCGTTCGGTTGTTAGGTGTAACGCCGTTGTTTGCGCAAGATCGATGGAAAGCGATATAATTAGAAGCATGTTCAACGAATCAAATGGGCGGATCGTCCGACCATGCCTCAAGAATGATAAATATGGAACCAGAAGAGAGCCAATGAAGGCACCGGCAGCCGTGCAAATATATATGGCATTGGATCTGGCTTGAAGTTCCAATATCAAAATCTTTAGTTGGAGCACGACAAGGGTCAATGAGGCTATCTGGAGTGGATATTAGCCCTAGTAATTGACAGGTAGCTTAAAAACGAAACGCCTTAGAAGAATACCAACCTACCAGTTTGAAAAACCCTCGGTAATTCGGTCTCACTTTTACTTGTTCGGTTTGGAGACGTAGGTATCTCCATGAAGCATAGATATTGAACAGGGGCGTTGGTCCAAGAGTGTAAAGTACGTATAACAGGAGGTTTAGCCAACTAGCAAACCCCGCATGGTTTGATTTTCGCAGAGATGGTGAACAAAGCCTCTCTTCCCCGAGTGGGTATTTAAATGGCAAAGTAGACATCGCCAAGTTCGGACTTTTCGTCTTGGATCAAAGCACGAGGGAAAGTCCTACTTGAAGGTCGCTTGAAGTTTTATTCAATATATTAAATCGCCCGAATCCCCTAGATATATGTGTTTTTTAGACTGCCAGGCATGATTCATTGTCTTGACAACATGGATGTTCAATGGAAATGACAACACAGAAAATGCCCTGCATTGCTCCCTTGGCGGCCAATTATAGTAGCAATAATATATGTGGTTATTATTTGGATCAGGCGACATGCTTTGGAATTCGACACCCTGAGGCCTAAAAAAACGATCTTGTAGTTAAATAAACTAATTAACTAGGGCTGATGATATTCCCTTGCTAATCCGCGGATCGCATTGGTATAATCTATAGATTCGCATCCCTTACCACATGCAAAGTACTCCAATCCATCGTGTTCATGAGCAACTGATTTGGATCCACGTCCATGGAGCTCGGTCCAGACATGTCGGCATATCCCCACGTTCCCAGACTCCCAGAAACATTGAAATCCACCCCTGTAGATACTGGCAGATTATCTTCATTGATACTCGAGGTATCTCCGGGCTGCACTGTGTCCACATCCTGTCCAAAATTTATCGTCATTTGCATTACTTTCTCCCGGATATCCAACACAATCCGAGGTGGCACTAGAGACCGCCCTTCTTCTCTGGCTACCTGTTCCCGCGCCTGCCACGCCTGGAAAACAATTCGAGACAATATGATAAAGAAGGGGCGGTCGTCATGCTTGGTATCCATAATGCGGACCTCGTAATTGTTGCTCATAACCTCCCACGCCTGGTCTGCATGCTCTTCCAGGGGCCTATTTTTCAAGCTCTGCAGGAGGTGAATATACGCAAGGAAGGGGAAGTGGAAGTGAATAAACCACAGGTATCCTTTGGTGAGAGGGGACGTCATGAGGTTGGTGTCGCACTCCAGCATGCGAAGTGCGTGCGAAATGCCAATACTGCGTTGTGTATCCGCCTGCGGCACGGACACCGACGAGTATCGGGAGTAGCGTTCCAAGAGACGAGCTTTCGCGAGGTAACCACGCGTTGTCCAGATAGTCATGAAGTGCAGTGGGTTCTCTGGATTGCAAAATGAAAGATATTTTTCCTCGATCGTCTTCTCTAGCATTAGAAGACCCTCCGCCTCGTCTATATCCGTAGATCGACCACAGATCGTGCTCAAAAACGGATTGGTGCAATCGAGGTGGAATGCACTGTGACGGACAAAGTTGGCGAGCTCACTGCGTACAACGGCAAAGACCATCTCTGTTGGTCTGTTGCTTTCTGCCGGGGTAGCTTTCATCTCGGCCTGAAGCTCGAAGTCATTGATATTGAGAGGAAGGCGGCAGTCCCAGGTAGGAACCAGCGACGCGGTTTTGTAATCGGACATTTCACAGATGCGATTATCAAAGATGACTAGCGACCACCACAATCTTCGACGCACCTCCGCCTCTAGAGCGGAGTATTTGCCGTACATTGACTCATTGTCAATACCTATCCGCTGTGCGATTCGTATAGCAACGCCAAGGAGCGATGAGAGAGAAGCAGGGTCCATGTTGGGTCTGATCGACACCTGCAAGAATTAGCGAGGGCCCATAGATCTGTTAGACGCACCTACTAGGTACAGATACAATGCAGTCAAGCACTCATGGTTACTAGAGCGCAAAATAGAACAACCTCGTAAAGCTTGCTGGCATGCAAAGTGATACCCTGCCAAGAGGTCCTTTTTGGAGGATCCGAACGAAGCACTGCATTGATCTTCTGTGATACTTGAAATAGAGACACAGTAGATACTAAACATCAATGCTTCTAGTTTGGGATCGATGTTGGCGATATCGCTAGCAGCATCGATGATGCGTGTTTGAAGAGTGGGTGTATGCGTGACTCTGAGAAGAGGATTGACGTTGTCTAAGTAGATCTGCCAAAGCCTGAAGATGTGTACCTGGGTTGGATGCAAAGCAGACAGGTTGACTTTACCTACCGATGAACCGAATAAAAGTTGGTCGTTGCTTTGGCCTTGAAACATATTGTTCCATGCCTTCTTGATCACAGCTTGACGCACATCATCGTTGTCGTGGAGGAACCCGCTGTCGTTCTCATCTTCATTCGGATCTATGGTCTTTCCCGAACTGTCAGCGGGTCCCACGATCCCTCGCAGACTAGATCATACCTTTTGACTCATGGCATGCCACAAGTTTCTTGTTACTATATCATTAGTCATCCATAAGTTTCTGGGCAAGCCACTCGGGCAGGTGGCCCGGGGCGCGCCGCGGAGCCGCGACAGAGTCCCGTACAATGGTTTACGCTTCCCTGTTGTGCTTTCTCTCAGTCGGCGAGAATCCTTATCCGGAAGAGTACATTCTGATAGAGTACCCTGTGAAATATCATCACCGCCATCCTCGACGGGAGACTCACGGTCCGTAGCAGATGTGTGGAGTGGATTGAACTTGATGTTATTCAGGCGAAGCAGTCTTTCATAATATCGCAGCCGCTCTAGCAGCTCTTTCTCGGGAAACCTCCGGCGTCGCTGGCGGGTTGCTTGCTTGCACTGCACGCAGGCACGTACACAGTTGATGCAAGGGAATGTACGATCACACTTGATCTTGCGTTGCTGGCACAGCACACAGGCCAGCGTGCGCTGGGTCTTGGCGGTGACTGTCTGTTCAGATGCAGAGGTCGGTGTCGCCATGACATGAGACTATTGATCCTATTGCGGCATATATTTTTCTATTGGAATTCTGTCTCCAGAGCTCGTGTTTATCGGGGGAAGAAGGAAGGAAAGGGGAACAAGTCGGGTTTTAGGAAGTCCGAAACCCACACTACTGGCAACCCTCGCACTTTCTAACTCCCGATCATCGTGCTGAACCAGAATGAATTCTCCGACCATGTTATGTTCCTTGCGCTCTATAAAAATGGAATGTTTCCACTTTGCTCATTATGGTCTGCAAAATTACCCCTCTTGCATTGACAACACATCGATCGCATCTTGGTTAGTGGAGCTACATATACCACAGTCATGTCTCATCGCACTTCTACTTCGGACAGCATGATATCGTCGACGATAGATCCTCGAGAGTCGATAAAGCAACCTACCAAGACGGCTAGTGATGCAACAGTCAAAGACGAAGAACCAGCCAAAGCTGAAGGCCCTCCAGGTGCTTCAGGCCCACTCGAGAAACAGTCCACTGTTAGGGTTGTCTGTCTGATCGTCTCAGCTTTTGTCGCCATGTTCCTGGTTGCGCTGGACAGAACCATAATCTCGACGGTATGAGCATCATACACCAACTGAGTCTAATTATAGCGCTAATTTATTGCAATTGATAGGCCATACCCAGAATCACCGATGAGTTCAACTCCCTCGATGACGTCGGCTGGTACGGAAGCGCATACTTGTTAACATGTTGTTCATTTCAACTCTTATTTGGCAAACTGTACAAGCTCTTTTCCATCAGAATCATATTCCTTGCCAGTATCCTAGTGTTCGAGATTGCCTCCGCTGTCTGTGGAGCGGCTCCGAATTCAGTTGCCTTTATAATCGGAAGAGCGATCTGTGGGGTGGGAGCTGCTGGTATCCTTGCCGGAACTGTACGTGACTCTAGTCCACTTCCCTTTCCATCATTTTCTGACATATAGGTGATAGATAATGTGCATCATCCATTCTGTGCCTCTGCACAAGCGTCCCCAAATTCAGGGACTGTTCGGGGCCCTTTTCGGCATCGCTTCTGTAGTAGGTCCCTTAATTGGCGGTGCCTTTGCCTCTAACGTGACATGGAGATGGTGCTTTTATGTCAATCTACCAATTGGCGGTGCTGCCATGGTTTTCATCGCTTTTTGCCTTAAAGTCCCTAAGCAAGAGACAGCAAAGGTATCCTGGGCTGAGAAGCTGCGACAACTGGATTTCTCAGGCACTACACTTCTAGTATCTGGTGTGGTTTGTCTTATACTAGGGCTTCAGTGGGGAGGTCAGACGTATGCTGTAAGTTATGTGAACCCTTACTTTCAACAACAACTGACAGTTTGCAGTGGAGCAGCGGCCGCGTCGTGGCTTGTCTGGTTCTTATGGCGGTCTTACTTTTGTCTTTTATAGCCCTACAAGTCTTTCTTCCCAGGACAGCGACACTTCCAGTACGTATCCTTTCGCAGCGCAGCATAATGTCAAGCCTCTGGCAGACATTCTGCGTTGGGTCTGGAAACTACATATTTGGTGATAAGAACCAACTATCAGTTATTATCCCGTGTTACTGACTTCATGGGCAGTATACTTCATCCCAATCTGGTTTCAATCTGTCAAGGGCAATTCCGCCGTGGAATCCGGAATTCACCTGCTACCGATAATGCTGTCAATGGTCGTCGGCTCAATTGGCGGAGGAATGATAAACTCGAAGATCGGGTACTACACCCCGCTAGCCATTATCGGATCCTGCATCATGTCCGTCGGAGCTGGTCTCCTCACTACCTTTCAGGTGGACACCAGGGAGGGAGAGTGGATCGGGTATCAGATCGTCTACGGAATTGGTTTAGGGTTGTGTTTCCAAATCCCCAATCTGGCTGCCCAGACCGTCCTACCAAAACCAGACGTGCCATCTGGCCTAGCACTCATGCTGTTTGGTCAACTGATTGGGGCAGCCGTCTTTGTCTCTGTTGGGGAAAACATCTTGGCTAATCAACTGATGAAAAGTCTCTCTGGGCTGCCAGGGTTCAATGCCGATTTTGTCACCTCCGGTGGTGTCACGGAGCTGCTGAATACTATGCCCGCAAATCAGCATGACACAGTCTTAGATTCCTACAATGATGCCCTGCGGAAGGTGTTTCAGGTTGGTTTGATTATGTCGTGTCTGACACTACTCGGTGCGGTTTGTCTGGAGTGGAGGAGTATCAGAAAGGAACAGCCAAAGGCTGATTCTGAGAATAAGGGCACCGCTGGAGGGGAGAAGGCTGCGGACGGGGCGGGGGGTAAATAGAATACTCTTGGGGTTTCTCCTCTTTGACTGCTTAACTTTGAGGGCGAGATTTCCCCATTAGATCTGTGACAATTAGATGTCACACTATACTTGCACCATCAATCAGAAGGGAACATGAAGAAAGGACGGACCAGTATGGGGTCGCAGAGTTCTCAGCTCCACTGCTTTTAGTTAGATCAGCCGTGCGAGCTGAGGTTCGAAGTGTAATTTCCTCATAAGAGACAGAATTTCCGTCAGATTCATATACGGAGGTAGTAGAAAGTTCCTATGATGACTCCTCCCATAGTAACCCAAATGATTATCTCCTTTTCCTACTCCAAATACCAACGGATCATGCTTTTTCGGGCTGGAAGGTATGGAGTTCTGTACGGAGTAGACTGTCCCCGAGCACAGTTGGACTGCCTCGAACTTAATTATACTTTCCTTGCGCTCTTCAGCCGCACTTGAAAACACACAAGTGTCATCTCAGCTCTAATTGGCACTCTCCCGGATATACTGTACTTGGCGCATTAACTATCACACAAGGGAAATTGAACGAATGACAAGATTCTATGAACCGCTATTGCAGACGATCTTACATACTATTCCAATTAATTAGACATGTCTAACCCGTCCCGATTTCCTTTATTATACATCCATGAGACCTATGGCATTTGGATCCAGTCATCAACGTCTTCGACCTCATCTCCCCGTGGCTATACATCACCACCAGAGAAACTACCCAAATCCAACCTCTACAACTCCCCATAATGCTCGTGGCAGCATCCCACAATGATCTACCTCGTACAGGTGTGGCCGCACTCCTCGCCGGACTCAAGACGCCCGGAGAAATAGAGCTACCCAACGGTGTAGTCGTACCTGTCGGCATCGGCGAACCTGTTTACCGAGTAACCTTTCGCTCGGAGCGTGCCCTCCGAACACCAATGACAGAAATGGGAGTTGGTCGAGCCTATTTATCTGGTGACATCGAGGTAGAGGGTGACATCGGCACCCTGTTCAATGCTCGCCAGAATCTCCAAGAGAAAGTGCCTCTACGACAGAAATTCCAGTTCATATATGACTTTTTCCGCACAGCCACGAAGATGAATGCCCAAGCCATCGGTGATCACTACGGACTGGATGACGGGTTCTATCTCACATTCCTTGACAAGCGGTTCCGCTTCTATTCGCAGGGTTTGTTCCAGCGACCCGAGGAAACACTCGAAGAGGCCTCGGAGCACAAAATGGAGACAATATTCGCTGCTCTCGATCTCAAACCAGGCATGAGACTCCTTGATATTGGCGGTGGCTGGGGTGGTGTGACGCAGTATTGTGGTGCTCGAGGGGTTCATGTCACTACGCTGACACTCGCACCTAACGGCGCGCGTTATATTCAACGTGTCATAGAGGAGAAGAATCTCCCTGGTCAAGTCTTCCTACAAGACTTCCTTGATCATGAACCAGAGGAGCCATATGACCATGTTGTCAATTTAGGCGTGATTGAGCATATCCCCAATTATCGCCGTTTTGCACGAAAGATGTGGGATGTGTTGAAGCCTGGTGGGCGCACGTATCTTGATGGTTCGGCGGCTGTTGAGAAGTTTGCTGTTAGCTCTTTTACCAGAGACTATATTTGGCGTGGAACGCACACGTTTATGACTCTTCAGGACGTTCTTGCTGAGTTTTTATACCACGGCTTTGCGGTGTTGGATGTTGCCAATGAAACTCGGGACTACGAGCTCACAATGCTTGAATGGGCGAAACGTCTAGATTTAGCAAAAAAGAACCTTGTCACGGGTTGGGGAGAGCAGAATTATCGTGTCTTTCGCTTGTTCTTGTGGGGTGGGACTCATACCTTCAAGACCAATGCGTTGCAGGCTTACCATGTAGTCGCGGAACGCACATCTTCCCCTGGGCCACGACCATCTGTTCCTCGACGTTTCCGTCAGTTCCTGGGCAACCTGCGCTGAGCTATTCCGGACGACCATGAGACCGTTTTGGACTTCAATTCGGAGGCACACTTTCTATATACTTTTCTGTAAGCTACGCACAAAATATGGAGTCTCTGAGCACCTCAGCTGGGTGGGCTGTTTGTTGGCAAACACAAGATCTCGTCCGCCTGGTGGAAGATGAACAGATTTCCATATTACTAGGAGCATGCTAGTCAATGTAATCAAATTCGTCATGTATCTCATCTTCAATGTATGTAACAAAGCATTCATGTAAAGGTCATCAATCATTTTAGTCCAGGCCCCAGCCGCGTACACGCCGGAACACGAATGCTCGGTCATTGCGAAGACCGAACTCGCCCCAGTCGTCGGTGAGTCGGTTGTAACTCCAGAAACCTTTCCAGGCTAGTTTGGTGTTTTTCGATGGGTTGGGCGGAGCCGGCCCTAGTTGAGTGGATTTAGGTACAATCGAGGAACGTAGCGATAGATGCATCGTGTAAATGTACTTGGGATCTACACCCTCTGTTTCAATGATAAGATCCCGCTCGTCAGAAAGAAGCGATTTCGAATCAGACGCTGAGTCGGGCTTCCAGACTTCAGCGGGAGCATCGGAAGGTTCGGACATGTCAACGGGCGAGGCCAAATGCCACCGGCCTAGGAGGCCATGCTTCAATGTATTCATGGCGATAGGCGGTATGGTCTCAGTGACTCCAGAAAGGGTATGACCTGCATCAGACGTACGCCGTTGATGCTTTCGATGTGCTGGGGCCTGCGCCACCAACACATTCTCTTTACTGATATGAGGGACCACATCGACTGGCTCCGTAGAAGTCAGCAGCGAAATTACCGAGCCATCTGGGTAAAACCGCAAATAGCGGTAATAAGTCACGATATGGATTGGACTGTTCCAGGAAAGGTTTGAGTAAGCAGATGCAACACCAGCGCGAGTGTAGTTGACCGTGCTAATATAAATGCCCGTAAAACGAATTCGAGGAAGGGTCTGAAACACCTGGCTCCAGGAAGACAGTGGCGGAGGGATTTCTACAGGCACGCCCTTAGGAAATGGAGTGTATCGCGGTGCAAGGGTGTAGATCGGTTCCCCACGTAGGTCGCATGCGAAGTCATAATGCATTCCTTGGAAGCCGAATTCCTGGGATTGACAGATCCGTCTCCAAATGTGTTGCTCATGGGCGAAATGGTAAGCCATCCGCTTACAGACCAGCGCCATGCGGCCGAATGCCGATGGATCGTCCATTGCCACATGTCGCAGAATCTCCACTAGCACTTCCGACGGCACAGTGGCAATTGGGCAAGGGGGCGGCGGTGTGTTTTCGACGATAGGCTCCAGCGGTGAAATTGGCACATGTACGAACGACGCAATGAGCTCAGGTGTCGGAAGGATCGGTACCTCTGCGGACTGCTGGGCCACATCGGTAGGGGCAGTGGGCGCGGGCAAAGTAGGCTTCTTCCATGCATGGGCGTAGTGCTTATTCCGGTAGGACTTGTCGACAGCGGAATCTAGCTAGACAGGAATGAGTATTCGAGTCATAATCACCATTCGTATCGAAAAAAAAGGCTCACCCTATATGCCTTTCGGTAATGTGAAAGACTGTCTCCTAAATTGCCTTCGGCCTCCTTCTCGACTGCTCGTTCATAGTGCTCCAGTGCAGATGTTGGTTCTGCTACCTCTCGACGCGAAAAGTCATCATCGGCTGGTTGCACGCTCAGCTCTCCGACTTGTCGGGCCAGCTCATCTGGGTCGAAGGAGGCCAGCGGGGGGCCCTCCTCCTCGATCTCTTTACGGTGAGAGGCCTCACGGCGTGTGGGCGGAAGACGAATCGGAGGCGGGGCAGTTGGAGTCGGAGACGCAGGCGCAGGAGCGGCCTGAGGTCTTGATCGACGGGTGACCTCCTCGCGCCACTGTTGGCGGAACGACTCAAGCTCGTCGTTGTCATCCATGGCGAGGTGGTGAGTGGAAAGCGGTGCTCACGTTAATGGTTCTCATCAAAGGCCACACACCGATCTCGGAAGGCTTGGCGTCCCTGGCTTTTTGAGGCTATGACCTCACATCGTGCTCGTATATTAGGGTGTATTACTATGGATAACTAGTTTTACTTGAGATTATAAATTGAAGACAGTCCTCATATTCAATCCCCGCTATGTAGCCTCCTACGCACCAACGTTCTGCGTCATGCACACCCCAGCCTCTCGGAAGAGCCTCAACACTTCAAGACCAGACATGCAGAATTGGCCTCGCACAGTATATGATGGAATTTAACACATCGCAAAGTACAAACATGGTGCACTTTTAATTGTGGATATCGCAATCATGGCTCAGCCGGGGCATCTCCTTCATCAGAGGCATCCGCCGCAACAAGAGCCACCCAGAGGCTAGGGGAGTTATTGAACCTAAGTCGCTCCGACATCTGAGAAACCACGTCCCGTACCATAACACCCGCATTCACCAGTAACTGCGCTATTTTCACCTGTCCTCACTGAGAGCCTCTCCCTGACGATAATAGTATACACCCGTTTCAAGCACGAGGTGAAGCGCGGTACTTGTCACAATCCTTACTAAACCTAGAACGATAGGCCGCCGTTTAAATAGGAATGTAGAGAAGCTATAGCTTGCTATGTCCAGGAGTGCGACATCGCCCGTCCACGGTCGGTGGGTTATTTGGATTTTCGAGTGCCCGTCCATAATGCCCACCGCCTACGGACATGCCCATCGCGGGCATGCCTACTATGCCCACCGTTATATAAAGTTGTCTTCAATATATATAAAAATTAGATATATAGTAAATTATACTATATATATATTTATATATATCTTATTAAAAATGCGGAAATATGATTATAAATATGTAAAAAATATGAATTAGTTGAAATATTTCGAAATCTATCAATAACAATGATGTGTTACGCTAATTTTGCTTACCAAAAAGGCCCACGGGCGCCCTTGACGCCCACGGGCCGTGGGCCGGCCGTAAGGGTAGGGCGCATTTCCCGCTTATATAAGGCCCGTGGGCAATGCCCACCCGTCCAGGGGCGATGTCGCAGTCTACTTCTTAAAGCTCATTTTTCTGACCCCAGTCAAAAAACTGATAGTTGTATCAAATCATTATATAAAGGTTTCTAAAGCTCATTTTTTCTGACCTCCATTAGAAAATTGATAGTAGTATCAAATCATTATACAAAGGCTTCTAAACCTATTATATAATAAAAGTGGCTAGCGTATTCCAAGTCGAATACTTGGCATAGGTTTCCGTAGCCATTTTTGATGTCGGTAACTAACCTTGGAACCCTTGTGGCTTTACATAAGATCCGCCCCCCCCCCCCCCCCCCCCCCCCCCCCCCCCCCCAAACGCCTGAAAAGGGTCCGGCGGGCGTCACTTAGAACCCCCTGACTCTTCTCGAACTCGCCCATTCCCCACATTTTCTTTTACATCCACCAACCATTTTCATCAGTTCCGCCAAGGTCACTCTATCATTTTCATCATGAATTGTGTGACGCGAAGAATATCTTTTCGGAATTTGAGGATGAGGAAAGGAAACAACTCATTGCAGAGATTGTAAGACAGGACCCCAGCCTAGCTTACATCCTTTGGTTCTCGGATATTGAGACCCTTCGGGGATTTGCCAGGGTCATCCCCCATATGGGCATCGAGGGCAACGAGGCTGCAGACCTCCTCGCGGACGAGGGGGCGCTACACGGCCGGGTCATCGGCCCTCAAGCCTCCCCAACCATCAGCGGGATAAGGTCTATCTACCGGGAGCTTCGGGCCGAGGCACGGCTCCAATGGTGGGATAAGGCCTCGACTAAGCTCTCTACATGGTACCGGTCCTAGGGGGGCAGTGACATGTATGAAGTTAAGCCAAGGCCGGAGCTGTTGCTCCGCCGCACAACCCTACACCGGCGGCTCGCGCTTAGGTCTGCCCACGGGGACTTTACGTGGTACCACCGGAAGTTTAGCTATGAAGACGCAAGGTTGTCTGCCCCTGTGGATGCCTAAAGACCCCTAAACACCTCGCCATCTGCCATAGGTCCCGGAGGATGTTCGGCAGGTGGCCCCAGCGGCCCCTAGCGCCGCCGGAGACTCAGATGGAGGCAGTAGCCTACCTACAGACCCTCGAACCGCTAGAGTTCGCGGAGCTCCTCCGGGTCACAGAGTTCTACTTTAAGCACTACACGTGGTAGCACCACTGCCACGGCAGGGCACCGGGGCCCCGGCCCCTGCACTCTCCTCTCACTCTCACTTTCTTCTCACTCTCACTTTACTCTCACTCTCACTCTCCTCCCACTCTCTTTCCCTTTCTTTTGTTATCGCAGGGACTAGTGCCGCCGCCACTATACGGCCACGGGCCGCCTAAGGGGGCCCTGCCCCCAGCACCACCCCTAGCCGAGTCTCAAGCCAGTCACCAAGAAAACGCACGCCTGTCGGCGGACGCAGAGCAGGAGATCTTCCCCCTGCCTTGAACCCACTACCCCATCTCAATCGGCGGAGGACGCGTAGCCTTCACGATGGCAAGCTGACGATTGACATATACCACAGTGGCAGCCGGCAAGCAAGCCAACAAGTCATCCTCAAAAGGCAAAACTTCCTCTCACTCCAGATTGCCTCAGCCAGCTCAAAGCCCCACTAGCAGATATCGATCTATGTCTCCTGAAAAGACCAATCCAGGTCTCCGCGACCGTTCGGTTAACCTCCCACGTGCTTCTTGGGATGATCCCTCCCATGGCCAGCCTCTGGCTCTTACTCAGCCAGAACGGCAAAAGCGGGACGAGCTTGCAAAGAAAACGGTACGCTAATTTACAACGTAGAAACAAAATAATACCGACTTCATTGCCCTTCAGTGCCTAGAACGTAATAACGCCAAATGCGTCCTGACCAGACGTGACCAACCCGGGCTTTAGTGTGCGCATATCGTGCCACACAAGCTCAACGGCTCTAGCGCGCTTGAACATTCCTGGGGGTGGCTCGAAAGCTTCTGGGGCAATTATCGGGTGACGAAATGGAAAGCTGAGCTACTTGACGGCCTGAACCACCGGGGTCTATTCAATACCGAACAGGTGAAGTACCTGATTACCCTTGGAAGCCAAGAGCATAACTATTGGGATAACTGCATATTCACTTTCCGTCCTATAAGGACCTACCAGCAGAACACTAAAATGGATATTGCGTTCCATCTGTTACCTCTTCGCGAAGATGAAAAGCGGACCGACTACATCCCCGCCCTCTCCCACCCGTATCCGAGTCACCCCCAAGGATACAACACATCGCCAGGCGGAAATAGATATCTGTTTCATTGCGAGACGTTTGGCGTGATTTCCTCTCGGTCCATTTTCACCATCACCACGGCAAACCCAATAACTCACCCACTGCCATCCGAAGAGCTCCTTACGATGCGATGGAATCTGACTCGGATCGCTATTATGCAAGGAGCTGGTGAAGACGAGGATAGTGAAATGGACTCCGACGGTGATTCCGTCGCCATTGAATCAGACTCAAGGTTCCCGGATTAAGGAGACTCGCATGTTCCCCGAGAGATTGGTTCCCACATCGCCAAGAGGATCCCCAGCAAGGGAACCCGTAGTCTCTGAGAACGTGCCTTTCATGGTCCCAATCAGGTCGCCATCACCTTCAAAGGCCCGGGATTTACCTGGCATGGATGAAGCCTCCAGTGAATACATTGAGGAGTAGCTTTCTTTCTCTGGGAAAAAAAAAAGAAAAAGAAAAGAAAAGAAAAGAAAAGGTCGACTCTTAAGCGGAGTGATTAGCAAGATGCATCTTACGTTAAAGCGGTCCACCAAGACCGGGGTCTTCTGGGACTGTTCTCGTTGTTCCAGAAGATCCAACAGCCACGAGCCTGGGCCTCTACGTGGTGCTGTTGACTAGTAGCCCTTCTAGCGAAGCCAACGCAAGCTCACTTGATTTCCTTATTTTCCCATGACCTAGATAAACAGTAAATTTTGAACAATGGTAATATTGAAGAATGAGAGGATAAAGCTAGTGGATTGGCTAATGTAAAAGAGCAAGAGGGATAGTCGGTCGACCAGACTCAGCTACCAGAAGCGACATAATCAAAATAAGAATAAGCGACATAATCAGAATAAGAAACCGGGACTAATGGCAAGACATCAGTTGGGGAGACTTAGGGATGCAGACTTCCCTGCCCTCAGCTTGATGGATTCTAGGACATCAGACATGCTGATGGCCAACCCAACATAACAGTCATAGCTGTGCATATCGATGAGCCCCCCAAAGAGTAAACCCGTAACGGCCCCATTAGTATCAACAACAAAAGCGCCCGCATCTCCTTCTTGAACAAAAGAACCTTGCTTCCGACCCGCCTCATCGGACACTCTGCTTGTGATAACGAAAGCGTCCGTGAGGTTCTTCGCGACGTCGATGGCATTGCCATCGTGGTCGTATCGTGTACCATCCTTGGCGGGCCATTTGCAGATGGCTTGAGCGCCAAGGCAAATCCCAGCTGTCACCTTGCTCGAACGACCTAACTTAGCGCAGTATTTCCCGTCCTTTAAGGAACCAAACTCCGTAAGGCTGTCGCCTTCGGAAGGGATGATCTCCCCTCGCCGTCCAGGTAGTACTCTGCGCGGCGCTAACTCGTCAGGAATCGCGAACATTTGATTAGGTCTGAAGTATCTTTCTTTGGCCTCCTCTGAGAGCTCAACAAAAGCCCAATCAACTAGTCGGTTGCCTAGAACTGAAGTTCCGGATGCAAGGACCACTTCACCTAGGATATAGGGCATCTGTTCAATGGTCTCGCGTTTAGCTAACACCTGTACATGTTGAGCCTGGAATTCTTCTAGCCTCCGTAGAAGGCTGGCTCGCGGTTGGATACCCATTGTCTGTTGTCCTTCAACTTGAGTGGTTATCTGCGAGATCGCGTCGCGTAGTGACTGCAGAGACTCGTCAATATCAGTGAGTGTGGCGTCACGGTCTATACGAGCGAGAGACTCCATCTGAATCTTCCGTGCCGGTGAGTTGGCGAAGGTTAGACCAGAGCGGTCGAGGTCTGCAAGGAAATCAGGGTCGCTCAGGGCTTCTGAGGGCCTCACGACATGATAGTTCGTCAAAAGGCCACGCCGAATCTTCCCATCACAGGTCAACGTAACGTACCCGCCTAGGGTGCCCGCATTCTTGTCTTGGTAAATCCCGACCGAGTGGCCCATTCCTGGAATGCTATTAGAGTCGAGTCGGTCCATGAACGAAACGCCTGAACGATTCAGCAATGTCAGGCTACCTGGCAGGAATTCGACTTCAACGGCCCCATCTCGCTGGTATGGCAAGACTAGAGAGATGATCTGAGAACGTAATTCGAACCAATTTGCGAATGCTAACGAATTTACGACAACAGCAATCACCGGCTGCATGTTAGCCTCTCGGCGGCCAATATTGAAGGGGCAGAGCATTTGCCACTGGGTTGGGATGATCCGTTCCAGGAGCTTGACAATGAGGTGCTTGGCGTGCTCATAGGCAATCACAAGTGGGTCATCTGAGGGGATGTAGTAAAGGGAAGGGCGGTGGCAGAGATCGACATTTACAATCTCTACTTGCACGTCAAAAAGCCCATGGCGACGAAGAACTTGCACAAGGTCATCTTTAGCAGGGCCAAGGCGGGGCGGGGTGGGATCGTTTTCCGTCAGCACAACGCGTAGCAGGTCAATGGGCTTATCGCCTCCAGGGTAGAGTGGCTTAGTAGCCTTGGCTGCCTGAACTGAAACCGTGGAAGGGAACCCGTGCAGCTGAAGCGTCCCTAAAATTTCATGGCTGAATGGTCGTATCCGTCTACCAAGATCAGGCGCAAACCCGAGCACGAATGGATAGGGTGGAGGATTCGGGATGCTGATAGTGCGGTATGGGTCGGTAGAGATAAGGTATTGCTCAATCATCATGTCGCCTTCTGAATCTTCGGATTCGCGAAGATGGCGGCGTCTCTTCCTGGAGGACAGAGGAGGAGTGGGAAGAGGGGGCGATGGAAGGGACAGTCCCGGATAAGCCATCTTGGAGTGAATTGGATGAAGACAACGATCAAAGGATCAAAGGGGATAAACAAGTGGCGTGGAGGGCCGGTCTTCAAGACTCCTTATACTTCGAGGCTAGGTATCAAATGAAGCTACTAGATCTTGACCGAGGGATGAAACGATGAAATTCACTGATAGAGAGGGAGTAGGTGGAGATGGGGTGGGTCAGGATTCCGTCTGCCAGATCTTTAGTGGATCTACTAGAGGCAACCACCCGAAACTTTATTCACGCTCTTCCACCGTTGGACCATGGCCCGGGCTATAGCAGTCGTGATTCGTTGTGCTTGCATGGATATCAACACCAAGTGATATTTCCACAATATCTACATGACCACCCATGGAGGCGAGATGGAGAGGCGTTCCCGCCCAGGGTATAATCGTGTATAGACCCGAAGGCTTGACATTGCTGTCATTCCACGTCTGGGTGGCACAATGTAGATTCGCGCCCTGAGCGATGAAATCTTGGACCACTTTTTTGTGGCCGTGATAGCATGCAATATGCAGTGCTCGCCAACCATAGGGGTCACTAGCCTCGATGTCCATTTTTTGACCCAGCAGAAATGATAAAAGCTCCGTACTTCCGGATTTTGCTGCTTGATAGATCATAGGATAGTCATGGTCGTCTAGATATCGTTCGAAGATGGAATCGGGGGCAATTTTTAGTATAGTCGAAGTGACATCCGGGCCTTGATTCGAGCATAGAAGAGCAAGGTCAGAGCTCAATGGCAGGCCTTTTCTCATTGTCAAGGATGTCTGTTCTGGCTCCGTGCGATATCAAGGTTGAAACCAGGTTGTCCTTGTGTTGCTCTACAGCAAGATGCAGAAGTGTACGGCCTTTGTAGTTGGTTCTGTTCAGGGCATCTGCTTTCTTCAGGCTGTGGCACACACGGACGACAGCATCTACTTCCTCGGGCATGTCTCTCAGGAATATTGACCAGTGGGACTCGCGTGGATCAGACAAAGCTCGGTCTAAGAGACATTCCAGGTCCTCCAGCTCTCCGAACAATGCAGCAGTCAAAATCGGGTCAAATGTCTCTGTCGAGGGAGCGGACACGTCTGCGCCGAATAACAGAAGGTCTTCGAGTATGTTTCGTGAACCACCAATTCTTGCTGCAAGATTTAATGGAGTGGTGATTCTTAGGCCATCCTTGACATATGTGTTCTCATCATCGCTCTCCGGGTCATCATCCTCGCTCTCTGTATCATCTTCGTCGCTCTCTGGAAGCTCATGTTGGGGTTGGGAGATTTCCTCGGTCTCACAAAAATTCACATCCACTCCGGCATGTACTATCGTGATTAATATGCATTTGAACTTTGTGTATAGGTCGCTGGATCCATTGTTCTTTTTCCTCTGCTCCGTGTACGCTCGGATCAGAGTCATCAGCGAGAATGGCGGTGGTTGCACCCCTTTTTGCATCAAAATATCCACAATGTTAACTTCGTGGTCCTTGATGGCGTTATCCAATACGGCCTGCAAGTCAATGTTGGTTGGGAAGGTAGCTCCAAAGCGCATGAGGACATCAACGACTTTCCATCTGTTACTAAGTAGAGCAATGGCAAGCGGGGTCCGTGAATCATCTTCTTCGTCACTCCACGAGACTCTATTATTCTTTCGCATAGCCTTGGTAATAGCCAACGAACGAACAGCGGTACCATGGTCTTCACTTAAAGGTAGAGATCTGGACACAGGCCTGTTGAGAAGGCTCGGGGACAGCTCCGTGGTGTCTTTCTGACAAAGTAAGAAGACTGCCTGCTCGAGGTCTTTTAGATTGATATTATCGTCACATCGGGCGAGGTAATGCAGTGGCGTTCGTCCCGCGTGGTCCAAGGCTTCCACGGAGGCTCCTGATTGGACTAGAAGCTTGATGAGCGACACATGAGGTTGCAAGACCGCGTAGTGAAGTACTGTCATTCCAAGGGAATCCGTCAACGTCGGATCTGCGCCTTTGGACAGTAGGAATCGCACAATATCGAAGCTCTTCTCTTCTGGTAGCTGGCTTTGATGCTGCATATGTCGCTGGCGAGCTCTGTCGTTGCGACCAAGCAAAAACGCACAGGCTTGCATCAGTGTGGATGCACCTTTTCTGGTCAGCCAGAAGGTGAAGCCTTCAGTAGTAAGACGAGCCATAGGATCTGACTCGTAGTATTCCATGGTCTGTTGCTGGTTCACGTCCGCCCCGCCATTGACTAGGGCAGTAATTGTATCCAAGAACCCATTCATGACGGCTTCATGTAGAGCTGTACGCCCGGCCCGCGTTATGCAGTTGACATCCGCACCGTGTTTCATCAGACATTTCACGTAACGTGGATCACTGCGGAAGGTGGCGGCATGGAGTGCACAGTCAAAGTTGACGTCGGCACCCGCTTTGATGAGCATCTGCATCACTGACCATTGGCTATCGCGGATAGCACACAGCAACAACACAGACTTCCAATTTGATTCATTCATCCTGTAGCTGTTGAGATCCTTTCTGCCGTGTCCCCGGGGTTTGGGGATTCGACACTCAAGTCCGTAGTGCTTCTCCTCTTTTCCTAGGGCCCTCCACAAATTGGTCGAATACGATGACTGAATCGTATCAAATCTTCCCTGTTCCCAAATTGTGTTAAACTTGGCAACACCTGAACTTTTTCCTCCAATTTCTAGGTGGTTCGCAAGCTCACAGAAAATCTCCACCTCACTAGATGTTCCGCAATTTTGTCCCTCCGCGGCCAAAATAATCGGAGAGAGCCCATCAGTATATGACTTGACCTGCTCCTTGGGAATTTTATACAACTCAGGGTCGGGTTGTCCAGACTTTGAATGGTGCTCCAGGAGCCTGCGAACGATCTGTGAATGCCCTGCAACAACAGCCCAATGAAGTGCAGTCCATCCGGATTTGTCCCAAGATCGATAATCTTCGCCATTCTCGAGCAGCATACTGACCTGGGCGAGGTCTCCATGGAAAGCCGCCCGAGATAAGACAGTCTCCGGCTCATGGTTTGTGATGTGCGCCATAATGATTCCGATCAGGCAAGTGTTGACATGACACTCAAGGCTCCCACCCCTGCTTTGCCCCTCCTAAGGAGACCGGATAAATTCGACGCTAGTCATCGACTTTTCTTTCGGAGGAAGACCGGGCGCATGTTTTCAACTGGGTTCTTTAAATTGTCTTGGGTTGTTTGAGCCATCCTCTTAGACATTTAAATGACGGTATTGCCATACGCTCGATATAGGTAGGCTGGTGGATCGAGTCGCTTGTACTTCAATTTTTATATTCGACGACACATACACACCTATTAATCGATGGATTGACTCTTTGAAAATCATTATAAACCCCACTCCGTATATATAAAAGTTCCACTATCACATCCACCGTTTGGTCGAGCCCAAGCCTGTTTTGCTTCATGTCCGACCTCGGAGATCAGATCAGATTGATAAGGCGATGTGAAAAAGCCTTGGCCAAAAAGGATCCAAATCAAGTCCCAAAATTCAAATCTTTTTGAAGCCCAATAATATTAAAAGTTGTTAAATAAAAACAAGTTCAATTCCCTCCAGTCCCTCCAAATTTCTCCAAATCCCAACATCTTCCCCCCCCAAAGGCTTATCTCCGCCCGCCGCCACCCGAATCCCGAAAAACTTCCTTTCCCGGTGACGCATCCTTTTCTCGCAACTCAACGGGGAACTTTTGGTCAGGTTGAATTGAATGCCGCAGGTGGAATTTACTTCAGGCCACGGTACTGGCAACCAGTTTGGCACAGATTCAACCCCCTCTATAGGGACGTCATGGACGGCACAGTTTGAAGATTCTACAATGGCCACTACATCAGCCTCTCCTCCAGCTCCTAAGACCCCTGCTCCAGCCGATAATATCACTCCTGGTCAGCGCATGATATCTGCGACCGCCGGTAATGTTTTGACCGGGCTTCTAGGTGAATCAGAAGAACTCCCGATCCTTTTGAAACCAACAACTAACAGTTCCAGTGACACCCTTGGATGTCGTACGAGTTCGTTTACAGTCACAATCACAAGTCCACAACACTTCACCCTTCACCTCTCACACCACCCAAACCTTGAAAAACCTCCCTCCGAACCTCGGTATCACCTCTTGCTGTCGCGAAGTATTCTGGGTCGGCAACGATGCCCAGATGTGCATGCTAGGTCCACAGGCGACCGCGGTCGGAACCCATCCACACCCGGCGATCGATTGCGCCGTTGAAGAGACGCAGCGGCGAACATTCACATCAACGCTAGACGGGCTACGGAAGATTGCGCGCAATGAAGGAACTTTAACACTGTGGCGAGGGTTAAGCCCAACCCTGATGATGGGAATCCCGGCAAATGTCATTTACTTTGCTGGTTATGACTGGCTACGCGCGGATGATCGAAGCCCTATTAAGCAGCGGGTATCTGAGGGATATGCGCCCTTAGTAGCCGGTTCCTTAGCTCGCGTCGCAGCCGCAGCAGCAACCAGTCCACTGGAGATGTTTCGGACGCGTCTCCAGGCAACTCCAGGCACGGGTGCGGGCCACTTCAAAACTACCGTGGAGGATTTGTACCATATGACACAGGCAAAGGGATATAGCTCGCTCTGGCGAGGGTTCACTCTTACCATGTGGCGCGATGTTCCTTTCTCCGGACTCTATTGGTGGGGATACGAGGAGGTGAAAAAGGCTCTGATCGCGGCGCGCCAGAAGGCCCCTCATCTCGCTAGTTCTGACCATGAGCCTGAAGAATCATCTCTTCAAGCTTTCCTTGATAGTTTCATCTCCGGTGGTGTTTCAGGATCCTTAGCAGCACTTGTTACTACCCCGTTCGATGTTGGTAAAACGCGACAACAAGTTTTCCGACATCTGGACGATATTCCGTCCTCTGTCGCTCCCCGCACTGCATTACCCCCCGGCGGCTTGGCGGCAGAGCAACTCTCCTTACCAAAATTCCTCATGCACATCTTCCGTGAAGAAGGTACCGCCGGCCTATTCCGTGGTTGGACGGCACGATGTCTTAAAGTTGCCCCGGCCTGCGCCATCATGATCTCAACTTATGAGCTTGGAAAGCGCATGGCCCGAGAGGTAAATGAACGGCGTCACGATGCATAATCTCTGTACAATCATAATGGTGTATAATGCATATTTGTGCCTCTCTCCACTTTTTTTCCGGCGTTTTTGAGAGATAGAGTACATTAGCATGTATATAAATTAATGAAAATCTCCTACAAAAGACTTGACTCAGCCCTGCACCCGGGCAAACTAGTCGGGGCGTGATCATCCGGACCCCAACATGAGGCTGAAGCCCCCCTTTCTTTTAACTCGTCTCTTTTCATCCCCGCGTTCTTCTTGTATAAATCTTCAAATGTTCTACTTCAACGGACAATATGACTTCACGGCCACCTGTAACTGGCCAGAGGCGCCCATGGTTTGAGCCTATTGCTGTTGCGAAAGATACTAATGTCGAGTATGTCCCTTCTATCATATATGTATTCATATAATAACTTATTCCTCAGTATTGTCGCCGTCCCGCCTATCGGTGCCCATCATAGAAAGACCTGGATAGCGCATGGCGAGAAATCGTCCTGGCTTGAACTTGAACTACTACAGCATATACCTCGAGCACGAGTCCTACTGTATAACTATGGAGACTTGCGTGACGATAAAATCGACACCTTGGGTGAACGACTATTGAACCAACTACGCACTGAGCGGAAAAATGAGGTCCGCTATGCTTTTCTTTGTTTTATACAGCCTACAATAATTTACTAACATTTCACCAGCCAACACGACGTCCTATCTTCCTCATCTGTCATAGCACTGGAGGTCTTGTTGTTAAAGCAGCTCTAGCTCTAGCATCACGGGAGCCGAGTCAATCCATATTAACCAGCTGTCATGGCATAGCCTTCTTTGCAACTCCCCATCAAGGCTCGACCTATCTCTCCGCCGATGAGTATACGGCTAGTATTCGCCATCTCTTGCATCTCCAACATGACACACCGGCAGCGCTCAGGAAGCAGTTGCGTCCCCGCGAAGAGCGGTTGTGGCATCTATCGAACCAGTTCAAGACTCTTTCAGCTGATATGAGGGTCTGGTCTTTTCTCGAAACTGTAGATTCAACTATGCGTGTGATCGATGCTGAGACCAATAAGACGTTAGAGTTCCATGTTCCCATTACTTCGATTCGGTCGGGTTTGTTGGATATTGAGAATGAAAAAGAACTGCCCATGGCAACAGACCATACGGGGACGGCAACTTTCCACGGGCAAGATTCAACAAGAGATCGGTTTCTCAATGAGCTTGGTGATGCCGTTGAAACCGCTGTCGAAATCTCAAAGCGTGAGGATACGCCGCTGGGCGTAGAACAGCAAGTCATGGTTCAGATTAACGGCTTCTTTGAGGATACTGCGCTTGGGGTCAGTGACGAAAGTCCGCTCAAACTGTGGTCAACCAAGGTATCTTTGGAAGACTACCTCTCTCGGGGTCCGTCGGCTTGTCTTCGTGAGAGACTAGGTCGAGTTCAGCCCAGTGGTCTGGACGACTCATCAATCAGCAGTTATGATAGTCCTCGCTCATCTTACATTGCTCCTGCTTCCGATCCACATCATCACCATGACCATGATGACGAAAGGCCGAAGCCCCTGCGACCTCCTCTTCCCTACAGGCGAAGCTTTGATGATCCATCCGGTCCATCGATCCACGTCACCGAGGCAGACAAAGACTACCCCAATGAGGTACCAAGTGAAAGTTCACCCCCGTCACAGGAGCCCAAACGAAAGAGCTCCCTCACCAAGGCTCTGGGGTTCTTTCCGTTGACCCGATCTCACCGTCGAAGTACGTCCGATAGCAGCTCCCAGGGAAGCATTGAACGGCCGCCTTCGTAAGAAAATCATACTCTAATCCCTAGAAAGCACCCTGAACTAACGGATAACAGGAGCGCTTCTGCATCCCAACCTGTGCAGTCGCCTTTCCTAGCAATACCAAAATCTACTCGAGATCGCATCAGCCAGAATGCCGACGTAGCGGATATACCTCGAGCAGTTCCACGTTTCGATCGACCTGAGGCCGATACTGAGAAATTGATGTGGATCCATGTTCCATATACGCATACTGGTTGGGTATCCCAAGTCATCCGCCGAGCATGCCAGGATAGTCAAGAGCCTAATTTGTAGGTCATATTACCTCCCAAGATCTCCACGATGCTGACTACCTTCTGTAGTGTTCGAAAATTCATCAATGACGAAAACTGGTACCACCGGCTTAATAGGGCCCGTCATCTTGAGCCTCACGCACGTTTCGTCAAGCCCGCATGTATTCATTCAAGACAAATGGACGTCTCACTAAGCCCTTCTTCGAATGCTACTGAGGACCCTCAACTCGCTCTATATGTATGTTTCAAATCCTCCATAACAATATCAACGCTAACATATAATTGTCTCAGTCTCCATACGTTAGTACTTCTAATCAACCAAGTATCCCCCTTTTACACTGTGCTAATCCGCCCCAGCTTCACTGGGATACATACCGCAACCTAATCCAACGGCGCAAAGTAGTCGAAGACCGACTAAGCCAAGGCCGATCAAGGCCCGTCCCAGGCCGAATCTCAAAAGCAAGCCTGGAAGCCCAACTCATCTGGACCTACCTCGGCTGCGAGCCTCCGGTACACTTCCGCCGCACATTAGATCAATACGGGTATCCCAATTTGCGCTCGACCATCGCCCGTGATGACGATCAGATGCTTTGGAAACGCACTCGCAGACCGGCGCGCATTGACGAGCAACTAAAAGAGTATCTACGGTCTGCACAGGACGATCCCGAAAACGACGAAATGAGCGAGTTCATGGATGGAAATGTCCTGATGGTTGATCAACTCTGGCTTTGGATTGTTGATCAGAAGACTGTTGTTACTTTCTTTCCAAATCAGGAGGCTAATACATCCGAGGGAAAGCTGTTCGAACAGTCTAACCTACATAGCAGCATTTATAATGAGTTGAATGGGGATCTCTCGCGTCGCTTCGAGACGGCCGGTGACTTGGCTGCTCTCATTATGCTGCATTCTGTCACTGTTCTCCTCGACAAAACCCTCCATCATGATTTGCAGGTATTGCGCATCTTCGAGGAATCAATTAGCATCTTAGTAAGGCTCGTCCCTTCGGTTCCTTAGGTATATTATATTAACAAAATCAGACCGAATCCGTCACCAAGTCTTTCAAACGCTTCCGAAATAGAGGCTTCACCAATCGCCCAGCGGACCATGACCGCACCTCAGACGGAAAAATCATGACAATCGCACAGCAGGAATACAAAGAATTCCAGGTTGCACGACGAAACCGAGAAGATCTCTCTGTTTTACTTGAGCTACGCGACATCGAGGACGAGTTATCCACCATTCTAAAGCTGCTTGATCAACAAGACGGCGTTATCAAAAGTATGATCAAATACTTCGACAACAGGGGTGGATACGGAAAGTCATTCCTCGACACAGCCCAGGATCGGATCGATGAATATCGTTCGCAAATCAGCGAGATGAAAGAAAGCAGCCATTTAGCACAGAAAGCAGTTAGTGTCCACATTTATCACTTACTATTTACTATTTCCATCTAACAAATGCCAGGTTGAAACACTCCTCGACCTCAAACAGAAACAAGCAAATGTCGACGAAGCCAAAATGACCCGCTGGCAAGCCGAGGTTGCTCAAACGCAATCGCGCGCAGTAATGGTCTTTACCATATTCAGTGTTGTGTAAGTCTCCATACCCGCAATAAACGTAACAATACAAAATTCTAACAATCCAAGCTTTCTTCCTTTGTCTTTCTTCACCTCCCTCTTCGGAATAAACGCCCGAGAATGGAGCGGCGAACAGACAAACCCGACCCTAGGCGAAATGTTCGAGATAGCTGGTCTGTTTCTCCCAATATCAGTACCTATAACTGCTATACCTGCTAACCTTCCCCAGCACCTGCATCATTTGCAATCATCTTCCTATCCCTTTTCATAGCCTTCAGCGAAACGCTACGCGATATCGTATTCAAAACGCACAAGATCGGCGTCGGTCTACTAAAAGATTTTATTCTGCATCCTATCCAATCCGTGCTAGGTTCCACTACGGGTAAAATTCCTGTTCATGTCGTGCCTGAGGACTCTGGGTTGAGAAAACGATTTGATGAGTACTTAGGTTATGGGAGGAGGAATATGCAGCGGGATGAGGATATCTGGCAGCGGTGGCAGGGTGGCAGGATTGAGGGGAAGGAGGTTAAGAAGGGGAAGTATAAGGTGAAGCCTGGAATTGATCGGAGTCGTGGTGAGGTTTAGTTTGTATTCTCTTGCTTTTGGTGTGGGTTTGCATCTTCGGCGGCTGTTTGATACCCTCTACATCTTGTGTTTTTATTTCTTGGATTTTCTATTTGGGAGTGCGTATATAGTACAATAGCTTAATATTCTTGTTGAACATCAATGCAAGAGTTTGGATGTTGTTAACTTAACAAGGCCCCAGAGAGGATAAAGTCCTCATATATATATTTCAAGTTACAACGAAGAAAGCGAATGATCTTTTGAAAATAATCTCATGTAAAGCTTTGAACGCAGATATATGTTTGTATACTTAAGAATATAAAGAAAACAACAGACATACATTCACCGTAAACACCGTTAGACATGATGTAAAGTTATTTCATCTCGCTTGACAAGCAGCCGAACACCATGAACAAGAACATAGAATTTGATGGTTGGAAGAAAATTGTTAATAGACTGTTCGACAGGGGTATTTCAAAAACATAGAACTTCAAAAGGTCTGCGCTTCTATCGCACATGTTGAGGTTGGTTCATCAACAACCTATGTATCTAGGTATAGATGTATGCAGATTGCGAAAACCAGGGGGCGGTATTTCCTGGGGTTGGTCCTCTTGGCGTGTATCTTATTGGGAGGAAATAGAACTGGATAGCCATATAATGCTTATACGCAGTAAACAGATTTTGTGACAATCTAGAGCGGAGTGAGTCAATGGTGGGATGACTGAAGATGAACGTGTTTCTCATCACAGTCAGAAACCGAAGTTGTCATCATCCTTCGATAGCAGGAAGCGAGGAGGCAAGATTCATAGCGGAGCATTTCAAGATAGTCTGCATCATACGACTAGAGTCCAACGGCTTAGACAAGTAATCGTCCATGCCGGCTTGAATGCACTTATCTCGATCCCCGAGCATAGCATGCGCAGTGAGAGCAATGATCGGCGTACGAGGATGCCCATTCATCTTCTCGTATTGTCTGATATTCCCTGTAGCCTCGAAGCCACCCATAACAGGCATCTGGACGTCCATGAGGACAACATCGTAGCGGTGGTGTTTGACCTCTTTCACGGCTTGCAGGCCGTTTTCTACAACAGTGACGTTGTGATTGAACTTTTCGAGGATTCGGACAGCGACCTTTTGATTCACATCATTGTCCTCTGCGAGAAGAATTGATAGTGAGCGGGTATACCCTGAGGGGGTGTGAGTTGCGCGGTTGCCGAGGGCGGGGAGAATGCCGTTCCAGAGATCAATGGGTCGACAGGGGACTGTGATGTAGGATGCTATACCGAGTTCACCGGCAGCTCTGAGCGCTAGGGATACAGTGTGTGCTGTAATGACTAATGGAATTGGCTGTAGGTCTGTGCAAGCTCGCAGTTTTGCGGCGATCTCTAGGTTTTCGATGAGGATTGCGTCGAAGGAGCAGCCCCAGTCACTCTTGAACTGACCACATTCTAGCTGGTCTTCTGTCACAATGACAGGCTCTAATCCGAGCTCCATGAGCACAGTGGCTATTGGGAAGGTGCGTCCAAGGCCGTGGTCAAAGAAAAGAACGCGCCTGCCGCGGTGGGGGATAAGTTGTTCTGCAAAGCTTGGCGGCGGCTGAGCTAGCTTGACCCGACATGTAAATGAGAATGTGCTGCCTTCTCCCATGTTCGAGGTCACCCAAATATCACCTCCCATGAGAGAAACGAGCCGTTTCGAGATAGCGAGGCCTAAGCCTGTCCCGCCGAAGCGACGAGTCATCGATCCGTCGGCTTGCTGGAACTTGTCGAAGATCAAGCCAAGTTTGCTTTCGTCAATGCCGATTCCAGGGTCTGAGACTGAGAACTGGAATACTGTTTCATCTGAAGCGCACTTGTCGTCCTCTGCACGTTTTACTGTGACTCGAATCTCGCCGTGGTCTGTGAACTTTATGGCATTGCCAACTAGATTCAGCATAACCTGCCGTAGTCGATATGCATCTCCGACCAGATAATCCGGCACTTCTCCGTCTACTGTATAGACAAGACCCAATGCCTTTTCGTTTGTTTCCACAGAGAGGGCTTTCAGCACACTGAACACGGTTGCACCAAGACTGAACGGGGTCTTCTCGATTATCATATGGTTAGCCTCGATCTTAGAGATGTCAAGGATGTCGTCGATGATAGTCAACAGACTAATGGCAAGGTTGTGAACCATATTCAGAGTCTCTCTTACGGGAGCTTGCAGATCGTCAGTGTCGAGTGCTAGGCTAGAGAGCCCAATTATGCCATTCATGGGGGTTCTGATTTCATGGCTATATTTGGGTTAGGAAAAAGCAAAACTAAACCACGTAATCGTGTGAGACGAGTAGGCTCAACGTACCTCATGTTAGCCAAAAATTCAGACTTACTCCGATTCGCCAGCTCTGCCGCTTCACGAGCAGCCGTGTTACGCTGAATGCTGTCGCGCAGACTCGAGATCATTTTATTGATCTTCTGTTTCAAATCATCCATCTCTCCAGAGGCAGACACGGTAATCAATTTTGTGAAATCTCCACTCATCGCCGCCTCGGTGATCTCACCAAAGGCACGAACCTGAGAGGTCAGGTTGTCCGCCATCGTGTTGACATCTTCACTGATCGATCTCCAAATTCCATGGGATCCCGCGACATTGGCCTGGCCGCCAAGTTTACCCCGGACACCCACGTCCCTCGCCACGCCTTTCAGTTCCCCAGCAAATTCACCCAACCCGTCCATCATACTGTTGATTGTTTCTTTGAGAGTCAAGATCTCACCCTGGGCGTGGACCTCAATTTTGGTACTAAGATCACCGCGCGCGATAGCCTGGGTCACGTTGGAGATTTGTCGTACTTGCAAGGTTAGGTTTTGGGCCATGGTATTGACGTTATCCGTCAAATCGCGCCAGCGACCTTCGACATTTTCGACTTGCGCTTGTCCACCCAGCGTGCCGTCTGTTCCAACTTCCCGCGCGACTCGACTGACCTCGAACGCGAACTGATTCAGCCGATCAACCATTGCATTAATCGTAAGCTTGAGATCCAAAATCTCGCCCTTCACGTCCGCGGTCACCTTCTTTGTAAGATCACCACGTGCAACTGCGGTCGTTACATCGGCGATTTCGCGGACCTGCTGCGTGAGATTGGATGCCATACGGTTGACGTTATCCGTAAGATTCTTCCAAGTACCCTCAACACCGTGTACAACCGCCTGACCGCCAAGTACACCGTCGGATCCGACCTCGCGGGCAACACGGCTAACCTCGAATGCAAATTCACGCAGCTGATCGACCATTGAGTTGATGATATTCTTCAACAGTAAGATCTCACCCTTACAATCTGCCTGCACCTTGCGCTGCAAATCACCCTTCGCAACAGCAGTCGTTACGGTAGTGATATCACGAACCTGCGTGGTCAGATTGTTGGCCATAGCATTCACATTGACAGTCAATTCATGCCAAATTCCCTGAATGCCCTCAATCTTGGCCTGGCCACCCAACACACCCTCCGTGCCGACTTCTCTAGCCACCTTCGACACCTCTTGACTGAAAACCTGCAGCTGATCCATCATAGTATTGATAGTCTGCTTGAAGGTGGCAATGTCAGGTGACATCTCGAGGGGGTGCATACGGGCCCTCTGTGAAAGGTCACCATGGGCGACCTGGGTGATGATTTCGCCGATCTCCCGCAATTCCTTCTGGAAGGCCTCATTGATATGAGTATGCTTTCGGAGTTCCTTCCGAAGGTTTGAGCGTTCATGTTCGATCTCCGCGATGGAAGAATGACATTCGCGGCGGTAAATTAGTTCGTCAACAATGAGGGAGATGAATTCGCGGGGAACTGATAGTTCTGGACTCTGCTGATGCTGGAGAGCTGCCCGTGCTTGCATGAGATCTGCATCGCTTACAAGGGCTGGCCGTGCGGTGTCCACCATGGCAGCCATTGTAGCAATCAGTATTTTTCAAGTCTATCAGCCAGGGCGTGCAATGCTAAAAGAAAGTTAGGGAACAGATCGGGGTCTCGGATAGGGGTGACATAACCGTATGATGACAGGCGGTGCCAACACGGTGTGTACGTCGCAAGCGCTGTATGCATTCCCGATAGCCAAACCCCACGATAACTTTCAGTAATCCTAGAAATGCAGGACCGGAATGCCGGAGTCTGACAGGAAAAAGCGGAGAAAATAAGCGGAGAAGAGAAGAAAGAGAGAAGAAGAAAACAGCCCCGCTTATATCGGCTTTAAAATTAACGAGAATACTTATCCCTGTTTCTTATTGTCTAGATCCTAGGGTGGCATGCATTGTAAACTGTAGAAATAGCCGAGCCGAGTAACCAATCAGTTGAATTGTAAATTTATACGGAAATGTGGAATGTAAGGGTTGTACTCCCCAGTACTTTTAGTATCTCTACTGTACATATTGTACTCCATAGGGAGATCTATATGTACATGTATGTAAGAAAATAGATCGACTCCCGCGTACTCCGTTCGAACTTTATAAGGAGGGGACATCTGTCGATCCCCCGACCTCGGGGAGACTTCGGGAACTAAACCCGAAAACATATACTGTATCAGATAGAACTTCATTGGAATACATGATATAGTACATTGGGGCCCTTTTTTTTGGCAAGACCAAGGGAGAGAGAGAGAGGGGAGAGAGAGATCAGAGTCCGAAAAGAATACAGGTATGGAAAGGAACATAAAAAGAAAACAAACACCAAATAGAGACACAAAGAAAAGACATTACACAAATATCCGAGTATCAGAACAGGCTACGATGCAAAGAGGAGCGCTCGAGGTAATTCTTCAGGGGAATAGGATCAAGGGCTTAGAACATGCCGCCGCCCATGCCACCCATACCGCCCATACCACCCATGCCACCGGCGGGAGGGGCAGGGCCCTTCTCCTCAGGAGCATCGACAATGGCGACCTCGGTAGTACCGAGGAGGGAGGCGACACCGCTGGCGTCGACCAGAGCGGTGCGGACAACCTTCAGGGGGTCGACGATACCGGAAGCAATCATGTCAACGTACTGGCTGGAGGCGCTGTCGTATCCGCGGTTGAAGTCCTTGGCGTACTCGTCGGTCAGCTTGCCGACAATGACGGAGCCCTCGAGTCCGGCGTTCTCAACAATGGTGCGAGCAGGGCGGCAGATAGCGCTCTTGATGATGCTGACACCGAGCTGCTGATCGAAGTTGGCGGGCTTGACATTGCCAAGGCCGTTAGCAGAGGCCTTGAGCAGAGCGGTACCACCACCGGGGAGGATACCCTCCTCAACGGCAGCGCGGGTGGCGTTGAGGGCATCCACAACACGGTCCTTCTTCTCACCGACCTCAACCTCGGAGGCACCACCGACCTTGATGACGGCAACACCACCGGAGAGTTTGGCGAGACGCTCCTGCAGCTTCTCCTTCTCGTACTCGGAGGTAGTGGGGTCAGCCATGACACCGCGGATCTGCTCGCAGCGCTGGGAGATGTTGTCCTTGCTACCCTCACCGTTGAGGATGATGGTGTCCTCCTTGGTGATGGTGATAGCACCGGTGGAGCCGAGCATCTCGGGAGTGAGCTTCTCGAGCTTGATGTCGAGCTCATCGGTGAAGACGGTACCGTTGGTGAGGACAGCGAGATCACCAAGGATGCTCTTGCGGTTGTCACCGAAGCCGGGGGCCTTGACGGCGGCGACCTGGAGCTGACCGCGGAGCTTGTTCAGGATGCAGACGGCGAGAGCCTCACCCTCAATGTCCTCGGCGATGATGACCAGAGGGCGGCGGAGGGTGGTGGAGGCCTCAAGGGCGGGGAGAATGTCTTGGACGGCGGAGATCTTCTTCTCGGAGAGCAGGATCAGGGGCTTCTCGAACTCGACCTTCTGGGACTTGGGGTCGGTGATGAAGTAAGGAGAGGTGTAGCCACGGTCGAAGCGCATACCCTCGGTAACCTCGAGCTCATCCTCCAGAGTCTTACCCTCCTTCACGGTGATAACACCCTCCTTGCCAACTCGCTCCATCGCGGTGGAGATGAGCTTGCCGACGTGGGTGTCACCGTTGGCGGAGATGGTGGCCACCTGGGCAATCTCCTCGCCGGTGGTGATAGGGCGGGCGTTGGCCTGGAGGTACTCAACAACGGCCTCAACGGCGGACTGGATACCGCGACGCAGATCCATGGGGTTGCAACCAGCGGCAACGTTCTTGACGGTCTCGGAGAAGATGGCGCGGGAGAGGACGGTAGCGGTAGTGGTACCGTCACCAGCAACCTCGTTGGTCTTGGAGGCAACATCCTGGATGAGACGGGCACCGAGGTTCTCGAACTTGTCCTGAAGAGTGATGGCCCTGGCGACAGATACACCGTCTGGGGAAGGATTAGTCTTCTGCGGGTGGCCTGTCCGTCTTGATGGAAATCTTACCCTTAGTGATCTTGGGGGAGCCGTAAGGGGAGTCAATTAGGACATTGCGACCCTTGGGGCCGAGTGTGGAAGTGACAGCCCGAGCAAGAGTGTCAACACCCTTGAGGAGGCTGGCACGAGCATCAACGCCGAACTTGATCTCCTAGTTGTTGTTAGCAAGGGGAACAACCAAACGCCTCGGAATCGACGGAACAAGGGGCCAATGAGGAATTAAGGCAATGCTGCAGGTAATTGCCAATCCAACGCACCTTGTGAGCAAAACGCTGCTGCTGGAGGTTCAAAGTTGAACGACCGAAAGGGGCACGCTTGGAAGCGGCCGACAGGGCGGAGGTCCGGGTAGAGAGAGCGCGCTGCATGGCTAGGAATAACGAGATTAAAAGAATTAAAAGAAGGGAGAAATATAACCCAGGAGAAATCACGGGTTCAGAGGAGGAAAGAAAAGAGATGGAGAAAGCTGGGGGAGAGATGAAGCCAAAGTCTCGAAAATTTTCCAGGCGTTTCCTTCATCCCCAGAGCTTGGCGGCAGAAACAGCTAGAACCATCACGTGATTCGGAAGAACGGACCTAAATCGGGTGTTGAAGATTGTATATCAACATAGTACAGATATAGTATTATAGCTTAGTATTATGTATATTAGGAATTGAAATATATAGGCTGGATTCTTTGATTCCAATTAAAAGATTCAAAGCAAGATATTTCTTATACAAGATTGTATAAATTCAACCCTTGTTTAGACCTCGGGAAGCTATGTACGCCGTTTTCCGGCTTTCGGCAACTTGGAATTCCCCGTATATTATAGCATTGTGTAGCGCGACTTCACATTCTATATTATCTCTCTCTTTATTTGTCTCTATTTTAATGTTTTGTCTGCTATATTCCCAATCAGTCATAGATCCAAATTCACAGCCCAACATCAATAATTTGATGCTCAAATTGAAGATGGTCTCTAAATATATCCTCATACTCATATTACAATATCTACAAAAGCCCCCCAAAACTCTTACAATCAAATATGAAGGAAGGAATATTGCCATAATTTTCATATCACCTTACTCTGATCTCCCTATTACATTACAATGGATTAGTGAGATCTTGATAATAATCTACAAGGCACTTTGAAAGATGCAATATGCTCTTATTTGGGTATCTTGAACCGGGCCCCCCGTAGGGGGCCAACGAGCAACGCAAAGAATCGCTGGGGGCAACTTCGGATAAAGCGTGACTCCATGCCACGCAAGAATAATTATCCGAAGTTGCACCCCGTTGATCGAGATCGAGGCTCACCCCTCTCCTTCGATCAACAGGCGAGAAAAAGAAAAAAGCAACGCAAAGAAAAGAAAAGAAAACGCAAAAGCGAACGCAAACGAACGCAAAAAGAAATCAAGAAAAAAGAAAAGAAAAGAAAAAAGAAAACGCAGATAATCAAAAAAGCACTGAAGAAGCGTCAAATGCACCAGGAACCATGACGAACGACCAGGAAACTAAAACTCCTTGCCGTCTTCACAATCATATCCCAAGTAACGGGATGGGTCCACGTCAGCAAGGTTGACAAACATTTCATCCTCGGGGATGAACTGGTTCTCAAAACCGCTGCTCTCGCTGTATAGGATACCTTGACCGCCATACTGATCCGGAAATGGCATTTCGGTGGGAAAGTCAAACGGCGAATATGTTACACCTGGCACGGCGTCAGAAGTTCCAATAGCAGCCCGGTTGGCAATGTCGAATGGGCTAGGGCCATTGGATGGGAAAGCGACACCAGGCCTAGTGTTTGTGAATGGGCAAGGTGGCAAAGGTGATAGTCGTGTAAGGGGATCGGAATTCATGAGAGGATAATAGGATGGATGGCGGGGTGCCATGTTGGTGATAGCACGCGATGGGTTGGTTGGAGTAACGGGCTCTTGGAAAGTCGCAGAGTTGCCAAGGTGGTGGTCAAGACTTGCCAGTCGCTGACTGCTCACTTTCAATGTCACAATCTTTGATTTCTTAGCCCCTTGAGTAGTTGCCTCGCTGCTTTCAGTTGATGACCCCTCAGAAGTATCCGATTCTTCATCAATGGCACGCTCATTCCCCTTCTCGAAGTCACTAATCCATTCCGTTCCAACACAAGTCAGCTTCTGGGAGCCAAGGCTGTCGGTATCCTGACGCTTTGTGCGCAGTTTGGGAGCAACGAACACAGTGTCCTTCTTTTTGTCCTTTGCAAACTGCTTCTTCTTCAGGGTGTACACGCTGGCTTCAGATTCAGTATCGGAAACATCACGGCGACGGCGCTTGCTGGTGCGAGGCTTCGGCGCACCCTCCTTCGGGGAAGCACCCTTCTTGGAACCATTTCCTGCACGCTTCAGTGGAGGGGGGACTAACTTGGCCTGCTCCTCCCGCTTGACCCGAAGTTTGGACAAATGTTGGACAATGGCGCCCTCTGTGAACTTTTCTCCCATGACTGTCGCGATCTCCTTCCAGGGAACCTTGATGCTATTTATATTGCAGACATACTGCATAGCGAGAAGAAGTCGAATGTCGGTGTCAACTGTTCCAGTCAAATGTCAGCATAATTCAATGACAGATTCTACACGTGAATATTAATGCAAGTCAGTGTGACAGCAGTCTATCCATCAATGGATGTTCCCGGATCTAACAACATCACCCATGCCCTCCCTAACAGAAAGACGAAACAAGGTTGAGAATTTTGAAAAGAAAGGAAACCATACCATCCCACCGAACCAGTGTCCGTTGACGCCGACTGTTGACCTGGGGCTTGTTCTTGCTTTCTTCCTCCTTGCGATCCTCTTCGGCCTTCAGCGCCTTGCTCTGTTCAGCGACTTGCTTCCGGAGCTTTTCAAGCTCAGCAAGGTCCGCCTCATTGTCGCGCTTTCGGCTACCAGCCTTCTTCTTCGGCATGTTGGACGGGCAACTCCTTTATATCCTTTTGCACGGTATGATTGTTAGCATTGAGGGTCACGAACAAATAGATCCAAAATATGTGGGCCGGGGTCAGGTAGATAACAGTGCATAACAAATATGTACTGCATTGCTGCCAAACTCTGAATCAGAGGAGATATGGCATTCGAGAATGTCTTCTGTGTAAGTAGAGGATGCATGGAAATGAAGGACCGCGGCGGACCAAGCCCAAGGAAGACACTCAATTTTCTCGATGCAGAATGCCTTTGAAGCATGCAGTTGGGGCTGGATCATGATGCCATGCATCGCACAAGCAAGGTATGTTAGGACAAATATGCAAAGTGTGATAAGGCTAACCATGACTGCAGCTTCTTGGGGCATAGCCCAAAGAGACTGCCCAAAGTGGCCATGCTCACAGCAATTGATGTCCGATACCATAGTGATATTGTACATAATGTCGACATCCGCCAGTGTCATGAAATGCATGAGATCAATGACGGTCGGATGGGAGACATCACATTCCAGGGCCTTCAACATGCTAGACTTGGGCCACAGCTGCCCAGGTCCTGCAAGTGACATGGGCCTGGGAAATGTTGGATATTGATGTGCAAGACCAAATCCCCGACAAGGTCAACGGGTGACACAGTAACCCAGATGCCTTGAAGGTTGAATGGAAATACTAGGTCCCAGCCATCAAAGTATACCACGACAACCTCATGTGCATATGCAAGAGCTACATGGTGGGAAGTCGGAGTGTGACAGGGAAGGTTATGGACCAGACCCAGCACAAAGCTGTATTACTCACCTGGTGGAGATGATAAAATGGCACTGTCGATGCAGATGCTTTCGTATCGATGCAGAGAACGATGGGGAATGTCGTGGGTGGATGGAGATGGATTGAGATGATGAAGGTTGATGGGATTGAAAGAGAAGTAAGAGAAGTGGTGACCGAAGGAAGTGGTTGGGGATGGCAAATGCGCTTGAGCAACAAACCGCCCTTGAACTCGAGTGGTGCCTGGTCCTCGTTTGCTTCTTTCGCTCAATGCCGATCACGTGCGCTATTCGGGGGGGTTGCTTTACTCAAATCGAAGCCTGTTATACTCTACACAATGAGCAGGCTTTATCCTATGTATGCCTTCCTGTTGGAGCCTACATTCTATTTACATGTGCTGATAAGTTATCTGATTTATTACATTGATGCATTGTAAGATACTGGCTACGAACTGGAGTTGATACGGCGACGATGTGCATTTTGGAACTCTCGACACGAACGATCTATATAACTTCACGGCAACGCTTTTATACCCCACCACACTCGGTGTTTTTTTCGAGTTATAAGTAAGCAATGCAATTATTTATGACTCAATGGCATGTAGCAATTACATTATACCAATTGTAAGTTGTATGGCTGAAGAACATAGTGTGTCGCATCGCAAGGTGGTCATCGCATGAAGGTGAATGTGGGTCCAAATAAGCGCATTACACGTGATAGCAACCGCGACAGACGCTTATCAATCTATAGCGGATTAACCTTGTTCCTATCGGTTGAAGTATTTTCCGCTATCACGTGGCTCTTTGGCATCTTATATTCAGACCGATAAATCCACACCGCCTAGCCTGTCACCGCCTTCCAAAAGGAGGCCTATATTCGCTCACGTGACCCTGTCATCCCGATCCTCCGAAGTCGAACGCTTCCAAACTCACCCGAACCGTTTTCACCCCTTCAATCGAACCATACCTCCCACATTCTCTTCAAAATGACTGCTGCCTGGAAAGCCGCCGGTTTGACGTACGCATTCACAAATCGTCTTTGAATCCAATGCTAACCCCGACCCCAGCTACAACCGCTACCTGGCCATCGCCGCCCGCACGGTGCGCCGTTCCTTGAAGGAAGGTCCTCGCCTCGCATCTGAGCGCCGCGGCCAGATGGACCTCCGCTTCGCCAAGTGGGAGGTTAGTGAACTCCCGAGCTCTGTGATGCACACTTTTGACTGATGACAATGTTACAACAAACAGAACGGCAAGCAGGGTGAAGTCAAGTCCCTCGCCCAGGCCAACAACGAGGCCCTCGCCAAGGCTGCTGAGAAATAAGCCTTATTCACCCCATAACCTGAGAGAATCGAGCTTGGAGATATGCAGGGCCCGAGTGTGACGGACTTGAGCGAATTTTTGGTCCGGGGGAAGCATTGAAATGTACATGTGTAGCAATACCGGCCTGTCTGGTTGGGCAGAGCTTAGAAATCGCACTCGTCTTTGTTTTCAAACGACGCATAAGCTGTTAATTAAAACTGCCGTAAGAATTCATGTACTACCGGAGCGTGGCTGCTCAGATGTTGCACGTCACTTCTAGGGCCCGGTTCTGGATTGCCCGACTCGCTTTTTCCTCCGCTCACGTCCCCGCCCTCCCCCTCGATTTGTGAATTTCTTGAAACACGTCCAACAGCACGATACTTGGTCGAACAACTATTATAAAAACAGCACTGCGAGAACTTGGGATTCTCTGCGATGCTGCCGAATAATGAAGTTCGCGTTCCCCGTCCGCGGTTCGTTGCGCAGTCCGCACCCCGCGACATTACCGATGAATTTACAAAAGCTGCCTCGAGTAAGCATATTGCGCCGGCTACTTCGACCAAATCTCTAATCATTTGTACTTTAGAGCTAAATACAGGAGAGCTTGTGAAAGATGAGACGTTCACACTGTTCGAGGCCGTGGGCGCATTGGAGGTGCGTTAGCTTTCTCACCGGATGTGAAACGTGCAACGAGAATTGCAGCTGACGACGATCGAACCCGTACAGATTATGGACTCGAAGATGGATAGCGGCTACATAGCCCCCGGAGAAAATCATGCGCAGGCGCTAGAAGACGACTACGACGTGCGGCGGCCGTTAACACCAGAGGAAGTCATTGGCTTGATGGACCAGCTGCTATGCCACGAGGTGGGAGATGATATTGCACATGCGAAGATGGGCAGGTTGCTGATTTAATCGCAGGTGGCGTGGCATAAGGGGCATCCTCTATCACAGACGCTATTCACATCAATCTATCTCGATAAATTATTGTGGCCGGTGCCGAGGACCATGGAGGATGCTCGGTTTGACCGTGTACCAAGTGATTCTCCTTTGGTCAACCTCGTCTTGAGGGCTTATTGCCTTGCATTGGTCAAAGCTTGCGATCTTGTGCATATCCGAGTGGCCACTGAATATTATTATGAGGTAAGTCGACTAGTTCGCGAAATATTACTGTCGCTAATGCCATCTGCCAACCAGGAAGAGGATTTTGTCAGTCAATTATACAACCGCAATCTTCTCTCTGCCTTCCGCATATCCCAGTTCCACTGTCTGCTGGACCAGGCGGTTGCTTGGGTTGCGGAGCAGACCGATATTGACCAGAAACTCAAAGATGCCATCCATTGCAGACTAGTGTTTCGGCATGAGTTTCTGTCCGCACTAGACCAGGATATTGACGTTCTTGAAACCAGATCTACAGAACATTTTTCTTCATGTATAGCTGAACTCCAACCTTTGTCAGAGACAGTCATTCTGGGAAAGCCAGTGCCAGAGGCTTTCAGTTTGAAGATTCAACGGAAGCTGGCTAGCACAGTGCCGCCTCGTCCGATGGTTAATATTACCTCCGATGATGCGCTGGCACATCTAAAAAGGCTGTGCCAAGATGCGATAGACATGCAGCAAATGCTTGATTACACCGGTCCCAGCAATTTCAAGGTATGCATTTCTGAACTCGGGTCCATTCCTAGTTCTAACTTATATTGCAGACTGCTGTATGGACTTTGCTTTCTCGAAAACCTCAACCGTCTATTTATATTCGTTGTCTTCTTCAAGCATTGGTTGTCAGCAACATGACGATCCTTGGTGCCGTGCCAGTCAAGGAGTTTTTATACGATGAACTCGCAGAACTTGTCTTGCCTGCCAATATTTTGCTCGAGGCTAACACCGATGAAGTGGAAGTGCCATCTGACCCTCGGTTCCAGATTGCTCAGAAGATGGATGGTTTCATGAAGCGATTCGCCCAGGTTTGTGTACATATAGATCTTGACATGTCCTAATTGCTAACTTTCACAGCCGTTTGTTGATACTGTACGATGCGCCTGTCTCAATAGATGTCGTATTCGGCGAACACTCTGCCACACCCTCATCGATTGGGACAATCTGCAGATGGAGGTCAGTCTTACCCCGTATTTCTTCGTCATTTGGGTGTTAATGCTTATTTTTAATGCAGGCAGAAGAAATAGACCTCGAGCTCCGCACTTTGAGTGCGGAACCGCCTCTGCAATTCCAAGGCGGCGAACCCACCTGGTCCTTCCCACTTAGCAGCTGGGCCTATCACCAAAAGCTTGTGCAGTTCCGACTCATTCTCCAGATGGGCTTTGAGCTATCAATCTACTCCCCGGAAGAATTACCGGGCATGTACTGGTATTTGTCTCATATTTGCTCTACACATCTTGGCCACATTGATCGCATACGTACTTTTACTGTGGCTGCACGAAAACGCGACTTGATGGCTACTGGCGACCGCTCTGGAAGCTCCTCCCAAAAGGCATCGGCGTTCCACCGATCATTCCACGCTCTGGAGAGGCTAACCACGCACATCATTGCAGTAGACGCCTTTGCGATTGCCCTGCATGCTTTGTATGTTGTCCTGGCCCGGCACAAAGTGCTCCCAACTGCCTCGTCTCCCCAGGCATATTCAACGGACCGTCTCCGCTATGAAATCCGGATGAAGCCCTTCATCCCTATCACATTGCCGGAATTGGTTCCATACGAAGAATACCAGCGCGAGGCAGCTCTCGAAGGTGATTCCGATACTACCATTCTGGAGCGTGCTTCCAAAGCCATTACCGAAGCGCGCAAGGCGTGGGAGGCGGCCCTTGCTAATGGGGCATTCATTGATGACCCTTCTACACCAAGCCGACCGCCACCTTCGGCCATTGAAGAGGATTGGAAGCGCGATGTGAGGAACACTATGCGTGCCTGTATTGGCACCAGTCTTGCTATTGAGGCTGTCAAGAAGGCTCTATCTGCGGCATCTTCTGAAGACAAACCTCTCAACTTAGAGGTGCTTGTTCCTGAGGTTGGATCCAAGTCTCGTTGGCATGACTGGTGGGTGGTACCTCAGGTGTCTGAGAAGAAGTCTAAGACGTGAAAAATATGTTAAGCTACAGAGTACAAGTGTCTGAGTTTCTTCGGCAACTACCAATGTATGATTGAGTATGTTTTATTCGTCTATAGAAATGATCATGACTTTATATGACCTAGGGGTTGTTTATATATATACTCCCGTAGACTGTATAATGTCAATTAGAGCTGTCGGCTTGCATATGAATAATAAATATGCAAAAGGTGATTCATATACATATCTAGATTTATATACATATTTATATCCTCAACTCAGTAACACAAAATACAAAAAGAAAAGTTGATAAAACAAAAATCCACCAAATCAGGGCCTGTCATATCCCAACGGGAACACCCGCTGGTTATGAAATCAACCTCTGCCGACCTGGGCAACTTCGCAATTTACAACTCTTGTCACCTCAACTTCTTTTAATAACAATACTACGCATACCCTGGGACTATTTTGAAATTTTAAGCCTTCAGGCTTACATCCTATATCGGAGTTTGTTTTCGACTTGGCTTCGGGTTATTCAACAATCCGGGGCAGCTCACGGACCTCCTTAGGTTGATGGTTGAACTCCATCGCTCCAGGGTATTTTGTACCGATTAGATATTGGCGTTATTCCGACTGGTCAGCACCAGTGAGAGCTGTCCATTTTCAGTCTTCACCTCAATCTACGTCTTCCTATGCCGCTCCCTCTTATTTCCCGGTCGCCGCAGGCAGCCTTTCCCAACATTTCATTGCTGTTAATCACGGGGATCCGGTTGTGAGAAAAAAGAAGAGAAAAAACACCTTAAGATTCACATTATGCCAACCTACCCTATCCGCCGCCGGCCGCGCGAGTGCAAAACCTGTCTACCTTGCCGAGCAAGCAAAGTCCGCTGTGATCGCAATCTCCCTTGCAGTAATTGCACGAAACGAAACTTCACCTGCTCCTACGGTCGTCCAGCATCTGCGAAAGTCCCCCCTCCTACTATCGTGTCTACCACCTCCACACCATCACAACAACCTACCTTTGCCTCTCCGATCCCTCCATATGCCAACTCAGCTCCCACAGCCGATGGCTCATATGCAACCGATCATCCGTCGACCGCCAGCGGAGATCCGGATTTACCGGACATAATTGATATCTCCCAGGCGGAGTGGGATGAAATAAACACGAAGATGGTCGCAATGGAACAGATCATCGGTAGCCTGCGCTCGCTCTTCCAGGCACACTCGACTCATAAGCCGTCAGAACTCGAGCCAGAGCCAGAACCAATTGAACGAAAAAATTCCACCCGGTCGGAAGGTGTCTACGGGTCGAATGTGTTGAAGACTGGTGCGGTCCATATCGGGTCGCGGTCGGCCCTGGTTGATATTTTGGATAAATCGAAGAGGTCGGAAGACACAGCGCAGGCGCTGCCCCAGGATGATCTTCTTGCTGAACTTGCTTTGGGGAATGAGTCGGCTGCATATCCATTTGTGGATTTGTGGTCCTCCGATCCGTTCACATTTAATATTGCCGGTGTTTGTGCGATTCTTCCGGAAGACGCACGGTGCTTGGAGTAAGTCGGAGATTCGAGGTGTTCTGTAATGTATGCTAATTCTAATTGTCAGGTTCCTGACGTTTTACCAGGATATAGGATCGGTTTTATACCCAGTTCTTTCGGATATCGCACAATTAAAACGACATACCGAACGACTTCTCGAGAATCGACGACGAGCAGGGGGTGTTTATAAAGCCGATGCCAACGGATTAGTGAAACCATTTGGCATGCCGTTGGCTTTTCTCAGTCTCCTTTTCGCGGTTATTGCATCGGGATGTCAGCTATCCGGCATCCCGGAAAGCGACCGTGAATTGACCTCATGGGTATATGGTGCGTCACATTAGAGAAAAATCGGGAGTGCTGTGCTGACTTTCTCTAGTTTCCTGTGCATATCAATGTCTTCGGATGTTGAATTATGTGTCGCAACCCACTGTAGAAGTAATTCAGATTCTTCTCATTATTAGCAATGTACTTTCATATAATATGAACGCAGGTGCATCATACACTTTGCTTGGTACGTGTTGAGTGTTTCCAATGAGATGATCAAGCTAACCGGTATCAGGTATGACGGAGCGAATGTGTCTTGTTCTTGGTCTCCATGTCGAATCGACCGGGTTCTCAATTGCAGAGCAGGAAGTGCGAAGGCGTGTCTGGTATGTATCCAATTTTCGTCTCTCGGTTAATCTCCAGCTCACATTTCTCAGGTGGACAATGGCCTTCCAGAACAGCCATTTCTCGCTTGCCTATGATCGACCGTCGATCACCATGGTCAGCCAACCTGAAATTCCATTCGATCCCAAATCAATGCCGGGCCATCGCTCATATTTCGAGACTCTTTGTCGCATTGTATCCTTGGCATTGGAAGTCCTGCGGTCGCGCATGTATCCCGGATCGTCTCAGTTACGTATCCATGAGATCCGCGAGTATAAACAACAGATCCAGCGAATGCTCGCTGAAGCGACTCCTCATCTGCGACATCGAGACAACTGTCGATCGCTAGCGGAGCATATTGAGCGAACCGAGTTGCGCCTACACTCCTCATATCTTCTCTCTGTCTTGTGTCGTGTCTCGCTCGACCCACATGCACATTTAGACGCCCCACGTCGCGCAATGATCCGCGAAGACTGTATCAGCAGTTTGATCAACACGATCGACGCATTTGTTGAATTGCATGAGATCAATTCTCACTGCTCACGGTCGTGGATCAGTCTGCAGCGAAGTATTGCATCGGCATTTTTGCTGGTCGCAAATGACGACAGCGCCCAGACCTGGCAGCTGATCGACAGGCTGGAGAACGTTCTGGCGGACCATGTCTATGCAGACAGTGACACGGACAATAACAACCGCACCGACTCAGCCAAGCATCTTTCTTCGTCTCTTCGTGCTCTGCGTGAGATCCGCGGGGCCTTTAGCGCTCGCACGGATAGTTCGATAGGGCAACCATCTAGCACAACATATTCGCCGATTGTGTTGTCTTCCCCTCCCTCTCTTGACCCCAGCTCTACCATGCCACCATCAGCAAATATTAGTACAGGTCCACAGCCGATGGAAGGGTTGAGCATGCGGAATATCCTTGATCGTGTTTCTGATGTGATGTTATTCCCCAGCATGAGCGGGGATAGCCCAGTAGTGTAACTGCTGTTCTCCTTTTTTTCTTGCTTTTGCTTTGTTTCCCTGTTCTGTGTTTAGGGAACATGGGATCTCGGGGCGTATACAATACCTGGGCACCTCATCTCCTATGAGGTCAGCATGTGCTGCACCCATAGATTATATAGATACACCTTCCCCCACGGGGAAGAATGATATCGGGATATGACTCCATTCATAAAGGTCAGACCTAAATATTTGGCTCAGTCTTGTAAGGAGTAGAAAGTAGAGGTAGAAAGTCGAAAGCTGAAAGCACATGGCAGGAAATCAGAAGTCGGCACATTCCCTCTTAGATGTCAGCTGCTCCCCGAATCTCGGGAGTTTTAGGTAGACAGAACCCAGATCTAGTCCGGTGTACTTATAAATGGAATTTCAAATCAATGTCACCAACCCTGGAGGTCTGAAGCGCGAGACTTGTAACTTTCCCAAACCCCCTTCTCCAGGGAAAAGAAGGAGGGTGAAAGGGTCCTTACAACATAGGTGGAGAGCCGCTTCGGCCGGCCGGGGAAATCCCGGCAGTTACTTGACTTTTTCCTCATTTTATTGTTCTCTCGATTTACATTCTTATTGCTTTTTTACTGTACCCCTATTTGTCTCCTTGCGTGTATTTCTTAAAGGGTCCACTTATTCTCGCCACGAGGTGTTTGGAGATATGGGGTGATGTGGAGGACTAGGCCTCGTATGATATTTGATCCTTCAGCGTTTTACTATTCTCGTTTCAGGACTTATGTCTCGGATAACGGCATGGCATGACCTATGTTGCTTATTTGATTCGATCAGATCGCATTTTATATCCCTCTGATTTGTCAGATTCAATATATATATATTTCTATTTCTGGTAGGGGTTTGGGTACATCCGGCACTTGCCGGAGGCTATATATTTTGGTTCACCCGTGTACATACTTGGGCTGGCTGAATAGATAAATTATGTTGATACGAGCTCGATGCTGTCTGATTTCTTAACTCTCCGGTTTGTACATTTAGTTGCGTTTGGAATCCCTGTTTAAGCCCCCTAGTATCATTATATGTGATGCTTTAGAGCCCAACAGTGAATAGTTCATCCAGACAAGAGTGATAGGAGCCTTGCAGTATATTTGGAGTATGAAGTTGATATGTAAATTAAATGTGCTGCATATGACCTCAGGAGTTTAACAGCTTGAATCGCTCAGATCGGCTTTTCTGGGAATAAGAAATATGGAATATTTTGGTGACGAGTTAACTCATTAATGCTACAGATCTATTATTGCACCTATATTATGAGACTCGTGTAAGGAGTAACTAGACTAGGGGAGGAAAGCAACATTGATGGCATACTAGCTCCCTTCTTGACCTTTGCTCCACGTCAATTGTCCACGTTGAGTCTCTGTAAGTAGCAAAAGGAAATGATATGGGATGTTTGCTTCTTTTCATTCAAAGTTTATATTCTTTAATAGTCTGTATCACTTGCTCTCATGTTACAGAGTACCTTTGTCCAATACTGGTGAACTCAATTTTGAGTCTTGCATTTGGATATCATATTTGAAAAGACTCATATTGTTATAATGGAGAAGTCCAAGTGAGGAAGTAGAGAGAGACAAGAGATATGCTAGTGCGATTAACGGCTCCTTATAATAAAAAGGCTTTCCCAATTTAATTTTAATATACACGATAGGTCCTTACGCGAATATGCATCCGCGCGGATGCATGTGCTGGCATAGAATTTCGACTCACCGCTAGTACAACGTAGAACGAACCGAGCAGTTTATCTTGTGATTCTATTCTCTATGTTGTACTCCATATCATCAACCTGAGACGGATTAATCTATCTAATATACCCATTTCAAGGAAATACGGAATAACAGGTTGAATGTCATCATCGGAAGTCGCCTGCCCCGCATGCAAATGGACCCCAGATCAGCAAAGACGCTGCAACTACGACAGTAGCGTGCGCCTCTTCTACGGAGCCAGCACTCGGGGTTACTGGTCCCTCGGCACAAAATTTATTCTCAAGGAGCGCGAGAAAGATCCCCGTAGCTATGAGGTCATCAACACCCACTTCATCAAAGAGAATACCACCATCCCCATTCACAACACCGTGCAAGAGTGGACCGAGGGCAAGAAATATTTCCAGATCGTCGAGCGGGTGCCTGGGGTACCGTTAGAGGAGATCTGGTCGTCAATCCCCCAACCCGACCGGGAGAAACTCGCTCATCAGACTTCGGAGTATCTGGGGCAGCTCCGCTCGCTCCACTCCGCGAAGATGGAAAGTCTCCACGGGCAGCCGGTCTATTCTGCTTTTCTCTTTCCGGGTCAGGGGTACGGGGGTAAACATGGCCCGATAAGCACGGCTGAGGAGCTATGGGAGGAAATGGCGGAATCTTTGAGTGACAAAGTACCGGAAGTTGTTAAAACGCGGCTCCGGGATACGATGCCTTCTCCGTATCCGTGGACCTTTACCCACGGGGATTTGACTAGTTGCAATATCATCGTGGACCCGACCAGTTTTGGATTGAGTGCTCTGATTGACTGGGAGCGTTCGGGCTATTTCCCTGTGTGGTGGGAATTTACGGGGGCGGGAATCGGGTTCGGCGAGGAAGACTTAGAGTGGAAACGTCTGCTACTAGGAAACATGGCCAATCATGAGGAGGCTCGTACGTGGTTTAAGGAATTCTGGTCATTCACTAGGTCGATTGATTCAGAGATCAGATTGAAGGTGCTGAAGGAATGTGGTATTGAGGAGGATATAGAGATCTAGGCGGCACATTGAATACATAGTATACAGTCGATATTCCGTACAGAAAGGTGGTTTAGCACACCGAAAAGGAAAAAGGAAGCAAATAGAAAAATGGAAACAAAAGATGAACGCTTAAGCTTTCCAAGTCTAGACACTTGACGATCTCATCCTCTTTCGTCCGTCAGATTTATAGGGTAATAGTTGCGGATTGTTCCTCGTTCCTCTTTAATGTATGCGTGAGTTAGGGCTAAGTTCTTCTGAATAGTCTGTCAATGTTTGTTAATTCTTCAAATCTAGACAAATATGAAAAAATTAGAAAATAACATGTCCAACTCCGAAGTATGAAAATTGCGAAGCTTTTGGCGGAGATTTGTGTGGAGATGAGCAAAGATGAGCAGAGAGATATTGTAGTTCCTTTCCTCTTTTAGCCTCAACTCCGAACATCCCCTCTCATTTTCCTTGTTCTCTTTTGTATTCTTCGGATTTCCAACTTTATTCAGCCACAACATCATTGGCTTTGATCTTCCTCTTGGCTTTATGGGGAAATATCATATCCCCGCTTTTGCTCTGGCCCTTTCCCCCCGGAAATCCCGCATCCCCCATATCCAATATACGATAGTGTACGTAGAAGGTTTCCCGACTCTCTTAATATATGCCCAGTCTTCTCCCAGTCTGACACATGTGCCTAGCCGGACCTCGGGAGTGGAAATGCATTGTGCTTTCCTAGTTTAGTAGTGTCGATCCCTACCTAGTCCCTTGCTAAGGCCGATGACGAGATGTTAGTCTCTGCTACCGTGTGGAGTTGTGATCAGAAATGCTCATCATTTCCATCACATGGTGTCTTATCGGTATTCTGCCTCGGTGTCGATCCCTATTTCCTCGGCCATGATGGAGCTACATCCTAACCCGTACGCCAAAAAAAGAGATGTTAGTACAATTGCGGTTAGCTGGGCCTTGTCTGGTCGACGATCAATGCAATCACGATGCAAATAAGAAGCTGGCTTGCTCCAAGTTTGACTTTCTGAATATCCCGAAGGCTCTTCCTATCCCGCAATAAACCTTTGAACGACAGGTTTAGGAATCGACGCCCATTCGATTGGCCGGAGAAGATTTAACAAGAAGCGACAGCCAGATTGGTCCATACAACATGCGTCTTCTACCAACGTTAGCCACCGCGCTCATATTCGCAGTCAATGTGACAGGAAGTCCGGCCGCTGCTTCAGGCCCGGCGCAATCCGTCACCCCCGCGGCGAACATTGTGGATGAGCCCGCACCGACAACTTCGGCTGCTCAAGCAAACAATGTCAACCAGGTCAACGCGGCTGTTGCCGATAGTACTGCTGCCGCCGATACAGCTAAAGTCGCTAACACGGCTTCTGCTGCCCCAACTACGAAGGAAGAAGATGCTACCACTGATGTGAAGACTGCCGAGCCGACCAAGGCCAACCCCGTGGAAAGCATGGTTGGAGACGCAAAGACTGCTCTTGGTATCGATACACAAGAAACAACCAGTTCAGCCGCGGCAGCCGGCCCCACTAAGACAGCTGAGAGCTCGGCTGCCGAGCCTAAGTCCTCTGCTGCCGAAACTCCTTCTTCCGCTCCCTCCCCTACAGCCAGCTCAAGCCCGAAGTCTACAAGTTCAAACAGCGAGTCAGACAGCAATGATACTGCCAAACCTTCTGATATCCTGCCAGATCTGAAGGATGCTATCTCGAGTTTGTTTGGCGGTAATGGCAGTGGCGGCCTCGCGGAACTTCTGCGTGGTCTTGAGAGTCTGCTTAACCCCCAGTTCTTGGGTAACTTCGCCGACACTTTCGAATATCTCTCTACCGGCCTAGCACCCCCGGTCGACAACCAGCTCCGAACCATAGTGGCCAATGCCGACACCCTTCTGACCGCAAGCTTCGTCAAGAAGACCGGCGCTCTCATTGACAATGCCAATGAGCTTCTGACCGAGGAGAACACCAAGGAGATTGGAACTCTGCTCAAAGTTGCCAACAAGTTGTTGTCTGGTCCGTTCATCGACAAGGTGGACAACCTTATCGACAATGCCAACAATCTCCTCACCTCCAACTTCGTCAAGCAGACCACTAACCTCATTGAGAAGGCTAGCCCTCTCATTGACGACGCTAGTGGCCTACTTAACGACAAGAATGTTCACGCCATTGAGTCGCTGCTGACGAACGCCAACACGCTGCTTACTGCCACCTTTGTCAAGGAGACCTCCAACCTCATTGGCAAGGCCAGCCCTCTTATCGACGAGGCCAGTGGTCTCCTCACCGAAGGCAATGTCAAGGCGATCGAGAACCTGCTCGGCAATGCCAACAAGCTGCTCACTCCCGGCTTTATCTCAACTACTGGCAAGCTCATCCAGCAGGCCGGTCCTCTTATCAACCAGGCTAGCGGTCTCCTCACCGAGGGCAATGTCAAGGCAATCGAGTCACTCTTGAACAATGCCAACAAGCTGCTCACGCCCGGCTTTATCTCGACTACTGGCAAGCTCATCAACCAAGCCGGTCCCCTCATCAACCAGGCTAGCGGTCTTCTTACTGAGGGCAACGTCAAGGAGATTGAGACTCTCATTGGTAACGCCAACAACCTGCTGACTACCAGCTTCGTCAACCAGACCACGAGCCTGATTGATGAAGCTAGCGAGCTCCTGTCTTCGGATACCATTGACAGTCTGAAATCGCTGCTCCACCAGCTTGCTCCTATAATTCCCGAGTTGAAGGGCCTGCTCAAGCCAGACACCATCAAGGCAATCGAGAACGTTCTAGGCAACGCCAACAAGCTGCTAACAGATTCCTTCGTCGAGGACACCAACACCCTAATCACCGAGGCTGTCGGACTTCTCACTCCCGACCTGGTCAAGGCTCTGAAGGCTCTCCTCAGCGACCTTACCCCTCTAATCCCCGAGTTGCAGTCGCTGTTGACCAAGGAAATGATCGATTCGATCGAGACCCTTTTGAACAACGCCGGAGCCCTACTCACATCGGACTTCGTCAAGGACACCAAGGGTCTAGTCGGCGAGGCCGGCGATCTCCTCACTCCAGAGGTTGTCAAGGGACTGAAGTCAATCCTAAAGGAAGTCATCCCCCTGCTACCAGAGTTGCAGTTGCTCCTGAACAAGAGCACCCTATCCGCGGTTGCAGATCTCCTAACCAACGCCAACACCCTTCTGACCCCCAAGTTCGTCAACGAGACCATCGGTCTAATCGACAGCGCCGACGACCTCCTAACCCCAACCATCGTCACGGGACTGAAGGAGCTCCTCGGCGACGTCGGCCCACTGATCCCGGATCTCAGACGCTCCCTGCTGAACACAACCATCATCACCGACCTGGGATACATCGTGACCAACGCTACCACATTGCTCACGCCCCACTTCGTCGGCGAGACTACAGATCTCATCGACAACGCCGATGGCCTCCTGACACCCGACGTCGTCACCGTGCTCAAGGATATTCTTGGATACGTGCCCGACTTGTTACCCGAGGTGAAGAAGTTGCTCAAGCCTTCTACCATTTCGGATGTTGGCGCGCTCTTGGCCAACGCTCATGATCTCCTCACTCCCAAGTTCGTTAATGAGACAACTGTCCTGATTGATGATGTTACGAGGTTCTTGCCTCTGATTCAGGAATTGCTCAAGGCGCTGTGAGGAGTTGATTTTTTATGATTTTCCTATATTGCTACGCACGCAATTATGATCCTTAATGTTCTATAATGATAATTAACGTTGTCTTACATTTGGTCCATTGTAGTCGGTGGTGTGTTTATGTAGGTTGGAAAGAAGGCCTAAACAGTATGAAGTACAACATATATTCACGAAGTGTCTTCCGCGGGGATGCTATTGAGCACACTAAATAGGCTGGTAGCTCCAAATGTGGTCTATATTTGGTGCCTGCTAGTCTCGGCCCATCTCGGAAGCCTTATGCTGCATTTGCCAATTAGATGATCTATTAAGCTTGATCTTGCTGAGTGGTTATAGACTAATGTGGATATGCAGCGTATCCGTGCCGGAGAGAACAAGCTCTCTGTGGACGCGAGGGATTACCTCCATATTCACACAACGATGGATCTTGGGGCTTCGGTGACCCTAACGAGTATCTTGGGGACTCGACCCACATGGCCTTTGATGATCGCCGTTACCTGAAGTGGGATAGTAGTGTCGATCCATCGCATGATAACTCCATCAGCAGATGGAACTTTTCTGATATCGCTGGCAAATGGAGTATCTCTGTGCGGGATGATGTCGAGGGGTCGCGGATTGAGATCCTAGCTTGAAGATTGAACTTTATGGAGAATGGCTTGCGGCGCTGGGCCATTCTTATGAGCAGCAACCGGGATAGGTATTTTTGGACTTGGAAAGCCCAGCTCAATGATCACCGGTGGGGTTACTGGGGTGAGTCCTTTTGCCTTGCAGACAAGTGGAGGATGCTAGCTGACTTCCTGCAGATGCTGTGAGCGGTGATGTTATCCCCAAGGATTTAACAGCCTGCAGAATATCTGCTGAGCTTGTCCTTTGGTCGACCAGCGTAGGTATTGAATAGGCTGTGTACTGTTAGCTGTATTGAAATAGCAGGATCATGTCGCCCAAAATGTAATATGCACAAATATGAAAATGGGTTATTGATAGTGAGCGCTTGGATACATACACGTGCTAGCAATAAGCGTATGGATAAGCAGAAGGATACTCGTAAAGCCTAGGAAGTAGCTTCAGAAGCTGGGGTTGGCCACCATATCATCGCCCAAAGGGACACACCGGGTCCACCAGACTGAAGACTAGCATCAGCAGCGACCTTGCCCTTCCCAAGCCGAATCTCTTCGACATCCTCAAATCCCAATGACAGGTAGAGCGCGCGGGAGCCTGCAGTTGTTGCTTCGAGCCAGATCGGGACATTCGCGGCTTGAGCGGTCTGCTGGTGCTCGAGCATGATTGCCTTGGCGAGGCCTGGACAAGGATCAGTAAGAGATTGAGCATGAAGGAGTTATAAATGGGGCTGACTGACCTTTTCCACGATGTTCGCGCTCGGTTCCGACGGTGAAAATGTAGTAGTACTTGGTCTGTCCACGGAGACCCTTTCGCTTCGCGTTGTCGGTAATACCAGAGAATTCGAACCAAAGGCGCTAGAGAATTAGTTAGGTTAGGAGTGTCCTCTGCAAGAATGTTGGCCTCATGCTTACCTTTAGGCCCGGGAGTCCAATTTTCCACAGCACGCTCAGAAATCCAGAGCACAGGAGGGTCCAGGCATTGTCAATGGAATGACCAGGTGGAACAATGACAGAAGCTGCCTTCCAGCCATCGGCTTCGGTGATCACTGCGCGATTAAGTAAGGCTGACTTGATGAGCGTGGTCCAGTATGTCGGCAGATAAGCCAACCTTTCTTCCTGAGACAGGCCCAGCAGCATGTACGCAATGACGGGATCGGTGTCGAAGACGCGGCCATTCAGTGCTGCGAGCGGGGCGAGGAAATCTGTGGTCTTGTCAGTATCGATAGTTTCATACTCGAGCCATTGATACTCACTGTCACCGCCGTGGGTGATTGGGACTGATGCCACAGCCATGTTGGTTTTAGGTTAGAGGATCAGTTGCATAGGAAATAAGTTGAGGTCTCCTTGGACACTCCTAAAAATGATCGAAGGCAGCCATATAAAGAAAGACATAAATGCGCGCTATAGTCGCGTCTTGATAGTCTTGGCATCTACGTCATATGGTTATGTCAGCAGACCACAGGAGCCCGCGGGCCCCGGGGTTCCTGAGGTAAAGTCACTTAAGGTCGAGCAACTGAGACACAGGTGACAACTATTATCGTAAATGTTCTCATGTTCTCTCGCGTTCATCTGCTCATTGTCATCTGCTTCCACTGAAATTGACTCGTTCATCTCCGCTGTGGATATGCGTGGAGCACAGTCTGCTACCAAACACGGGAACTCCCTGAATCCCGGGGACTCGGGCCGCGACCACAGTTCAGAATTCGGGCCGGATATTATGATTCCTCAGGATATTGACACTGTTTTTCAGCTCATGCGCATATGCTTTACAATTTTATAGACTGATATATTTATAAGCAAGTGCGATTGGGACACGAGGTCCACATGACTGCCACCACCCGCTGAGCTGGGCCGGAAGATTCACGTTCCTCTAGCTGTATATTGTGCCACCAACAGATTTTTGTTAATTGGTAGCACAGGAACTTTTTGATCCAGTGACATCGGAATGATAATGTCAAGCGCACAACAACACACTGAATAATGGCAAGAGGTGGAGTCAGAAGATTCTGGTGGACGTGAAACATGATCACCCATTGAAATCACTGTCACTATACGGAGTGTCTTGCGACGATTTTCTTGTGACAATGAACCCGGCGTTTGGAGAATTCTAACTATGTCTGAAGCTTTCTTTGCATCGTCAAACTTTCCGATCTCTCTGTCGAGCTGCGTTCTTCTCACTCACCACCCTATCCCCGCGGAAAATTACTCCGGAGAAAATGAAGCTAAAAGAAATCTTCAACACTCTGTGGGTACATGTCGCTGTGGAAACCAGCCTGAGGTGGAATAGCATCCACTTTATACCGAAATTGACAATTTAGGGTCAAAACAAAGAGATGGAATACCTAGGGAGCCATACAAACTGCAGCGATCTAGCGTGAAGCGAATTTTTTTTTTTTGAGCTACCAGGGTGGGGACGTGGTCAATCTATGTTTATAACCCCCGGTGCTCGCTCTCCATGCTGAATTTTCTTTTCCAAGTTGCCTAGAACGCAGGGTGTCAATGTTCCTCCCTTGAGAATCCGTGTTCTGCAATTTCATTGAACGGCTATCCCGGTCACTCAACTGCCTCACACAGAGCTTTTCTTGGACCTCTGGTTGGAAGATTAGTAACTGGTTATGTTAGGTGGGCTTCATGTGGTGAATGCACCGGAGTCACACATTATACGATCAGAAATCTTAACGAACAACGCTGGGGCAAGGATGAGGAGAAGATCTGGGGTGCTGGAGCCAGAGAAGGTGACGGCGTACCTCCTGAGCCGCAGGCATCTAGTGACAGCCTTACACCTGTTGAGGATCAAGCGATCATTGCCTATGTTGAACGATGGAAGGATCATGGGTTTCAGTTGAAGAAACAATCGATGGTGTCACAAATCGCTAGTGCTTATCTCAAGCACCATGGTACCTCAGACAATGGTACCAGTTGCCATAGTGGGATATTTGCTCGCAATCGGGACTTTTACGAACAATTCAAAAAGTCCCGATTGCTAGAGAAAGGGAGCTCGTCAAAGGAAGATCCTGCCTTGGAAGATGATAGGCTCTGCAAATTCATAGACCAATTTGCGGCCATTCGAGCAGACCATCGACTCAATGATGAACATATTCATGCACTCTCAGAGACAGGATATGCCACTACAATTCAAAAGGACAGGCAGCCTTTGAATATTAGGAGCCGGAGGGCCTCTGAGAACCGTGAATTTGCCTCTGTTATCTACTGTTACCCAGCCCAGGGCAAGCCGCTTTCACCGTATGTCATCTTCAAGTCGTCCAACGTTCGGGGCCCAAAAAAATACGAAAACCGAGTCACTATATCGTACAATACCACTGGATGGGCGGAAAAGGCGCATGCGCTGGATTGGCTGAACAGCGTCTTCGAAAAGGAAACCAGTCCATCTGGAAGCCGAGACCGAGGTCAAAGGCGAGACCGAAGGCAGCAACGTTTGCTGCTGGTTGATAGTCAATTCCCCATGACTGCTGAATTTTTTGTCACCTGCTGGGAAAGAAATGTCATCTGTCTGTGTCTTCCAAAAAAAGGCAGTGAATATCTCAGTCCTTTTGAAAATGGAATTTTCGACGCCCTTGATAATCTCTATGCAGAGCACATGAAGAAACAGCTACGACAGAAATGTCCGTACACGATCTCCCCGTCCCAATTTGCGACATTTATCGATCGTGAACTCGGATTTCCTGATCGGGACACTGAATCAAAAGAGGCATGGTTCCATACTTGCTTGCTTCCACCCAGTCGCTCACGATTGATCAATCGTCGCACGGGTGACCGGATTCGTTCTCAAACCGTCGAGCCCAACAGCCCAAATCGTTCTAGAAGACGTCCCATAACAGATGAGACCAATGACACGGAGCAAATCACTGCCGGCAACAACACCGAAGAAGTCGATGATGACATAACTATACTAGTTCCGCAAGAACAAGTACCTTCGCCACAGTCACTACAAGGCTCACAGCCAAGAGAAAGACCCGCCCAGGAGGTCCCAGAAGAACCAGAGATTTCTGGAGATTCTTCAGACACCGCACACAATTCCGAGCCGGACCAGTCCGAGCAATCAAGCAGCGAAGACGAAACCCCCGATGTCACTGTCCCCATCACACCATGCCGAACCCCAAATCGGCCAAAAACACCCAAATCGTCCCGAAAATTGGACGTGCTACCAAGTTCTGTGATGAAGCTTGAGGAATTTCAAGATTGCTTTGATAGGTATGAAAACGCGACGCCCGCTGAAAAGAAACGGCGCCGGGAGGAAGTCACGCTGGGCTATGCAAGATGTGTCTGGAAGCTTGAAGAAACACTTCAATCGCAACTGCAGTCCAAAAAATCAAGGACTCGTTGAATATTGCATCCCTGGGGTTCAGATGGGCATCTACACACACCATCGTTTCCATCTTTCTTTTGTTTCTTTGTTTCCATGTCTTTCTCCTTTATTTCTTACCCTAATGCACTTGCAATTCATGTATATAATAGAATAGCTGCATCGATTTCATATCCCTGTAGGAGTGCCGGTACCGGGATCTATAATACCAGAACCGCGATCTTTGGACACATTTTTGTTCTTTTGATATTAACTTCCTCTTTAATCCTTCTCATTATATTGTGGTTCCCCAAATCTCTCACTCCACGGCTCCTCGACTAGCAATTATGGCAACCCTCCTCATCCTCGACGTCTAAAGCGGTAATCGACCGGCTTGGCATTGGAGCCGCCGTATAAGCTAATTATTTTGCACATCAACTTCTGCATCATTCAGTACCCGATATACCTCTCGACCTATGGTATTTTCGCTCATTGGCACTTACAAGCGGCAAAATCGACCGGAGAAAAAGGAGCTAGAATAAATGTTCAACATTTTGTGGATACGCATCACTATGGAAACCAGCCGGCCTGAAGTGGAATAGCATCCACTTTATACCCAAATTGACAGCTTCGTGTGAAAGAAAATTGCTCAAATAGCCATACAAATTGCACCGATCTAATCTGCACCCGAATTTTTGTGGAGCTACAGACCGCAAGATTGGTCAATGTTTTCAACCCCAGGACTCGCTCCCAGCGTTAAAATTTTCTTTTAGGGCAGAATTTCAGGTCAGATCTTCTATTTGAAATTCTCGGTGCCTCGCCTTCAGCCCCAGTCTAAATCATTAGACCAGAAGTCAGGCTATGCTCACTGTTGTTGGGGCACCTCCATCTCACACAATTGCTTCCGAAGTTGCCACAAACCTTGCTGCTTCATATCTGCGAAAGAAGTCCGGTATCATGGGTCAACCGGCTCTCTCAGTGGAGGATGAGAATGCAGTTGTTGAGCAGGTGGAGCGTTGGTTAAATCATGGATTCTTTCCTTATAACATGCTGGCAAAAGATACAGCCAATGCATATTTCCATAACCACCGGAGCTACAGCCAGAATAGACCAAACCTCAACGTTGGTTGGCAGAAGGGATTTTGGACCCGTCATCAAGGACTTGCTGATTACATAGCCAAAGAGCGCAATACACTAAAGTTGAAAGGTCCGCATGAAGATCGCAGAGCTTGGAAGTTCTTTCAAGCATTCAAAGATATCAAGCAGCGACTTGCGATTACCAACGGCAACATCTATGCTATGGAGGATGCCGCATTCGTTACTACCATGTATCGAAAGTCAAGCCTTATGTTCGTCCGACCAATGAACCAACACCACAAGAGAGAAGAACGGGTATTCTCTTCTGTGATCCACTGCTGCTCAACACGAGGAAAGCACCTGCCCCCATACATCGTCTGCAGGAGCCAGGATCCACCACAGACCAAGACCTTTGGTCAAATCAAAGTTTCCTTTACTCAGTCGGGATGGTCTGAGGCGAATCATGCACTCGACTGGCTGAAGACCGTTTTCGAACCAGAGACTCGACCCAAGGGTCGCCGTCAGGTATGGAGAATTCTACTGATTTCCCATCGATTCCGCATAGTCTTTCCGGAGTTTGAAAAGTTTTGCTGGGATAACAAGATCGCTTGTCTTTCCTTTCCCAAGAACGATCAGCAGTTCTTCAATCCAATGGAAAACATCGCGTTTGGGCCCATGCAACAGAGCTATACCGACTACATGAGAAAGAGATTCTCCGATAACAATGAAAATGCCATCACATTGGATGTGCGGGAGTTTGCATCGTGGATAGATGGAGAGGTATCTTCATCTAAACGAGGGAAAGAAGCTGCAGATATATGGCGTCAAAGCTGCCTTGTGCCGCTAGATGAATTCCGCCTTCGCAACTGTTTGCAAGGGAACCGGGCTACCGCCGTTCCAGAGGATAGAACGTCTATTCTCGATAGCCGCCTCTACTCGGACGATACTCCAAGAACGGCGAGATCACGGGCCACATCGCATACAAGCGTCCCGTTGCCTATTATCCCATCCACAGAGCCAACGAGCCGGGATTCTACTCCTGAATACTCGCCTCCCTCGCCGCGGCAATCAGAGGAGAGCCAAGAGAGAGACGATAGCTCGGACTCGGAAGAAAGTCAGTCTGAGGGTGAGAGTGAAACATTCAACAACCATCAGCCTATTACACCATGCAGGACGCCTAGAGTACCAAAGACTCCCCGGCCGAAGACGCCAGAGGCAGAACCATCTGGTACAGTGATGTCGTCCAAGAAGCACCGGGACATCTTGGATAAATGCATAGAGGGATCACCTAGAACGCAAAAGCGGTATCGAGATGATTTGATTCTGGATCGTGGGGATTTAGAGAAAGAGAATACCCGTCTCAAAGAAAGGGTTGAGCTTTTGGAACAGTTTGCGTTCAAAAGAGCGAGACTTGACTGATATACCCTCTCATCCCGTGCTTTCGGTGTGGTACCCTAAAGCATTTTCCTTTTCTCCTATGTATTTCACAACGTTGTGAGCGAATTTGCTTACCTTTTCTTCTTTTTGTATAAAATAGTTCCATCAGTCCTAAGAATGTCATATGTCTATGCCGGTACCGGGATGCATAATACCGGAACCGCGACCTCTTCACAACGCACTTGCCTCGTTTGATATTGACTCCTTCCCTCTTTTATTTCCATTTCATTCTGAACTCCTCCTTCAATCTCTATCCTTCCAACCTCTCCATCCCCACACATCGACAGCCCACCATGGCCACCGTCCTGCTCATCCTCGACGTTCAAAACGGGGTAATAGACCGCCTCGACAACACCGAGTCCTACCTCGAACGACTGTCGTCAGTAGTCACTTCCGCACGGAAGGCCAACGTGAAAATAATCCACGTTATTACCGGCTTCCGTCCAGGCTATCCTGAAAGCCACCCAAATAACTCATCAGTGCCCTCTGTCGTCGCACGTGGTGAATACATCGAAGGCCAATCGTCGGTGCAAGTCCACCCAGCCATCGCACCTGCATCGGGAGAAGTGGTCCTCACTAAACGTCGCGTCTCGGGCTTCTTTGCTACGGAACTTGATATGCTTTTGCGCTGTGCAAATGCCGAGTCTATCGTTGTCGCAGGCTTGATCACCAGTGGGGCTGTGCTATCTACTGTTCGTCAGGCAATGGATATGGACTATCGCATTACGGTCCTGGAGGATTGCTGCATGGATCGTGATGAGGAGTTGCACCGTGTGCTGATGGAGAAGGTCTTTGCTCGCAAGGGGGATATTGCTTCAGCCAAGGAGTGGGTGGAGAAGCTTTCTATCGGGGAGGAACGTTGAATACGTTTTGGGAGGCTGCTTGTTGTTCCTCGCTGGTGTTCCTGTGCTTTCAATATGGTTACTAGTGTATCGGCTGACTCGTTATGGACCAGCCTAAGGGGTTCAAGTGATTCCAACACTTCATTTTAGTTCCCTGAGCGAATGGAATTACATAACTGACTTGCTTGGTGAATTCGTAGCCACCTTTAACAATCAGTGGTGCCCAATAAGGGCTCGTATATTTGATAGGTCACCGATGATCGATCAGTCCTGTCTGAAACCCCGCAGTTTGGGAGTTTATTGGGCACCAGTTAAGCCCATAAAATCTTGTCACGGGCTCTAATTATCCTTCCGAGTAATGAGGAGAAACAATAGCTAATCAAATTCTAGCTTTGCTAAACAATAGGATAAATGTGTTATGGAGGATGAACTTCTGCCTAGGCTAGGGCTGAGACGTCAACCCAAGGCGCAATGATGCACCGCCCAGCTAGGTGTTAGGAGGCTGTGCATGACTAGGATTACAGAGTATTAGAAAGGATAGATAATCTGACTCGTTCTTCTGTCTGTACTTTCTATCCATCCTGAAATGCCTTCTGATCATCACAAGAACCTTCCTCGCAACTATGTTCCAACGCCGCCCCTCACCGAATGCGGGGGTTCTCTGGACTCAGGACGGGCCCCCCAGACATATTCAATAGCTTCTAGTTATAGTAGCCCATATGCGAGCACATTCAAAATTGCTGACCGCTCCGCACGCGGTCAAAGCCTCGCCAGCAGTGGTCCAAGATACCACACGCCGGATTTTGGTCCGACGATGGATGGTATACCTGAGATACAGCAACTAACAGACGCAGTTTCCAACAAGCTCACTTCATTGGACTATGCTCAATTATCCAAGTTGAGGGACCGGCTTGAAGCCGCCAAGCAAGAGGTGGATATACAACTCCAAGAGTCTATCACAGCCAGCAACGGACTGCAATTACCGAATTCCATACCTTCTAGTTACCCTGATCCCCTTCTTTTGGGACCATTTTACTGCCATATGTGCAAGGAAGATGACAGGATCTACCCGGAACTTTCTTCGTTCCAACGACATCTCAAAGAGCATGGTTTTCAGAACTGGGAATACCATTGCCCTGAGCCCGATTGCACTCTGGCTGTACCACAACTATCGGAGATGATGGAACATATGCACAATTTACACCACCAAAATCTGACTTACTATCGGATAGCACAGAACAGAACCGAAGTCCCATGCCCAAGATTTTGTGAACCATGCTCTTATCCCACAGCCAACTGGACGATCTTTTATCAGCATGCGCAGGATCCCCACTTGAAGTGGCCTGAAAATCCCAAGTTGCCAGACGAAGGAAAAAGAGGATACTCGACCTACCCCCAGGGACAGTTGGAGCAGAAGCGCACACGCGAACATGAGAATAGATACATCGTTGATCCAAACATCCCAACCTCGAACAGGTGCTCGCGGTGTAACCATAATACCGCCAAATGCCGAATATGCTGTTCTCTGGCAGGGCTTGACCAGTGGTGTCATATATGCCACCATTCAGTTGCTCATGAAATGGGAGCCTGTGTGATAGCCAGTAAGACTCTCTCTACTCCTATGATAACCAGATGAGTTTAATAAATCGGCAAACAGTCACATCCGCCTACAGCGAAGGAGTGGGCATATTTACTGCGATTAGAAAAAAACATCGCACGCGCCAGTGGGCCCAAAATTTTGAACACTCGCTCTTACGCGGCCGTACTGAGATTGAGTCTCTGTATAATCAGCATCACCAAGAGCTTGGTCTGGAATATGAACACGGTGACAGGAGTGCTCATGAGCAGATGAAAGATATCACTATCTCGCTGCAAGGATTTCTGCTGAGATACCTCCGCCAGGCGAAGGAGAAAGACGCCGCTTTGGAACTGGCGGTCTTAGAGATGGAGATCGAGCAGGTCCGGGTTCGGGCCCTTGCGGTTATGGGAGATTTGTACAAGCGTCTCTCGAACTCATCATCTGTTCCATGGAAGTCACCCATGAATCTAACCGAAGAGGACGACTCGGACGGAACAAGTAGTTCACTGTTTTATGGTCCTGGTGTGATAGAGCGAAGTTTGGGCATCGTTAAGCAAGGATGGCAATTGTCTCTTCCTCAAACCTCCCACTCCTCGGCTGAATTCTCAATTGCAACAAATACCACGAGTCTGGAGCCTGAGCAGGACTCCATAGATGCGGGGATACCCGGGGGGAACAATATGGACCACATTTTGGACGCAGCTCATTATTTCGGGGAATTGGACCAGCTCGAGTTTCAAACCGCGCAGACTCTCGGCATAGAAGATGGTTCATATATTGCGATTCATTATCCCGGTGACGGCATTAAGTGTCTTAGGAATTGGCGCACTGCGCTGGCGTACTTGGAGTCTCGGGACTTTTGTGGAAGCACCATGAGCATTTTGATCGAAGACGAAGACCGGGATGGTGTTGCCAAGGCATTCCATGTATCATTGGATGAGATCGACAGTTTGATCCAGACTATTCTGGACACACTCGATGAGGAGTTGTTGAAAGCTTCGACGAAGCGTTGGATGCAAAAGGTGCTCAATATTGAGGACAGGGCGCTCTCAAGCTATGATTTGGTGGGAGTTCTTCGATCCCTGTGCGGAATTCTGTCAATTGGGCTTGTTTCATTCTCTGGCTCGCATGTGTGTCGGTTTGATGCGAATTTATGGGGTAAGGAGGTGGAAAACATCACTGTCGGTCTCGAAGGATACACCTTCAAACCACGAAAGCTGGCTTGCTTAGACAACTTCATCGGTGGTCCTGCATGGATTCTAGGGAAGGCCGCTACTCCATCTAAGGGAGTGAAGATATCTTTGACCCTCCAGGACCTTGAAGAGTTGTGGGGACCAGTCTCACTGGTGGGGGGTACTGCAGATGAAGCGCCAGTCATTCGAACAGAGAGAGGATTTATTGTCCCACTTCCACGAGAGCAACAATCTTCCTCGTCCGCATCTCCATTGTCTGGCGAGATTGAGTGCCACTGGGTGACAGAGATTCCACAGTACATCTCCGATGAAAATTCGGATACTGGAATTCTTATTCGCGAGACATCTAGGATATTAATCGGCACAAGCACTGCTATTGAGGATGGGCTTGTCGTCAATGAAAAGTGCAAGGCGTCAATGTCGGTTATTGGGCAGCAAATCGCCTATCGACTCCAGTACCCCGGAACATGCAAATCAAGATATGTGAGTGATGGGTACGAACTTCAGTTTGTCGGCGGACAATATATCACAGCCGGGCTCATGAAGAAATACAAGCGGATCCCAAAGCGTACACTCAAGGCTATGCTCATCGCAGACTGCACGAGACCAGATACCAGGCTCGTGCCACTTCTAAAACTCCGTGTTGGATTGGAAGTAAGTGCATGCACTGGGAACGCCCAGCGAGTCACCCTCTGGGATGCTCTCCGCTTCTCCCAAACAAGCACGCCAATCACAGATCACCCGACACAATGCGCCCACAACGTCGGCGACAAGAGTTGTATAAGCTCATGCTGGACAAGATGGCAATCGGTGGATGAGATAGATGCTATCGACCATAAACCCGGCAAGAGCCAGCTACTCACCGGTGTCGAAGCCCGTCGTGTGATTATAAACTCTATACTCGCGCTTGAGCATTCGGGTGTCGATGGCGATGGGAACCTCCAAGTATCCTGGCCCTTCAGTAATAGCCCCGCCAATTGTCTTGTATTACCATCTACACCGCAAAAGTCTCATAACTGGTTCCGGGTGGTAAAGGATACGCGGGACACATCGAGCTTTGCTGTCTTCAGTCAAAGATGTCTAGTGTTCCCGGAGGAGGGAACAACGCGGCCATGCTCTATGACATGTAAGGACGATCAGTTCAGTCCGCTTCAAACTACGCTTTCCACGCGTATCTTGGCACCTACGCAAAAAGGGTCAGAGTCTGGACTGCTGGTAGGCGTCAAGTTCATAGTAGGGGACGCACACTTGACAGTCACGAAAGCAGTAGAGGACCAGTTGGCAATCATCGCTACCGTTAGCATGAATCCTTTAAACCCTTTACGGTATCGACTCCGCGAGATATTGCCAGATGCCCAAGCCTTTGATTTCAAGGAGCACATCTGGCCGGATATCATAGGAGGCCACTCTGTTCCGGTGTTTGTTCACTGATAGTACTTGGGGAAATTCTGGAATTTTTTTTTGCGCCCACAAAAGCCAGTAGGAACACAGCTCGCTCGGGGAATGTACTTCAAAGTTATCGAAGCTCTTTTTTGTATATGTTACCAGATATCGAATATATCATTACCAGACTAACCTGGGAACATATTGTTCGTACTTCCTTTATCGTTTATCGTTTACCGCTTATCGCTTATCGTTCATAATTCCAGGCTCCCAACTCTCCCCAGCCTCCATACCTACATGTATGTGATTGGAATATGCCTCGTCGATTTCACAAGAAGTCCAGAAATGGGTGCAATCAATGCAAGGAGCGTCGCGTCAAAGTGGGTGCATAACTGTCCGACATCTCCCACTTGACCAGAACCGATATTGACAGCACCAGTGTGACGAGACACGGCCGTTATGCAATGCGTGCACTGCTCGGGACCTGCCGTGCATCTATAGCACACCTCGTGCTCGGAGATATTCTGTAACTGGTGGCTCTCCCAAACCAAAGTCCAATCCACCGGCTAAGCCAATCTTCGTATCACCAAAATATGATACCCGAAATCTGCTGCTTATGCACAAATTCTCAACCGAAACCTATAAAAGCATCTGTGGCGACCGCTCTGATATGGAGGATTGGTAGGTTCTGATACCCAACCTTGCCTTCAAACATGAATTTCTCTTACATGGCATCTTTGCCCTCGCCGCACTTCACATTGTAGCCACCACCTCAGACTCAGAACAAATTCTACCCTACCTAGACACCGCACTGCAGTGTAATGAACTTGCCTTTACCCCCTTTAGAGAGGCACTAGCCAATCTGACCCCCATTAACTGCGACGCTGTTTTTGCCCAGTCAGCGATCGTTACTATCATTGGCATCGTTTTACCTCGTCTAAACGCCCAGCATCGCGGTGAATCTTTCAGCATGATCGAAACTATGATGACTGTTTTCGAGCTGGTTCAGGGGGCAAATAGCATTTCACAAATTAGCAAGCCATGGCGACAGGCAAGCTTCTTCTTGAAATACGACTGGACAGACGACACCTCCGCAATAGACCCCGAGATGGCTAATGCTATTGCACAACTGCGAATGCTGAATAGCTCATTCGAAAACACAGATCTGGCACAATATAACATCAACCAGGAAGCTATTGACTCCCTACAAGACTCCTTTGCCAAATTCACGCATTCGTCGCATCCTGCACCTATATTGGCTTGGCTCGCCTACGCCAAGAGGGAATTTGTGGATGGATTACGCGCTCGTGGGCCATTCCAGTTGCTGGTCCTCATGAACTGGGCAGTTCTGTTACATGAGTTAGGGGCCAACTATTGGTGGGCCAAGGGCTGTGGGGAGGCACTAGTGGCTGAGTTATCAAGTGAGCTCAAGGACCAGGATGAAATGTGGAAATCAGCATTGCAGTGGCCGCAGAAAAAGGTCGGAATTTGATGGATACCAAGTTAAATTGACTGAGTACCTATTCTCAGATAGACCATATTCTATAAAATCCGATCCAGTGGACATGCAAGGATATACATATGAACGATAAACGATATACGATATACGACAGGGAGCCAACGAATTTTTCTCATTCTTCCACAGTCTTCACTATATTTATTCAACTTGTCGCTCAGGAATTATTTAAGTTTCCTCAATAATCGTTCAAGTATTTACGAGAATGGACGCTGTGCCTTCTGACCAAGAGCCAACTCCGAGCTCCCCAGTCCCAGACGAGACCTTAAATCGTTCGTTTTTACAAACATTCAGCATTCTCTCGGCCCTATGTGCAGGAGTATTTGTCGCTGCACTTGATGTCACTATTATTACCACGGCCTTACCGTCGATCGCCGCCCATTTTCACTCAAGTTCCGCCTACACATGGATCGGCAGCTCCTACATCCTAGCCAACACGGCCACCGTTCCCGTCTGGGGCAAATTATCGGACATCTGGGGTCGAAAGCCGTTGCTTCTAGTTGCGACAGTTATATTCTTCGCCGGAAGTTTGATTTGCGCAGTCAGCGATACGATCGCACCGTTTCTGTTTGGTCGGGCCGTGCAGGGGCTAGGAGCGGCCGGGCTGATAACCCTCGTCAACATTTGTGTCTGTGATTTGTTCTCTCTCCGAGATCGCGGGCTCTATTTTGGCCTGCTTTCTGTCGTATGGGCCCTCGCTAGTGGAGTAGGTCCAGTCCTCGGTGGTGTGTTTACTGAAAAAGCAAGGTGTGTATGCTCAGTATAGCTATTTCCTGCCAGTTCAACGTTCAAAAGCGCTTTCCTTACATGCTATGTTGCATGCAATTGACTTCTTCTAGTTGGCGCTGGTGCTTTTGGATTAATCTCCCAATCTCTGGACTCGTGTTCTTGATACTATGGTTCACTCTCAACCTCGAGACCCCCAATACCCCAATATGGAGTGGCCTGAAGGCAGTCGACTGGACTGGATGCTTGTTCGTCATTGGAAGCACCATCATGCTCTTGCTAGGTCTCGACTTTGGGGGTGTCACGCATCCCTGGAACTCAGCCACAGTGATATGTCTCATTATCTTTGCCGGTGTGGTTCTGGGTCTCTTCGTCGTCAACGAATGGAAACTAGTCAAGTACCCCGTCATCCCTCTAGCGCTGTTCAATCATCGCTCTGGTGTCGCTTCCTTCCTGGTCTGCTTTTGCCATGGCTACATCTTTATGGGCGAAGCATATTATCTCCCCCTATACTTCCAAGCGGTTCTCGGTTCCAGTCCCATTATGTCTGGGGTTTACATTCTCCCGTTTGTCTTAACTATCACCGTCTCAGCTGCATTGACTGGACTCTTCATTCAGAAGACTGGACTCTATCTCCCAGCGATGTGGCTGGGGCTAGTCACTATGACCCTGGGAGTGGGTTTGTTGATTAACCTCGATTTTACCGCCAATTGGGGTAAGATAATGGGTTTCCAAATCATTGCCGGCGTTGGTATCGGTTTGAATTTTGAGGGGCCATTGCTGGCTCTCCAAGCAATCGTCGGGACAGAGAATGATGCGACAGCCACTGCCACCATTGGATTCGTAAGAACCCTGTCGACGGCGATCTCGGTCGTTATCGGAACAGTTGTGTTCCAGAATCAGATGGCAAGAAAGGGATCACAATTGATTTCTGCTCTGGGAGAGAATATAGCCAGTCTGGTCTCAGGAGCCGCAATAGCTAATATAGGGGTCATCGATACACTCCCCTTAGATCAAAAGCTCGTCGCACGGGAGGCCATTCACGAATCTTTAAAGACGGTCTGGATTATGGTGAGTCTCGATTCATAGCATAGACAACGCAATTCTAACTAGAACTGCAGTATGTTGCATTTGCAGGTGTGGGCCTGGTGGCAGGGATATTCGTCGAGGGCCGTCATCTTGACACCGAGCATAAGGCACCAGTGCTCGGTCTGCGAGATAACGATGATCGTTGAAGGAGTGGGGTGCCTCGTGTTGCTGGCGAACATGATCTAGACATACTACTATTTACACTGTTCACACTTAGAGGAGCAATGATACATTTCCAAGACATGGTCGATTTAAATAACTTCATTATATTTGCTTCTTCGTTAGAGCATTCATTTGCAGAGGTCTTCCTCGACATCTCATTTCACATATACGATCTCTACAACTTCACTTGTCCTCGCTCCTGAGGAGCCGCGCAGCAAGTCGGCTCGGGGTGCAAAATTGACTTGTTGAAAGACTGGCTCGAAGCTGGCACGTCAAGTGCAGGATTCTTAGTGAAGAATCCATCCGGCTTGAGCATCACACTGACACGCTCCACGGGCATAACGGGGAAGTCTTCAATACGGGGGTTGTGAGTGAGACCGAAAGCTGGGGACAGTTAGCTACTATTTCAAGGCATTCTGGATGGGATAACATACTGTGCCAGAGAACAACGTCCTCGTTTTCGACCGGATCATTTCGTCCAGCCCACACTTCCACACCTTCGGACTTCTTGCTTTGGTTTGTGAACTCGCCGGCGGCGAATAGCTCATCATCTTGATATTTAGTAACCCAAATAGGACGGGTAGCGAAGCGGGCGCGCTTCGAGCCAAATGAGTTCGGGTGTGCGAGGAGCATCTGACTTGGGCTGGTTTGCAGCTTGTAGGCGATGGGATGGTGAGTTATGGGGTTGACGATGGAGTCGTTCCGGATCTTGAAGACGCGGTGACGGTCGACGCTGGTTGAGGCGCTACCGCTAGCCTTGATGACATTTTGTTCGGTGGTGTACCCGACGAGCCATGGGTTGCTATCATCTTCCGGCATGGGGACGCTGTCTTCGTAGTAGATTGTATTTTTGTAGCCGTCGATAGCAGGATCGATACGGAGGGAGAACATGTGCTGGTGGAATGGCGCCATAACGCCTGGTCCGACGTTCGTGCCCCAAGGAACGGTTTGGCCGTTCTCATTATCGAAGGGTACTGTTGAGAGGATACCGGTTGCGCGTACCTCGAGCTCAATGTTGGCTGCTTGGTCGAGGATAAAAGCGAAGATATATTCGTAGTTCGCAACGGTGCAGATCATCTGAACCACGAGTTGCCGGTTACGGACAACAGTTGCAGCACCGGTGCGGTAGTTAGTGTGCTTGTGTTGCAAGCCATTATCCTGCTCGTGCATGCAGATGACGTTCTTTAGTTGAATTGGCGCTCCCTGTGCATCCGTGCGATAGCCATCGAAATACTTGATGTGACCGAGACAGTCGCAGCCAAGACTTAGCTGGTTAGCTGTAATACCGAAGCCGACATCACCGACGTCAAAGGCTTGCTTGCGGTGGTAGGGAGCACGGGGGTCGCCGTAGGGGACTGTCATCTCGGAGAACGACAGACGGTAGAATGTGTTACGACCATCGTAGGTCACATTGTGCAGCACCAGACCTTCTCGGTTGTTGAACCCCACTCTGAAACGCCACTTCTGCCATGACACGGCATTACCGATGACATTGAATGATGCGCCCTCGGGTTGCTGGACAATGTAGGGCTTCAGATCAGTGCGCAGAGGCTCGTCTAGCAAATCATGCGCGTATTGCACGGTAGGCACCTGCTTCCAGGGCTGCGTTTCAGTGGTTTGAGTATCGGCCCCACCAGGCAGATAATCCATACGGACCAGTTTGCGAGTGATACCATCGAACACTGGGGAAAATTTGCATGGTACCGAATACTGGTTGTTCTGGGGGTGGTCTGTGGCCACAATGTACATGTAGCACTGGAACAAACGCCGAGTCTCCTGGGCATCCTCAGTACCGTAGATCCAGGGGTCCAAGCAGACGGTGTGGCCAGCGGGAAGCTTCAACTTTTCAATTTCGGCCTTCACAGCTGGGTGACTGAGGCAGAGCTCCTCAATTTCCATCATCTCATCGACGTCCAGCGGACCCTGGACGTCTTTGGGCAACTCTTTCGCTGACACAATGGACTTGGTGTCTGCGTTGATCAGAGCCTTGAAGAAAGACCCATTGTCCAATCGGTGGAAGAGCGCCATCAACAAGCGGGCGGGCTTACGCGGGCGCACTTCACCTCGGCGCTCAGCCTCGAGGTATGGAACAACCTCATGCTTGGCGGGTTCCTGGAGATCGATGCGTTTGTAGCGGAGTTTGACACCGGGGAAAGCAGATTCCAGAATGGAGACCGCCAATTGGATCTCCCCAGGTGTGATGGGGTCAAACGGGTGAAGGCTCGCCATTATGAAAAATGATTAGGATGATCTCTGCGAAACGGGGGACGGCAATGCATTTATATTCGCACGATCCCCGGTTATCCATGTTGATTTCCCTTTTGGGTAAATCTTTCGCGCTGCTGCTACATCCTGATTGGTCAGTTGGTCAGACAGCGCATCTTATACCCGAAATGGTTTAGCGCACACATTTCTGATAAGCGGGGAGTCCCCAGATTGCGGAGTTGAACAAATTTGGAGAATGATATGTTGATCAATCTTCCTCCATACTATCTCCAACTGCTACATTGTAAGTAGAAGGATTGTGGCCAAAACTCAAAAATGTAGACCTGGCTTGTTTTCAGTTTCATTATTTGAGTTGGTAGCTCTATATACATGTACGCATATGTGGGACCTCTAGGACCGCTATACAATCAAATTTATCAAAAGAAGAGTATGCTGCCCATGAATTCTAAGATCTTAGGGCCTTTAAAAAGCGCCAAAAATGATCGCTTTTGATGTTAGAAACAGCTTCCTTTTCACCTGTAACTTTAGACAACCCAGATGGGAATATATATCCGACGACTGAGCAACCAGCTACCCGAATTACACCACTTCGTATTTGACTTCTCGTCAAAAGGATCATCGATGCTTTTAATTAAGTGGGGCTATCGATAATAGACGCAGTTTGCAGCCTGCCATCTTGCATAGTGGCAGTTGCATCAACCCCGGGTCTCATAGCACCCATGATCCCAGCAACATGATGTGCAATAATAACAACGGTGTAATCTCTCAGATCATCTCCAAGAATATCTATCAGAACAGACTCTATTTGAACAGTAGAACAATTATAGTTGAAGATATAATCTTGAAAAATTGCCATATCTCTGGCTTATCAACTGTACGGCGCAAGCCGCTTGCTCAGTCATATGAAAGCCAACTGGCAAGCGGTCACATTCGACAAATTGGTAGAAATCAATGCTCCTCGACACTATGTTAGATCGGGGAAAACTTATTTTCTTGTTTATTTCGCTAATATATCATAAACTCATTGTTTCCCCATTGTAGATGATTTATTCTTTAGCGTATCCTAGCCGACCAATGTCTTCGGTCCCCCGATTGTTCGATGTATAATTATATTCGATGATTGTTAGGAATAGTCCCGTGGAACTAAAGTGAAATTATTGGTCAGTCTGTACCCTTTACCTGTTAATATTGGAAGCCTCGGTTAGAATAGATGGAGATATATATAGCACGTTGGGTGGCAAGCTTCGGTACCAGCAAACGGTAGCAATAAGAAGGTAACTAGAGTTATCAACATAGCTATCTGAGACCCCATTGCGCCCGTTGGAAAATTGGAAAAATGTAAAGAAAAGGAAAGAAAGCAATGACGTGCTCGATTACATTTATGAGACAAGTCAAGACAATCAGCTTGACCATGTGAGCGTTGAAACCAGAAAATCCGGGGTCGGTTAGAGCCGCCCAGTCACAAGGTGTGTTGTGGGCCAGGAAAGCGGAATTTATATTATATTGCACATTGAATATGTGCTTATAACTGTACTAATGTCGTCTCTGATATATGACATTGAAGGGAATAATCGGTATTCGATAGAAATCAGCCATATCCCCCAAAGAAGTGTGCCAAAACCCCAACCTTAGTACCACAATTTCGACAATATTCTAACTCATATACGAAGTACAATTACAGACCTTGGGTCCCCCGAAACATACCTTCTTGGTATTTGAATTCATTCCAAGGTTCTCGCTCTCCCCATAGACCCGAATAATTGGTTATACTCCGGATAGTAGACACCCCAACGCCACTATCCGATCTACCATGGAAATGAATATCTCATCTAATATTAGAAACAGTGTTCATACCATACTTACAAGCTTGTCTTAAGAGGTACAGCAAGTATAGAGAAAAAAGGTATATAAAGCCCTTCAAGATCTCATTGATCATCTGTGTCCATCCAACCAATACAACAATTTACTACACTTTCAATCTTCAATATTCCAATCATCATTTGTTTGAAAATGAAGTCTTCTGCAATTCTCGGTCTCTTTATTGTCTATGCAGCTACTGCTAGTGCGATTCCAGTGAAACAAAGAAATCATCAAGTTGACATCACCTTCATTGGTGCTGCCGACGCCCAGTTCACTCAAACCATCCCTACTGACGGGTCCACTGTCTCTATTGGTACGTCCCTTGTTATTTTATGCAGTTGAACAAAAAATATCCTAACTTTGTCTAGGGAACCCATTGAGTATCTCACACATCTCATCCAGCACTGCCGGAGTTCAGTGTACCTTCAATGGGATTGATCATAGCGTGACAATCGTCAATGGCGCTCAATGGGTAGATGTTGGCCCTCCCCAGACCCAAGTGAGTGCATCTTGCCAGACCCAGGGATCGGGTTCATCCCCTGCACCTCCTTCCACTGGGACCGACCCTACTGGAGATCACCCCCACGGGGATCAAGTGCATGTCACTTTCCTTGGAGCTGCCGATGCCCAGTTTACCCAGGACTTCCCCTCCAATGGTGAATGGGTTCAAATTAGTATGTCTATATATTCCATAATAAACAAAAGAAGACACTAATTGGTGTAGCGAACCCGCTGAGCATTTCCCACATTCAAACCAACACGGAGGGCGTCACTTGCGTCTTCAACGGCATTGACCACAGTGTTACCACTGTTGTTGGTACGCAGTTGGTCGATGTCGGACCCCCGCAAACCCAGGTGTCGGGTTCCTGCGCATGATGGTCTCTCCGGAAGGGGGATAGGAGGTCGCATTGTTTGAAGTCTTGCGTTGAGAAGGAAAACAAAGAAAGCAGAATAATAAGTACTGGATAGTATTTTCTGCTTTTAATGCTTTTACTATATGCTTTTTTGATTCATGTTGGAGGAAATAGCCCATAATACTCTGTTGATATACACTCCTTTATATAATCTAATCTCCATACATTCATTGAAATATATGTTGTTTACTCAAGTCCTTGACTCCTGCTGGACTTTCTCATATCGACCAAGCCACTTCAAAATCATTAAAATACTAATGGGATGCTACCCTTAAGCCTGTTTCACAAGAGTAGGAAAAAGAGGAGCGAATGTGAATCAGGGCTGGAATGCGACGCGAGGGGTAGATAGGGCATCTACCAACCTCAACGGGGACGCGTTGAACATGACTTCCCCAAGAGCTACACCTAGATTATTTCCTTCTATCAGTCTGTCTAGAAAATATTGAATTTAATATCCTACTCACACCAACTCGCATTCATTGAAATCTTTTGAAAATGCAGCCTAATTCACAGTCTTCCAAGGGTAGGCCAAGGAACCTCGGAATTCAGGGCTGCTACTGTCCCCTTCGAGCCCCTCCAAGGCCAAGTGTGAGATAGCATTCCAGAATGAAAAGTCCAGACCTTGTTAATTTCCCAAAGGGCTGTATAAAGCTAAGTCGCATCCCCAGATCGCACGTTGTACAACGACAACCGCCAACACAGCGCTATCGACATGCATTCCACCAACTGACCGCGCCACTTATTGTTTGGAATATAAAACTATTAAAGCTTTGATTTACCGCGTCAATTGCCGCCCTTTTCACTTCTCTCATAGCGTTTTCCATCGCGAGATTTGTGTGGTGCAATGCGGGGCGTGTCAATCCCAGTTCTTGCGGGCTTCGTCGGGTATACCTTTGCTGGCATCCACCGTCATGGGCATGGCCATCGTCATCGCAACTTGATTCCCCATGTTGAAGACCTGGCGTTGCGAAGTGCGGGCTGGGATAATGCGAATAACAGCCAAGACGATTTTGAGGTGGAATTGATTACCATCACGACCACAACCACAACCACGGTTTTTGGAAAATGTGCACCAACAAATACTCTTCACAGCACAATTACGCTTGTCAAAAATATCCCCGAGCCTACACCATGTACTCCTGCTCATGACATGCCCATTCTTGCGCCACAAGAGCCACATCAGGACCACTGGGATCAACTGCAGCCCGACCTTATTCTCTCCGCGCCGACAAACACAGCGCACGCTCAACCTCAATTCACTTACCCCGAGCATTTAGCCCCTAGGCCAATGGAGGTAGAGATGACGACTACCATCTTAAACACCCAAACAATTACCAAAACCAAAACCAATACCATAACGGTCACCATCCACCCAGAAGCGAGCAATATGCCGCTTGAAAACACACAACCCCAGAAACTCCCAGAAGCAGAAAGGGCACTTCCCCTTGCAGAAACGCTACCCGATATTTCTTTGGGAGAAAGAAAAGCCGTCCCAGCAAAGCGCCCTCGCCCACACAAAAGCAACGGCGGACCCATCAAAGCCGTACTAGATCTACCAGGCGAGGTCCTTCCGGATCTACCAGTAGTCAACCAGATCTTCCCAGATCCTAAGCCACACAAACCGACCTTAGTGGGCTGGACCACAATACCTCGAAAATTCTCTAGAAACGGATTTGGAGGACGCACCCCACCAAAAGGAAAAGGAACAGAGATACTCTACCGCGGCAACGTCGGCATACCGTGGGGAAGCAACATAATCACCGTCAGTCCGGCCGAAGCACACAAATACAAATACGTTGCACGGTTCACCGGGTCAAACAGCCAGCCCTGGACAGTTATTGTATGGAACAAGTACGGGCCTGACGGGAAGTTAACTGGCTGGTATGGCCACTCTGCTCTGCGATTCACTCTTGCGCCTGGTGAGACGCGGTTTGTTGCTTTTGATGAGGACTCTGAAGGGGCTTGGGGTGCTGCTCCTGGGGATCATTTACCTAAGGATCAATGGGGTGGATACTCGTGTACCTGGGGGGAGTTTACATTCGGTGATGGGGAGAATAATGGATGGTCGGGGTGGGATGTTTCGGCTATTCAGGCGCAGGCTGCTAATCAGCCTGTTCAGGGAATGTCTATTTGTCAGGCTGATGGGAAGAAATGCTCTATTATCACGCCTGGTGCTAGGAGGGTGGTTGCTGCTTATACCAAAGCGAAAAAGCATATTGATGGTATTGGTGGTGAAGCGGTTCCTGGGCCTGTGAGGTTGAATGTGGTGCTTGATTATCGGGGGTGAGCGTGGAGTTTTGTATATATATGCATGCATTTGGAAGGGATAGCGATCATAAACACGATTCATTCGTTTCGAACAATTGACGGTTTTGTAACAGGGTATACTTCATATGAAATGTGGGACGAAGGCGTTTTGATAGCCCTTACCTATCTCTCGACACTTCTTGAAAGTCCCAATGTTCATTAATGCATCGACGGAATATCAATCTGTTTGATAGTCCAGACTTTTCCACCCTGACTAGATGAAAGTCCAGTATAAGTAGCACCACCCGCAGTGCCAATCGTCGATCCAAAAGTAGTATCAGCCGAGGACAGAGTGATAACCGTATTCAAGTATTTCTGCGCAGCGATAGTTCCGGAGCAGTTGTCATTACACTCAGTTCCAGTGCCGTATCTAACTTAAGTCAGTATATTCCCCCTTCAAGAACCGAACCATTCCGGAAATTTACTTACCCTCGCATATACGGCCCAGAAGCGAGAGAGTAAGTTGAAAGCAGGGCACCAGTCTGACCATTTGTGACAGTCCTGCGGATGTCAGTTGTGATGCTTTTCACCGTCTTGGATTCACACTTACTGCTTCCATGTCTGTCCATCAGACTCAAGATTGTACTCAATCCGCACCTGGTCAGTTCCGCTCACGGGCGATGGGGGACCGTCCAGCTGGCCAAAGCCGCCAAACACACTGGCGCGCACACACCACTGGCCGGTGGTTGCTCCGCACCACGAGTTGTCAGGCCAGCTTTCAAGGTTTGTTTGGACCAGGTCGCCAGTCCCATTTGACATCTATGCTTATTAGTGACCAAAGCCCCTCTAGAAGAATGGAGGACTTACACCAGGCCAGAGGAATAGTACACCGTTTTGTGGTTCTGGTGCAGCTCCGGGGATCAGCGTCGTGACAGCGTTGATTATGGTCGACTTGGAGGGACCGAGCGAGACACTACCGCCCCAGTAGTCATCCCTCTTGACGATAGTCTCTAGCAGCCCTGCGCTGGCAAGGCTTGCAGTAGCGAGAAAAGGTACGATGAAGCGCATTGTGGTGATTATAAATGGGGAAATTGCAGGTATGCTTGTCCGAGTGGCTGAGGGTTCTTGTGCCTGCGAGACTTGAAGTATAGAAGAACTGATCAGCTTGAATAAACGATGCCATGAATACTCCAATTTATAGCTTTGTCATATAAGTGACAGGCCCGCATCTCTACCGGTGGAGTGGTGGAATTAACCAAAAGCGGAGCGCCTCCCGAAGCTCTTCAAGGCTAGATGTTTCACCTTAAAACAAGCCTCGCGCTAGGTTTATTGGTGATATAAGCCAACTGGAGTTCACGACAGCTCCTCATTGATGCATTAATTTCTGTCAAGTAGGTCCAGTCAAGACCGAGGCCCCGCATATGGAGTTTCTATTTACCTAACAAGATCTATTTGTGGTGTAAGCAGCGACAGTACTTAGAAGTCGAGTTATCATACAATATTTATGCAATATACAACAAGTTAGAAGTTCAACACGGTGCATAAGAATCTACAAAGCTGTTTCGCATCGGAATTATCTGGCACAATATTGCTATTTCATTCTACAAGACCAATATATAAACTTTAGAGGTGGATATCTCATTCCAAGTATTCCCCCTTAGTCTCGGCGTGGATCACATCAAACAGGGGTTTTGCACTAAACCATCCGGCCATCGGAATTCCCACTGTTTTGTAAGTGAATGCAGCATCAGCTTCTTCAATTTTTACCGTTTGGCCACCTCGTCCGGTAGCAGCTGCATCCGCTAGGAGTTGAGCGTAGCAGCATTTTTCCAGACTGACGAACCAGAACACTGTTTCTTCGATGGTGTTTCCGACAGTCAAAAGGCCGTGGTTTTGCAGGAGCGCTGCCTTTTTGTTACCTAGAGCTTTGGCAATGTTCTGGCCTTCTTCCTCGGCTAGCACGACTCCTTTGAATGATGAATAGAGAGCGAGGTCCTGTTCTCGTTAAACCTAGGGCTTCGCATGGGAGAGTATTGAAAGTAGGAGAACTTACATTGTGGAAAGCACAGGCATCTTGCGAGATGATATCGAGCGGTCGGCCCAGCGAGCAAAACGCCCGTCCGTGGAGACTATGACTGTGTGCCGCACAGTTCACTTCGGGCCGGGCTGCATGAATAGCGGAATGGATCATAAATGCAGCGGCATTCAGAATGCGATTCTCTCCGCCCGCAATGACGTTGCCGGCGTGGTCGACCTGGATTAAGTCTGATGCCTTCATCAGCTTGAATGCCGTGCCGAAGGGATTCACCCAGAAGGTTTCCGGATCCACCGGATCGCGCACGGTGATGTGTCCAGCGACGCCTAATGGGATGTTAGTTGTTAAATCAATACTTCACTACAGGGGTATACGTACCCTCGTCGTATCCTTTGTCGCCGAAGATTCTGAATGCTGCTGCGAGACGGCCTTTTAGATACTCTCGCTCCTTCATCTTATCCTCAAACACAGGCATTTTGGGGATTTGCATCTTGACTTTGGCCTTTTCGGCACCGGCCGCTTGAGATGACTGTGGTGCTTGCATACTGATAGTGTTTGTGTGGGTCTCGATAGTACTTGGAGGAGCCATGGTTGTTACGTGTAGGATTATGGAGGCACAAGAGAATTTATAGATGATATGCTTGTCAGTTTCCCCAATGACTCTTAATGCGGAGAAACCCCTCGAAGCGGGGTTGCTGATCAAACCTAGGCAGATGTTGGATTGGCCGAGCCGAGGTTGCATTTCTCCGCAAGGGGGTTCTCCTCGCATTAATCGCCACTCTAGGGCATGATGGTGATATATGAGGGTTGAGATAGACTAAACAGTACATGTTGAGTGGGATTGAAAAAGGAATGGCTAATATAAAACTGAAAGCAGACCGAATCGAATTGTATCATAGCACTTTAAATCATTAATGCGTCAAATCGTGAGCGTTAGATCTAGGAGATAGACCTTGATCTGTTGCTCCAGTCATGAAATCTAGTTTATGGATGTTCATAGTGGAAATAGAGGCCCCCGTTGAACCTCGGCCATCAACACCTCGAACAGTTTTCGGTCGGCTGTGCTGAAGGTTTGGCTGACCGTGTCGCGATGATGCGGAGATCCAACCAATGGCTTGAGGTCAGCTTGACAAAGAGTTCCCCCCACTGGTAGTGTACCAGTTTGAAAGTAATGGCGAATAGCCTTTGCCACGCATATTGATGGCGCTGTGAGTGTTGTGTGCTACATAAAAATGTCAGTGAAGAATCACTGGGGAGATTACCGCGAATAACTTACTCCCTCTGATTCTTGCTGGAGCAGCCCGGATCCTGCGAATATCTGGGACATGTGTTTGGCACTGGGGGCAGTTAGCTTGAACGGCCGGTAGAGATGAGCGAATACACACCCGTGGAGTGGAGTCACTGGATCCAGAGTGTTTGATACGAAGAGCATGGGATGAACAGTAGTAGTACCCCACGGCCCTAAGACCGGTCAGTCGCGAACGCATAGATGTCACAATAAGACATACCCGCGAAAGGGTGCTTAGCCCTGGCTTTCCATCCAACACAGCTCAATTGCAATTGCGCCCAATAATCACCGAGAGATTCACTGTCAGCCAGAAGACTAGACCATTCTACCTGGAATTGCTCAATATTCAGAGTTGTTAAATGTTCGGCATCCGAGCACATGATAGCAGCCATAGCGTAGAGATAATTATCCTGCGTCGTAGCACATTCCGGAGACCAAGGCCCAGCAATACTGCACTTGTTAGACGGACACGTGCCGAAGTGGCTCCCATGCTTGAAATCGGCCATGGGAACGGCATTCCCCTTGCCCAGCTCGGTCATTCTGTCTGCTAGGACGGGGAATGCAATGAGTGGCTGGTAGATGGCAACACGCTGGATATTTTTGATGTCCGTCCACGTTACAACCTCTGGTCCCCGTTCTGTAGATGCCATGACAGGAATTGAGGCGTTGAGAATCTGCTGCTCAAGCTGCCGGTATGCTGCCTTGATAGCCTCTGGACCACCCCCAATATAGAAGGGACATCCCACGGGCCCGGCCTCATTACAGTACCGGCCAAACCGATCAAATATGGCATCTGCGTCAGCAACAACATTCGGCCCTGTTCCTTGGTAGTACTTCACCATGTCGACTACGCCATCGAGAACAGCTCGTGTAACTCGCTCCGGGAAGAGCGAGGCAAAGGTGGTGCCAAGCAGGGTACCGTATGAGCGACCCCAATAGAGGAGTGGCTCTTCTCCGCGACGCCATCTAATCCGCTCCAATATTTGGTTTGCTTCTTCTAGTCCATGGCACTTTCTGTGGGTTATGTGGGCTCTTTGGCCCACCTTCTCACGCCATTCTCCATGGCGCTCAATGATAGTCAGCATGTCCTGCGCGACAAGTGGTGTATTGACATAAGACATCACGGACTCGTCTGCTCCTAGACTCGACATATCGAATACGGAACAACCTGAGTTGAGCGCTTCGGTCCGTTGCCAGTTTCTCTGTAAGGAATCCAGTCCACTTCCCAGCATCCCTTCCGCTGAGACTTGCAACTCCCAGTTCCTTTGGGATACGGGATCAGGGAAACACATCACTGGAGGTGTTGTAGATCCTACTCCACGAGGATCAAATCCGATAATATCAAAATATTTGTTCCCAGTCTCTTCTCCAGCCTCATGTGGGTCGGCTTCCGCATCAATGATCAGTTGGAGATTTCGACCCGCCACGAACGCCTGCATTGTTCCCGGTCCACCAGGTCCACCTGGGCTATGAGCTTAGATTATCATGTTAAGTCCAAATTCACGTACCGGGATTGATCAGAACAGCGCCTCCGTACCGCGGATCTGTGACGGGGACCTTGGCCGGCAATCGGACGATAGCCAGGGCGAATGTGCGACCTTTTCCATCTGTTCGCTCATAGTCCATAGGCACTTCCAGTCTCGCGCATTGGAACTCATCGCCGCAATTGTGGTACTCCAGTGACTGCGAAGGAACAATTTCGTCCCAAGTGACTGGAATTGGGATGTCGAAAGGCTCCACCACCTTCCACGAGGGGATTGGAACAGGCCAGACTAGAAGAATCAACACCACAGCAGTCAGGGGCAATCCCCATCGAGCATATCGATGAGGTGCCTGTCGTACCTTTGTCGGATAAGGCGGTAAAGGAGCGGATTTCACATCCATCACGCGAGAAAAACATCAAAACAAATAGATTTCACAGCCCAAATATCATAGATCAAGGGGAAATTTTCAGGCCAAAAGCCCAGAGGCCAAAGATTTTCAAAATGGTCAGAAATCAGACAAGTCAATATCTTTTCGAGATACCCCGGTCCCACCAAGTGGGGGTTTTCCCCCGATCCATACGCCTTACATTTCTATTCCACATTGGGAATTGATCTATCAAATTGAAATCCAATACATACGATTCGTTCAAATCAACTCCTATCAAAGATAAGTGCTGAGCAATAGGAGAACGCTTAAGGGTCAATGCACCTGCATAGGTCCAGGATCCCCCAACATCTTGCGGGCTGTGCAAGACGGGTTAAGTGCTCCAATCAAGTTGCAAAGCAAACCGGCACAAATACTGGGGAATTCGACTGCCACAGAGAACATGCAGAGGAGATCCAAAGCCAAGGTTGTATTCCGTACACACAGCAAGGCAGACATGCGGAGAATCAAAATCCGTAGGAGAATACCAGGCAACTGCCGTTGACAAGCCACTCATCTTCAAATCCCAAGGCCCGGCTAAAGCAAACGCACTTGATTCGACAAGGGCACAGAGTACGTGGCTCCAGGAAAACGCAAACAAAAAGAGCCTCATCAACATAAAAGGCAGAAAAGGTTTGCTCATCCTAGACTTCTTTGAAATCATACACCATGGCTTGCAAACTCCAAGACCACATCGACTCCCTCCAAACCCTTCCTCTCGCAGAGGGAATCCAAGCAATCGCCGACCTCATCCCAGGTCTGACTAGCGTTATCCCCCGCGAATACGGGTACTTCGTTCAACACCCCGACTACGAAGGTATCGGCAACCTGAACGACATCGGCACACTCTGGCTGAAGCTCGGATCGCAATGCCATGATGACCACGCGCCACTCGAAGTGCGTCTCGTGCACACGTCCATGGACGACCCGATCTTCGAAGTCTACGGCACTAGCTATGATATGCTGAAGGAGGGACTAGCTGATGGAACCGTGACCCCTCCCCCGCCCGCTAATTACTGCGGCTGTTGTCACGGGGAGGCGAGCGCTACGATCTTGAATCGTTTCCATGATCGCCACGGTCTGTTTTTCACCGAAGATGAGTACAAATCTATCTGGGGGGATGAACCGAATGCAGGACAGACACTTAGTGGGTGGACCGAAGAAAAGGGTTGGACAAAGTGTAGTATCAATGCAAGCAAGGAGCAGATTGAGGAGGCTCTAGCGCGGAATCCGGCTGTTGGGATTCCAAGCATGCTTTGATCTAGGATGATCTAGGATGAAACTAGGAAAAAGGGGAGTGATCACGATATGGAATAGTTCACATTCAATGTTTCACATAATGAAAATAATATTCAAGTCATTACGAATACCGTTGCTTTCAGAGATTTTGCAACGCCCCCGTATGTACACGGACAAGTCAAGATTGAAATGAAAATCCCCAGCAGAAAACCCACCAAGTCCCCTCCGATTTATCCCAGATCAGATGGTAAAATAAAGATGTAATCATCGTCGGGGCTTTGTTTCGGGAGCTCGCTCAACTAGGTCGGAACCGCTTAGTCGTGGCTGCGAGGTCGCTTTCGAGGGTTGATAACCCGGCGACCAAGGGATTCGGCGCGGCTAGCGATAGAATCCTCAACCCGCTGGAGGTATTCGACAAAGTCGTAATAGTTATCGAAGTCCAGATGGGTCTTATCAGCCTCATTGCGAACCCTGTTCATCAGATGTTCAAAGAGATGGCGCATGCGATCACGCTCAGAGTCGTTATTCGGGAAATGCGGCACCCACTGCTGCATCCAGTTGGAAAAATCAGTCACAGACTGGGCCGGTCGTTGATAGCTATCCATGTAGCGGGACCTGGCGACATCAGGGTAGACTCCATTCTGGAGTTGGTGAATAAGAAAAGTGCAGAAAGCGCCGTAGGAGATCTTCTCGACAGGTACGTGACGTAGGTGTCGCTTCCACTCATCCTCGATATTAAGGGCAACGTGCTTAAGCGCCCGCGCGACCTTTCGCTCCTCGATCTTGTACCAGTCCGGATATTTATCAAAGTGTCGTTCTAGACCCATAGAGAAATTCTTGAACTCTCCCAGAGCCCGTCCGTTGTATACCGGCACATTGGGCGGCGGTGGGGAGAGGGCTGATGATTCGGGATGAAAAGGTCGGGCGGAAGGTTGCAGATTGGAACGAGGTTCGGTTTTGATGACGGTGGATGCGGCGGGGGACCTGGTAGCTGCTGCAAGGGCTCGCAATTGCTCGAGATTCAAACCGGACACGAGGCTAGTGGGTTTAGGCGAAGGCTTGGATTCGGACGGCTTAGCGTCGGAAGGACGACGATCAGGAGCTTGAGTCAGAGATGTGGTAATCTGATCCGATCGGGCAGGATGAACATTCTTTTGGGCATCATCAATACCAGCCTTGCTGTTCTGCTTGGGCTCCGTTCTTGGAGTCGAAGCTGGGGTAGCCGGGGGAACTTCCAGGGTGGTAACGGCCAGAAGTCGAGTGCGAGCCCGTTCCAATTCCCTTTCCTCCTCTGCAACCTTTTGTTTAATATCAATGAGCTCGCGCTGCTTCTTCAGTCTCGATAGTTGAGCTTGAGCTTGACGAATTTCCGCCTCCAGGTCATCGGCAGAGCCGACAGGCTCTGCAGGCTCAGGATCGGTGTTTTGAAACATCTCATTCAAACTCTCCCATCGCTCTTGAATTCGATGGATGTTGGATTCAGAGCCAGTTTTGTTCTCTGGCTCTGACATGGTGATTTTTTTAATCCTTGCGCGTTGCAGATAAGATAGTGTGCGGAGAAAGAAAGTTCCGAATTCCGTGAAGAAAATCACATGTCACACCTAAAGCAGTAACCCTTCAGGCAGGTGCACGATGTCAGAGTGATGAATGTTTCAGGTGTCTCGGAGTTCTCACGAGTTTGGGATGAAAGGGTTGCTAACGGTTACTTACTCTCGGCGTCTCACTTAGGTCGCAAATACCCGTCACCTGGGCAAGTGCGTCCAAATCTAGTACAAGCAAACACAGTAATTATATGTGATGCATCAGATTCCCATAAAAGTTAAAATAATCCAGTATTTAAGGGTCGAGCGGCTAAGGAATATCTTCTACTTGGCCTAGGCAAACGAACAATACACTCGAAGCAAAGAAATTAATCAAGGGAATACCTTGATTGTATATATTGGATGTTTATATAGCTACGGTGAAAAAAGAAAGCAAGCGTAAACATCATATTTGGATCACACTGGGTTGGACTGATTTGGGTATATATTCCTCTTTGTCGGTTAGGAAAAATACATATTGACTAGCACCCGGCGGATTGGAAGGATAAGATCCTAGCATTGTGATAATCTGTAGATATTAGCACCAGGCATTAGAAGAATATCGCCTAACGGACTGCAATTTGATTTGCAACGACTATACGGAGGACTACGACGATATACTCCCGACTTGGAACAAACTGCATACGACCATGACTAGATACATGGGACGCATCAGATATAAAATCCGGGTGAAACCGTGATAAAACACGAAGGATAATGGAATGACACGCTATCCATTCAAAGATGAGTTATTATATTATATGTACAGTAAGTTTACACGCAACTAAGCCTTTTATTTACCCGGAGACCCAAGCAGACACAAAAACTTCTCATCGGGGGTCGAAGCCAGTACATTCTTGACCAAGTGCCAGACGTTCAGATCATAAGCCTCGCCAATGTGACCAACAGGATCAAACGGACAAGTATCCTGAATCCAGCGATTGGTCACGCCGTCCTCGTGGACGAACGATGTCGTTGGGGGAGTAACCAGCTCATCGTACTTGGACGCAATGATAGTAACACTGTTACCGGGCTGCGCAATAGGGGTACCGTCATTCAAGCGTTTAATGGCAGCGCCATCAGGACCGAGATCATCACAAGCAGGGCAGCCGAGTGTATGCAGTACGTCGCTCACGGCCTCGCGCGATGCGTTGCCGAACAAGTATGCGATATTATAGATATTGGCAAACGTCGTGGCATGGGTAGGGGGAGCGATAGCCGCGATCTTGTCGACGAGATGAGCGACACCCTCAAACTTGGGCACGTAGAGAGATTGGAAAGCGCCCTCTGAGTGGCCAACGAGGTCGACTTTGCCCTTTCCGGTCTTTTGCACGACTTCTTTGATGTACGAGGCAATTTCGGGGGCGCTTTCGTTGATTGCCTTCAAGCCACCAAGAAATGGGAAACCATCGTATGCGCCGTATGTGATCGCGTACGTGCAGAAACCTTGCGTTTGCAGCCAGTACTGCATGTAGTTTAGGTCTTCATAGTATGTTGCGCCAAGTCCGTGCAGGAGGACAACTGGGTTGTAGGAGCTTTTGCAGGAGAAATCGTTGATTCCTGTTGCGACGGCTGTGGTAGCCGCGAGGGCAGAGAGCGCCAACTTGGTGAATGAAGGCATGGTGTGGGTTTGGTGTGTCAATTGTAGCATGGGGCCTTATGCCTTTTATGAGGAATCTGTAGGGACCCACATCTCATCTCCTTTTTTTTCCACCTCGACCAAACTATCGATTGTTGATCGATCGGGCCTGGATGTGACTGGTTGGATCTGCCGATCTTTGTCGGAGCCATGTCGAATTCGGTATAGCGTCAGGGCGGACCCTTCATTATCCTCCAATCAGAGGCGGGGGTATAGATGAATTCTGGATATATCATTTCAGCTGCAGGCATATATTGAGTCCTCCATACTCCGTACTCCGTGCAGGAGTAATTAATGATCCGTGGTGATTCTCATTGAGATATTTATTCGGTCAATCTAGCCGGAAGCAGCGGAGCATCCTCCGTACCCAGCTCGTATACTATTGGAACCTGAACCCGAACAATGTCTATGTATAACTAGCGTTCAGCACAGCAGTTATTGTGTGTTCAGATACCAATAAATCGTGACGGAACATCTCATCTATACGGAGTATTTACGTCCACACTACGGACTACCCGTATTCAGTGGCGAGGATTCCTTTGTAGACAACTCTTCCATGGCACTGCCCCAAAGCCCAAGGGCATGCCGCCTCTCAACAAGCTGCAGCACTTCAACCATGAATCGGCGCTCTGGACCTCCATCTGGGAATGCTTCCCAGGCTACTCGAGTGGGGAATGCAAGACGATTGATCATGTTGCCCGGCGCAGTGAGGATATAAAATTCCAGCGTGCGGCAGATCCCACAGGCCAAGTCGTATTGTTCTAGGGGCGAGACACGATCCTCTGGTCGAGTGTCGATCGAGGACAGAACCAATCGCACTGCGTAGTAGATACACATGGTTTGTGCGAGTAGCAGGTTCGGGTATGTAAATCTTGTTGGGGTGAAAGTAGCCCCTGTGCGGAGGTCGCGACGTTGGAGAATTGGGAAGCCCTGGTCACCGTTTTGTTCGGCTTCCTGTGGTGGTCCGTCAGGATATGCGACAACATACTCTTTGTACCATTGATAGAAGCGGTCGGTGAGTTGGCCTATTCCGTTCCAAATGGTAGACTGTTTGACAGCCATTTCTTGTGCGCCCATGTGAGATGTGATTTTTGCTGCTTTGAAGGCATCTGACATCGCCAGTAAACCTGGAACCTCGGTGGCTAGGTCAAGCAGACTGTGTAAAATATCCTTTTGGCTCATCTCTGCTGACCACGGAATGGTCTTCCACTCTTCCCGGGCTAGGAATGAGGGTTGTCGAGCTGCCAGAGCGGCGCCAATCTAAGCTGTTAGATTGAAAAGAGGCAATTACAGGAGGTCTGTGGTCTTACCCAATAAGGACGGAGCTCTGTAAATATAAGATGTTCAACACCATACATGTGATTTTCTGGCCCACGATGTTCGATCAACCGCATTGCTCCCCGGACATGAGCCGAGACACCGCTCTGGGTAGTGCGTTCAACGCTCTGCTAAAGTCAGCATTGGCTGGGGAGAAAACTGTTTCCATGAAACCAACCTCGAAAGCCAGCAAGAGAATCACGGTCACCAGTGTTGATTCAGCTTTGCATTTTTCAGGGTCTAGCAAAGCATCCTGCAATGAACGTAGCACGCGGGGGTAAAGTCGGAATCCGGATGCCTCGATCTGCTTATTCTGCACAGAACGACCAAAGAATGCCACCGAAACGGCCTCAAACGCATCTGTAATAAGTGGTGAGAACATTCGAATCCCGGCGGCAGCTCGCAATGCACCCGCTCTTCCGGATTTCATATCCACTTGTGGGCTAAATGCATCCAAAAATCTCTCGACAAACACATCCACCGCGGGCCTTTGCATGCTCATAACCGAGATCGAGCCAGACGAGTCGGAGTCACTGCTCAGCGAAACACGCTCGAAGTCGCTATCATCGTCATCCTCAGCGTGCAAATTATTGAAGTCTTCATCTGGTGAATTTAGTAACAGACGAGTCCGAACGGGCAGAGTTGACGAAGGGCTCAAAGGATAATCGTAGGATTCATACGCTGGAGATGTTAGCACAGGGAAATTGTTGAGCAATTGTTGTACCACATACATTCCCTGCCTTCCCATGGTCCCACAGGGACCAAATTTTTCTTGATGCCGACATGTGCAGTCCGAATATTGCGAACCAGATTATCCACTAGCGGGGTTGGTGCAGATCGAATAGACTCAAATAAGCTCTCTAGCTGGTCTAGGCGCTTGATATCCTGGACGCCAGATCCTGCCAAGACGTCAGTAATTATTTCCCATCCACATGACGTTGCCACGCACAGGAGTGAGCGGGGCCTGCAAGCATACCATCCCGTTTGTCATCTATTCTTTCCCGAAGCTCACGGATCTCCGCCCGCAGGTTCCGAATCTCCTCCGCTTGGCTGATAGGGCGGGCTTCTTCGTCGGGGACGTGCTCATACACGCATTTGGATGGGTAGCCATGAGCACAGCAGGCGTGGCAAGGCTTGACTCGGTCACACTGACAGCAGGATCCACGTTAGCCTTGCGGGTGGTGCGTTCAGGACCAGTGGGACGCATCATATGGGTACGGGAGCGTCCCGACCCCGAGGGCGATCTGGGCACGATGGGGGGTAACGGACCTTGACTTTGCGGAGCCGGCAGACTTTGCAGGACCGTGACTGGCGGTTCGGAACCTTTCTGGCTCGTGAATCAGGGACAATTCGCGTATTAATGACCATGGTGGCGCGGTAAATGAACCTCAGAGGGGGGTGTAAGGGAACGGCTCCTCATCCCGAGCCAACGACACGGCAGGATTTAGGCGAGCCAGATTTGGGACTTGGAGTCCGAGATCTCCCTGCTTGAGCGGTGGACCGCCTTGCCCTCTCTTGGTATTGGCGCAGGCTAGTCAACACCTTGGCAAGCTTTGATAGGTGCATCGAGGTGAGGAGGTGGAGTATGAATCCGCCATTCCGAATGGGCCTGAATTGAGTGGTTTTCATTGGATTATATTGATATTGCTCGACATAACACTGCTGGCATGGATTGAAGCATTGGATGCCGGTCAAAATGGATGAACTGCATTCTCAATATTGTGATAATACGGAGGTCATTGTAAGTGCCCTACATATGCAAAATGGTAAGAATCACAACATCGACCCTCTTGGGTTTTATGTGTGTCACGTGCAGCGGCCTCTCCACCTTTGGTCTCCTACACTTTCCATCCTGCCTCATTGGCGTCTCAATATACGTATCTTAATATCTGATACGTCAATCACCATATTGCAACACTCAATAAATGCCCGTTTCTCTGGCCTTTCTACCGGCTAGACATTGAGAGGGGATCGTTTTGCATAGTTGGCGAATATCCCGAAAGACCTCCCGAAAGACGCCAAAAAAGACTCCCCGGAAGAGAAGAATTGTATACTATCGCCAACGTGCCTCTCAACATCCAGCAAGATTCAACCTTGAGACTTTTCCTCGACACACACAAGTTGGGCATAGATTGATAATAAGATAATACATTGAGAAAAGGAAAATCAGGAATGAAGCTGCCATACACTGTAAGTATAGGTACTTCACGAGGAGATACAAATCCTGCAGTTCCATGCTAGACAAGGAAGTATTAGACGTCCGCAAAATGACACACATAACACTCATCGTGCTCCACATCATTCCACAAGAAGCTCGTCTTAGGTTGATTGTGGGCTCCCTTCGCACACCACTTCCACTCCCGAATGCAGCGCAAACAGATATGAAGCGCCGCCATTGGCCACGGACGAAGTTGTTCACAGTGTAGACAGCCAAAGAATTCAGGATGCTGGTCGGTATTTTGACCGGTTTCGCTATGCGGCCTGCATCTGGGTTTCCCTGAAACTGTCTCCAGGACTTCATGTTTGACCTCTGGTGAATGGCCTCGTGCAGACTTTGTGTCCTCCTCTGATTTTGGTGGTGTTTCTGTCACATCCTTAGAGACGGTAGTTGTGGAAAAGGTGATGACGGTAGTTGTTGTTGTACTTTGTTCAGAGCTCTCGACCACGGGCGGTGCAACTGTGACCCAGCTATGGTGGCCGGCGTCCACATGAAGATGTTTTGATTGGACAGGCATTGCGTCGGTAGGTGCAGTAGTGGTACTTGAGGAGGTAGGTCCAGTCTCTAAATTGTTGGGGTGTTGGTTAGGTTGAGGTGCTTCGTCGGGGAGATAATACGGGCGATCTTGTCTCCCATCCCCCTTGGCTCTTTTAGCTCGCGACCTCTGTGTGATTTTAGCCTGAAGTTGATAAGCAAGTGTAATATGTGCCCTTCTGGGCATGAGGATGTACTGACGTTTCGGTACTTTATCCGGCAAGGTTCGCACAATTTGTAGAATTCCTTCCCGGCATCTTCAGGTGCACGAAAGCTATCCTGTGGCCTCTGCTTATTACAGGCACGGCACCGCCTAGTCTCGTCGGCCATGCTTGGAGGCTGCGATAACGCTCAGCATACGTGGTTTCTTCGTGGATGGCTGAATGCTGCGATAATGCTTCAGGTTACCGACAACATGGGATTTCAAGAGCAACGAAGGCGCTGGGACAATAAACAACTTGCTGAGTTACAGGCAGCAAGTTTCGAAGCGGGTTGAAGCAGAGAAAAGTGGTTGAAGCAAAGATTCAGATATCGCGAGTACTGGATTAAAACAATGTGGGAGATAGGAAAGTCGAAACTGGTAAATTTTCTCAAAGAAAGCGAAGGAAGTCATAGAAGTCAGAGATCAGTGAGGCGTTTCATAGGAGAATGGAGGAAGCCTTTTCGTTGAGCGAGAGGATATAGAAGTGTGACGTGAGATGAAAACAATACAGGGTTCCAGATCACTGAAATAACAATCTTGAATTGGTCGTTGCAATCGTTGATATAAGTTTGATGTTGAATATCTACATCTCACTGATTAATTGAAAACAAACACTTTTTGCAATATTCCCTTTCCTGCTAGCGCGTTCCATCTCCGAAAGCGCTTGATCAAGAGATTCCATATCCCAGGCATTGGGATTTGATGCTTCATTTGATGTGATTTCTTCATGTTCCCAAGGCTCATCGGCGCCGGGGAAGATGGGTTGTCTTGGAGGTACTTTTGCGGTTTCGATCATATCAACCCGGTGTAGGAGATCATCATGCACAGCAGTGGAAACTACTTTTTGCATGGCGAGGCCGGCAATGACATGGCGCAGATCCGGTTCACGCGCGTGGGCCTCTTGTCGGATCTTCTTTAGTGAGAGTTCGTAAAGTCGATATGGTAAACGTTCGGAGTCAATAGTAGGGTTGCGGCTTGGGGATGGAGTGCCAACAAGAGTGACACGAGGACTTTGTAGTTGGCGTCCTCGGCTGACTTGAGGCATGTTTCTGGCTAAAAGCCTAGTACATTGTGTAGTGGACATTTTGGAGGATTGAGATCTCAATTGTTGTATACTAGATCTTAATTGTCAAGAGAAATTGGCTAGATATAGGCTAGTGATACAAAGTACTATGATTCACAGACGAAAACATTGCAACGTCACCTGGCTTCATAATCATGCCACTCAATCTTCAAGTGACGATGGAGTAAACCGGGATCTTTTGTCGCGGATATTGAGGGGGTTGGGTGGCGAGAGGGTCATGCCACATTTACTTCTTTCTATAAATATATAACTTAACTAACGGACCTGTTGCCGTTAGCGTAGATTACATCAGATGACGAGACAGTCACGTGGTAGAAGCCCCCGTTATGTACCTTAGCAGATATAGTCTAATAGGATCATCCTTACTATCATAGCTTTCTGTACCAGATTAGTAGCACGTTAAAGTTACGATTCAGCGGGTCCCCCCTAAGCCTAGAAAATTTTTTTTCACCTTCTTAAAAGCTATAGGTAAAAGATAACGTCTACTAAGGGCCTATGCTGTATACGCTAGAATAAGCTAGTGTAGGCTCTCTAGGAGATACTAACGAAAGTAAATAGATTAATAGCTAGCTACTACTATTAGACTAGCTTGTTACGCACTGCTAACTGGTCACAGTTAGGTTAGATGGGTTCCGGGTATACTTGCCTTAATACTCCTCGTGTATCCCACGTCAACGATCTGTCGCAACTGAGCTATTGCCTGTAAGGCCTTACTGTAGCCTAAGTCCTGTTAAGAGATCGAGGAACGATGCTAGTGAGAGCGCTGAGTAGATCTATACTGGGGTATTGGTCTGCTTGTGAGTGTTGTTAAGTTATAATTAAGTAAAGAGTTATAGTAGTTTAAAAGGTAAATATAAGTAACAATGTATGATTAAAGATAAAGAACTAAACTAAGTATATAAATAAGTGTCCTTATATATCTTTTGATTCCTACTCCTAGTGTGACTCCTTAGAGTTACTGTTGGAGTTACTATATACTCCTGTGTATACTTCTCTAAGTTGACGCGGGAGTTACGGTTATGTGTCCTTAGTTCTATATATAGTAATTCCTGGTGTAGGTGATATCCGATACCCTAAAGTATATATGTATTAGAAACCTTTTAGTAAGGAGTCTAATTAGGCTTAATTATACTTTTGCTTACTAAGTATAAATAGGTTTTCTCTTTCCTAAATACCTAGGGATATTAGAGTATTAGATACTATATATAATTGTTACGGAACTACCCGTCACCAATCGATGGTACCCCACCGGGTACACAGATGGGCCACCGAGAGCCAACCAATCTATCTGTCAGCAGATCACGTACAGTATCTAATACTCTGGTATCCCTAGGTATTTAGGAAAGAGAAAACCCATTCACGCTTAGTAAGCAAAAGCATAATTAAGCCTAATCAGACTCCCTACCAAGAGGTTTCTAGTACGTATATACTTCAGGGTATCGGATATCACCTACACTAGGAATCGCTACACACAGAACCAGGGACACATAACCATAACTCCCACGTCGACTTAGAGAAGTATACGCAGGAGTATATAGCGACTCTAGCGGTGACTCTAAAGAGTCACACTAGGAGTAGGAATCGAAAGATATATAAGGACACTTATTCATATACTTAGTTTAGTTCTTCGTCTTCAATTATATATTATTACTTATATTTACCTTTTAGACTACTATAACTCTTTACTTAATTATAACTTAATAACACTCACGAGCAGACTAATACCCTAGTATAGATCTACTCGGCGCTCTCACTAGTATCGTTCCTCGATCTCTTAATAGGACTTAGGCTATAGTAAGGCCTTATAGGTAATAGCTCAGTTACAATAGATCGTTAACGTTAGATATATAAAGAGTATTAAGGCAAGTATACCTAGAACCTATCTAACCTAACTATAACTAGTTAGTAGTACATAATACATTAAAGACTGTCTCAAATCGAGTTTCGAGTCACAACCACTAACATATCTCAACTCGGAAAGAAAGTCCTAACCAAGCCAGTCTAGGATAATAACCCTAATTCCGACGCTAAAAGAGATAATAAGATTAAGATACTAAAGGAGTAGGTAAAGACTTTATTAAGTAAACTTTAAGAGTAAGAAAAGTATAATGCCTAAGTTAAGGACTATCTAGCACAGATATATACTCAAGTTACCGCTTTAGCACTAGCTAGTGCTATCTAAGGACTAACACTACCTAAAGCTAAGTATTTTAAAGGAAACCAAACTAAGCTTTAAGGATTCTTTACTTAGATAGATATACACCTTAATATAAATAAAGCTAAGCTTCTATCTAAAGCTAGTAAAGTGATTTTTATATTAACCTACCTATATAGACAAATATAGAACTAGCTTAAACCATATATTCGAGATTATTATAAAAAGGTACTAAGAGATTAGTCCGCGACCACTATAGATATCTTCAGTAACTACAATAACTTCCGTTAATATCTCGAGCGAACTTTCAGAGATATTAACACAACTCGAACAGCTAAATATAAGCTATAGAAAATCAAATAACAAACTAGCGCGTTAGTCTATACCTCCGAATTCTAGTAAATTATATCCTATCTAGATCTACCTAACTAAGCGTATATTCTATACTTCGAGGTAGGACTTAAACCAAATATTAAAGATAAATTAGTACAAATTAATAGGCCTAAAACCTTAGACTAACTTATCGCGATCGCAATTAAAATTAACAATCGCATTAATAAGCGATAATACAAACGCTAAGAAATAGACTAATAGAAAAAGGGTAAAAGTTATAGATTTAACTATTTTAGTAACAGGTACTATAATAAAGTACCCCGAGACCTTAATCTATATAGCCTAAAGCTAATAGAATTAAACGCTATTTAAAATAAGTAAAATAAGTATTAATAGAAGAATCTCTATTTTATATATAGGAAACCAAGACACTATATAAGAGAATATAAGCAGAAGAAACTATATAAGAAACGGTAATATATACAAGCGATACGCAAAGAACTACGTACGACCTAAGAAACCGAATAGGACTACCTAAAGACGGAATCTTTAGAAGATCTCTTAGTAAGATAGAGTAACCTAAGCCTAGAAGAGATATTAGTAAGTAACCTATATATTAAAGGGTTAGCTAACGAGCTATATATCAATTACCTAGAAATCGACTAAGATACTATAGAAAGCTAAGGATAGACCTAGTACGTCTCCTAGAAGCTAAACTATTCCTTAGGATAGTCTAGTAACTCCTAGGAATAAGAAGTAGGTCTCCCAAGAACACTAGTCGCGACCCCTAGAACTACTAATAGTCTAAGAATAATAAACGCGTTCCTAGGAAGCGACTAAATAATCCTAGAAATACTACTAGATAGTCCTAAGAACTATCGAAATAATAAAGAGGCTAATAATAAGCCTATAGGATATCTTAAAGGAAAGATATAGCCTAACAGACTAGACCAATACCTTATTAATATAATTAAGGAAGGTAACGACCTAATAGAATACCCTTATAAAGATTCTACTTACGTATACAAAGGATATATATAACACCTAGGATATAGTAGAATAGCTAGTATTATATACTATAACGAGATATATACTACCCACAGGTCTAGTAAGTTAGATCTTAGTATCGAACCCTAGCTACTAAAGTAGATAAAGAAGCCATAATAAAACCAAGAGTACCAAGGGGTATAGTATAACAGCCAACAGATATACAACTACTAAGGCCGTCTAACAGTACAGCTAGTAGTAACTTTACTAAGAATATATATCAAACTATATATAATCCTACTAATAGAAAAGGCTTAGACTCTTATTAACTTAAGAGTAATAAACAATTTTATAAACCCTAGGTTCTAAGAAGCCTAACAAGTCCTTACTAAACTATTATCATATATTATCTCTATTATAGGACTCAATAGAGAAGTCCTCTCTAGTAAAGTAAGCGAGGAAACTATTATACTACTAATATCTATCTACAGATACCTAAAACTAATCAAGTTCAATATTCTAGAAATAGGAGACTATAATATTATTTTAGGAGTTCTATAGCTTAGAAAGCATAACCTAAGTATTAATTAGTAGTCAAGATAGATCACCTTTAATAGGTATAAATACACAAAATAATACAACAACTATAAGATATATCGGAAGAAGTCTAGCTAATAAAGTAAGAACAGATAGTCCTAGAAAAAAAGGACTAAGGTATCAGTTATAGGCGTCACCTTAGACACTATAGAACAGTCACCTAATATATCTAACTAGGAACTAGCAGAATACGTAATTATTAAAAACGAAAAGCTATATACAACTAGTAACAAACCCTAGATTCTAGACAAATACTAAGAGTTTATAGATATTTTCACAGTACCTACTAACAGAGTATTACCTAAATATAGGCCTTTCGACCACAAAATTAACACAATAGAGGGCACTAAACCTATTTTTAAACCTATCTATTAATTATCACAGAAAAAATCCTAAATACTTAAGGAATATATTAATAAGAACCTATAGAAAGGTTATATCTAAGCCTCGAAGTCATTAGCCGGATACCCGATTATCTTCATACTAAAGAAAAATAGGAGCCTTTAACTCTATATAGACTATCAATATCTAAATTCGATTACTATTAAAGATCGATACCTATTACCTTTAATCTATAAGATATAAGACTAGATTAAAGGAGCGAAGTACTTCTTAAAATATAATATTACTAATATATATCACTATATTAAAATCAAGCTAGGCTATAAATAAAAAACAGTATTTAGAACCAAGTTCAGATACTACAAATATAAGATTATACCTTTCAGCCTTACTAATGTACCAGCCACATTCCAACGCTTCATTTTTAAAGCGCTAGAGGAATATCTTAATATCTTCGTTATTATATACCTAGACAATATCTTAGTATTCTCAGCAACCCTTAAAGATTATATTAAATATAACAAACTAGTACTACAGAAGTTAAAAGAAGTAAAGATTACTCTTAAACTTAAGAAATACAAATTCT